CCCATACTTTTTCGTGAAACAAAAGAAACAAGTATAGAATCTTTTGCTCTCAGCCTGCAAGTAGACTTGAAGCTATCCCCCTCCCTGATTGCCTTTTGATTTTTCGGATCGAAATATCAACAAATTGTGCAAGCCTTCAGCGCGACCTTCTACCCAGTCCTTTTTCGATCTGCGCGAGAAAACATTGAGTGAAATGTTGGATCGTTTGACCACCAACGTTAGATCACATTCTAAAATAAAAGAAAAAATATTGGGAGAAATGTTGGGTGAAATGTTGGATCGTTTGACCACCAACGTTAGATCACATTCCAAAATAAAAGAAAAAAAATGGGAGAAATGTTGGGTGAAATGTTGGATCGTTTGACCAGGGCTTAATTTGCATATTACTCGGATAACTGTAACGGCAGAAGATAGAGGGATGAAGAAAAAGATAGTGGGTAGCAAGTGATCTGGAAATAACTAGTGATTTGATACATTGGATTCCTTTTTTCTACTGGTATGCTTTAATGAACAAGATAACTCTTACACATCTTTCAAACAGAAAATCGACAATTTAAATAAGTTCTTTGCTTCAATTTTTACAAAAATGATTTATTGAACCTTCCACACCTAACGAATTCCAGTTGTTTGAATATGTGTAAATTAGTTAAGAAGTCATTTTTGAGATGAATAAATTTTTGAATGCATCGAAATAACTTGGACCAGATACCATACATCCTAATGTCATTTCCAAACCATTGCATTAAATTTCAAAGGCTTTCAAAATATAGGGGCTCTTCCCAAGCCGTGGAAAATAGTTCAAGAAAAGAAAACGTTTTAGGCCAGTTAGCCTAACCTTAGTTCTATGGAGAGTGTTGGAAAAAGTAGTAAAAGAAATCATAAATCATCATAGGGTTAAACAAACTGGTTATGAAAATTTACTGATCTCTTTGTGTGATATATTCATACCACTATGTAAATCATTCAAATAAACAAAGTCCCTTCCCGCCTGGTCAATTTTGATTCAGTTGCAAAGAGTTTTCCATGTTGCAACTACTCGAATCCTTTGAAGAAGTAACTTCAATTTTAGATCGAGGAAAATGCGTCGACGATATCTACTTTGATTTTGCGAAAGCATCCTATCCTTTGCCACATGAAATATCATTACTCAAATTACGATGTTATGGAATCAACGAAGAGTCCTTTGCCTTGATTGCTCTTTTATGCGCATTCGGAAACAGCGCGTCGGCCTAAGTTACATGTCGAATTTGGGTAACGTGTTAAGCGGTATTCCACAGGGAAGTGTCCTGGGCCCATTGGTTTTTTTTCTTTACATGAATAGCTTATGTCATGATATAAGTAGACACTGATCTGTCCTTGATGATAAACAAGAGAGATTTTTGCAGAGGAAAAGTGAAGGAAAGGAAACACTGATATTTCAGCCAATAAGGGTTCTGTGGTGAGCTGTTTTTTACTTTAATTGTAACGCCCAACATATTTTTGTGTTGTTCCTGTCTACGGTTGATTGTCGTCATCATTTTCTCAAGAGGATCCAGTGGGCGACCTATCTAAAACCTCTTCCTACTAGATTTTTTTCGAATCTGTTGCTTTCGTTGCAATAATTTCCTATATTTTCTGGCAAAATTGCCCTTTTAGAACGTTTGAGCAACGAAATGCCTGAACAGCCGGCGTTTAATGTGAGTTGCCTAGTAACTAGGCCTTCCTAGCACTGACAAATTGATCAATCATAGTGACTTTAGATGAATACACCTGGCTCTTTTCGTCAAGTATGCTGATCAACAGCCATGCCTACACGATTAATGATCGTGAGAAATGAATCATCTTCTGTTATCACGAATTACGATATCATCGCTTATTTAGCCAAATCTTCTTCTATTTTCCTTGAAATGTGAATACAAATGGGTAGGAAAAGGCCAGCTTCCAGCGAAAGAGAAAACGATGTGTTGTTCACTCACTTGAAAAAATAAAGAAGCTTGGACAGCCTAAACATCCCAGAAAAATTGTTCGCTTTTGGTTCTTTTTGTCTACACTAGTTAAGACTAAACCTTTCTACAAGACATCCTTCGCAAAATAACGACCTTTTGTAAAATATTTTGCAATTATTACCCTCAAGACTTATTTCTGAAAATCTTATGTACCTGACTAATTTTTCAAAAAAGGAAGAGCATTGATTGAGGCTGAATGTAAAACAAGGATTGGAGAAAGTCAAATTGATCGGCTAAAAATTTCATGTGCTCCTCATGGTTTTCACAAATACGTAGAGTTTAGAAGCCTAAAACTGGTTACATGCTATTGCTTGGAGCACAAAAAATTGACGGACTTGGCTGTTGAATCATATTTTCATAAAGTAAGCTAGAAACATCAAAAAGACCAAGACAAATATCGTCTTTTTGATAATTTACCCAATATTTTAAGCTCGAAGGTACACGAACTGTTCCTTCATAATAGTTTCCCCCAAAAAACGCACCTAATTCGTACCGTTGCAAACTGTACTCAATTCTAGGTATCAATAGGTTGAATGTTCTTATAGCCAATAAGTGCCTTTTAAAGTTTTCACAGATGAAATTTGAAGGGTACTAGAGTCTGGGAATGTTGCCAGAAAGTTCGTTTTTGTTATGAAGGAAGAAGTGGACACTTTCTACGGTGGACACTCTACATAGTGCACTTTTAATTAAAGATGCCCTGCAACGGTCGTTGCTAATTCGTGAGACACTTTGCAGATATCGTTTCGTTGAAATACAGTTCATAATTTTGTCGTCTGCAAGTACACGGAAAAGGGTAACTATAGTAACTATTGTTGTATTAGTAAAAATCGTTAATAACCTGTCGTGTATTTTTGCTTTTATAACAGTGACAATGCGACTTTCATAACAGTGACGTTTATACTGTAAATTGAACTGAGGACCCATCGTAGATCAGCATTCGCTGAAAGGCTAAATTGTTTGAAAATGAAATGGAATGAAAATGAAATCGAGAGGAGTGAATCCTGCATGCGAATGCTAGGACTACTTGGTAAGATGAAAATGCATTCTAATTGCTTGTATCTGATGTCATCCAATATGGTATTTAGCTTAGATTTTAAGTCATATTTTAGCCAGTTTCAGTCTTGTACCAGGTAACCCCCGATGCAAAATTGTCCCTATCAAATTAAGGCAATCAAATGGCAAGATTTGCGCTAATGGAAAATAATTCGTTTTTTATGCCATTATGACTAGTTCTTTTTCTTAGTGGCATATATGTGAGCTTTTTATCTAATCAATGTATATATACTCTTTGAAATAAAATACAATTATAATCAATAGAAGAAATTCATAGATAACCTTTTGTATACAGACATTATATTGGTTTCAAAACAACAGTTCATTCGATAACTGCCACGTCAGAAACACGTGTTTAAGCTTTGGGGGGAAAAGTTAACCATTGCCATTGATAAAGTTCAAGGCGATTCATTTTATGCGATATTATAATTTTTTTGTTGGATCGGTAGTATATTTTTTGATGCATACACAGAGGGCAACAAGAATTGTGTTTAAATGATAGATTTACAATAATATGTAAAAATGATCTCTGTTTTGTGTTTTCAAGCTATTTAGTTGAAAAACCACCGTTAGTTGGAAAAAACGATTTATTCATGGCAGATTTTGTTAAGTTTTTAGATAACCATGTTTTCTTAAAAATACGATTGCAAAAAGTCCAGCATTGGAATTGAGCTTTTTGCCTCTCCGGCTCTCCGGCACAACTGCAAAATATACTCCAGTTACCTTATTAAGCGAAATTACTCTTTATTACACGTGACTTGATTTTGGTAATATAGAAAAAAGTAATCAAGAAAAAATGGTATTTCTACGGTAAAGAAACACATTTTAATCTTAAGATTTTTTCACAATTTTTTTTCATGTAAAGATTTTTTTCACATCCCTTGTCTTCTTTTTCTTCTTCGAAATTCTTTAACTTGTGCAACAGAACAACAATTTCTTTGAAAAAGTTCCTTCATTATTATTACCCATTTTTTTATTTTTTAATAGGTTTACACCCGTAACGTCGCGTAGTAAGGCACTTCCCAAAAAACATAGTATAAGGACTCTTTTCAAATATTATTCCAAGTTTCCTTTCAATAGGTACTGCATAATCAAAGCAAGTCAAGCTATATGATAGTACCGTCCATGGGCGTGTATTTAGTAGGGTAGTAGTGTATGATAATTAATATACAGTATAATTTTTCATATCAATATAATACACACACTACAACCATCCTAGAGCATAAACAGCAAATATAAAACACAACAGTTTATGCTTGAAAATATGAAACATTTTATTTTAGGCCTATATATGTTTCTTAAAATTGAGCATCTTTTAAAGAAATTGAGGGGTGTTTCTTGCGCAAGGGGTTTTCATATATGCGAATATTTACTGCATACTTTCTATGGAATATTACGGGAAATTTCGCTTATTTCCAAGTGCGAATCTTTAGATATTCAAATTCATTGTTTATGATACTGATTCAAAGTCTTTTTGTATTCTATCTTTGAGTCACAAGATAACAGGCCTACTTCGTACTAAAAGCCGAACTTCACTTGACTAACTACTTCACATGCGTGGTGTAAATTTTGAGTAGGTTTAAAGTCTTAAGGCTAATTACCGAAAATGATGGAAGTCGCGCAAGCGTACAAACGCGCAAACAGAAGGCACAAATGCAGGCGGGCTAGTACTGGCGTGAAATTGGCTACTTTATTTCTTGTCGTGTTTCCTAATAACTTTCTTTCCTCCCTTTCTTCAATCAAATCTTTCCAGATTTTGGTTTTTTCCAATGTGGTACGAATTTGGTTCCATTCTGCCACTACAAATTTGTATTCTCAAATGACTCATATTTAAAAGTTTTCTCAATCATAATGGTCAAGAAATTATCATTGCTATAGCAATTGCCCTACATTGTAGCTTAAACCTTGTGAAAGAACCAAACCGATCGCGAAATTTCAAAGTTATTTTCTTACCTTCTGCAGGTCGAGGGAGCTGCGTATCTTTCCAGCTTTCTTCACCGAAGCAGGGACTTATTCATTTGGCAAGGTGAACGGGGAGAAAATCTTTTAGACAGTGGAGCACCTTTTTACGACACTTACAAACGAAAGATGGAAAGTTTGTGTCAGTTGGGGCACTAGAACCAAAATTTTACCAAGATCTCGTCAAAGGTTGGTTTATGTTTTCATTCCACCGCTACTTCTCAGGTGTTGCTGTTATTTTGACGTTATATGCACAGTAGAGTGAAAACAACAAGCTTTGATATGTATTAAAAGTTGCATTTTCAAAGCTATTCTTGAATTCTGTACCAATATAAAATTGTCTACGAGATCTTGCATATATTTTTCGTTAAGTTAAAGATTTCACATAGAAATAGTTTCAGCAAAACAGTCTTTACTCTCTTATCTTGTAAATAGATTACTTATGTTGCTCACCCTAGTGATAAGATCTTTTTAATCCTCTTCTTAAGGCAGTTTCGAGTGTAACAGTAGGGAGATTAAGTTGTGTTTATTGCGTAGAGATGGGAACATGTACCTCTTCTTGTCAACCCCAGCCAAATGAGCAGCCTACGTTCAGGAAAATTCTTTCCTCTTATGTCATCAACCACATTCGAAAGGTTATGTCGCCTAAGTGATAATCTGTATTCTTCTTCCAGTTTAAGCCAAACCCTTCTTTTTCATTCAAACAAGGATTTCACTGTTCGAAAGATTATATCAAAAAAATTATCAGGTCATTGCCTTTATTTGATATTCGCCCAGTCAAATAAACGCAGAGTTGGGCCTTACTTGCATTGGTAACAATCATCGATTTGAATTACAACACTTCTATTCTGATCTTTCTCAACGAAAGCGGAATATCAATGCGATATGTTTTTGTATCCCTCGGTTTCCGTCAAACCGCTGTCAAATTTAGTGAGGACGACTTATTTTTCCTGTTTGTTTTTTACTTGTTTTTCAGCAGATTTCAGAAATCAATCGTTCATTAGCAGAATTGCAGGAGATAGATGACTGAATCGGGAGAGTGTCAGGGATAGGGACATCAGAACAGGGGGATTCAACATCAACTTTTTGTTAGAAGTTCCCTCTTTTTTACATTGGGAGAATGCCCCTTTTTCTGAGATGTGAATCCCCGTCCTTGCTGTTCCCCTTCGATCTTTAGAATGCTTCCGAAATCCCTGGTGAAGAAAGTCGAATATTGCAAAATTGATGACTAATCAGGCGAATTCATTGCTAAAATCGAGCAGCAATTACTGACCTGCAATTATTGAAATCTAACACATGAATCGACGTGATTCGTTTATTGTCATGTCTGAGTATGTCAGTATCGTCTGTGCCTCAGGTACTCTAATAGGATTTCACCTCATTCTTCTATCTCGGAAACTGACCATTGTATTTACTGTCCGTAACTAGTTTAATTATAAAGTTTTTTATTGCCTCCGGTAAAAAATAGCCACTCAGTAATGAAGACTTTGTTTAATGAACATAGTCCAGAAATGTCCTCAACCTTCCTCCGGTTAAATTTTTCCCCATCAAAACCTTCCTCCAATTCAAGCAATCAACGTAGTCAGGGCGTGGCTAGGGAGTGGCTACGGGATAAAGGGTGACAGACGCAATAAATCGAGACAAAGCTATGGGTCTGGGTCGATGGTAATTATCGCATACAATAAAACTTTGCTAGAATACCAATCACATTACAGCTCAAGAAAAATGTCCCTTATTAAATGTCGAATAATAAAATGGATGGAGAAATGATATAATATTAATTGAGAAATTTCAAAACATAGAACACGATCAGCATTCTCTTTTCAGATGTATTTTCTGGCAGTGAAAGGGCGTGGTCTAGAAATTTTGCTTCTGTTCGTGCCAACATTCACCATTCAACTCTGCGACGGTTCAACGTGTGTTTTGAATACGCAACAAAGAAACAAGTGCCAAATAAGTTGTCTCAACTATTTTTTAAAATTCTATTTCACCAAAACCTTCCTCCAAATTTCTATTGTTTCTCAAAAACCCATCCGGTCAATGACCGTGCGACCGTAATATTTTCTGGACTCTGTTAATTATCTATGAACAAAACTAGCTAACTTTTAGTGCAAAGGTTTAAATTCAGCTCATGAACAAAGCAATGTACCCTTAAACGTTTCTAATTCCTACATAATCGTCTAGATTATCTCCTGATTCCATAAAAGTATTGGTACTCCTAGGTTCCCCGCAATACAAAATTTTGCATCCGCTATACCTCCGTGAAGTGACCAAAAATTTATGCAAATCTCACAATAATTATAAAGGGTGTGAGTTGGGTGTCTTTCCAGTACCCTTCCTTCAACGTCATTGGCGAACCGCAATTTTTCCTGTGCGTTATTGCAAAAGATTACGAAACTTTTAGTCACCTATTCTTCAGCTTGAAGCAAATGTACATATTGACACCATGTCATAGTTTTAGAATCATTTTTTTCTACGTTCCCTGTATTAATACCTAGACCATTCACAATTGTTAGGGTCAAGTGCCCTTGCTCCATTTAGACCCGAACACAGGCTGAGCTACTCTAACATCAAATGACGCTCTTTTTCTTGCAAACCACTGTCTATTTATAAAATGACCTTAGGACGTTCTTGAAGCACTTGTCTAAGAATTTTATGTCTATGTCTGCATGGTTTGCATCTAGTATGATAAGGCCATCAATTGTTTTATTTTTACCCATTTCGGTGATTTGGTAAAGCATTTGATATGGCTCCTGAGAATGTTGACCATGGCCATGTTGTTTAGATGACAATGAAATGACAAACAAATTGAGTCCTTGCATGATTACTTGTATAGGATAAGCTTTTTCAGATAATGTCGGTATTGTTCTGTTGAATAATCTGGACAGTTTCACGTTCAGTACTGGAGAAAGGAAAATTTGTTGGGGGCACTAGCGTTTGTGAACAATAGGAACAGAAGGGATCGCACATTCGAAACAAATGGTTTTGTGATTTAAGTATTTGCAACGCCCCCCCCCGGCCCCTAAAAACACTTGTAGCCACGACCCTGCATACATCTACTGCACAATATAAAAACATAGAACATACAATTAAATAATTGATAACCAAACTTCTTTTACTATTTGCTCATCTCACATTTAAGGCCAAGCCTAGGCCCCTAATGGTATTCTACAAATAAGTTGCTAAACCCTTTTAAGTTGGTTGAATAAATATTTATTTGGAATAATTGTAATAAGATATCGCATTGAAGAATTGCATGTCTTGGCAGATAAATTCTGGATTCAGGTGGTCAGATAATGTTGTTTACTGCCGTGGCTATCATAGATTTAAAATGCAACACCTGTTTTGTCAAGCATACAGCGACACGAAATCTACGTTTGGTTTCAAATGACAAATAGTCACAAATAATCACAGAGAGCAGGATGCGCCTGTTCACGTTTTTATGTTTTTGTGAATGGCGTACTTAGTAGCCCTAGTGTTTACAAGGGTGTTTGCAACTGATCCGTGATCTATGATCTCTTTAATACCCTTGTTCTATCTCGTGATGGGGTGATCAAATTTCGACACCACATCTAACAGTTATCTTTATATAAAAACAAGTTTTTGTCTAATCTACATAATTTGATGCTTCATATTACACAGTTGTGATTTTTTCCCTCGATATCAGCTTTGCTATGCTGATTTGAAGTACTGCCATAGTTCAACGCTATTAGGGTGTGTGGAGGCTAGACTTAATAATCAAGTACTTTAAGTTGCACCCAACATTGAATCAAAGTGTTAATTCCGTACTGGAATGGTTAGAGATCAAAATGGCATCATGTTCAGTAAACCTAATGTAATGAAGCCTGTTTTGGACATTCAAGACACAAAATTTGGACTTAAATAAGTTTTCAAGATTCCTTCTTGGTGTCTTTTTTCCATTGTCAAGTAACAAGGACTTAGAATTTCTTGGAATTTTTTCTCATAGAAAATGGGTTTGGTTTTGTACGATTTTTGTTTCTATACACAGTGTAGCAGGCTTAACTCTAGCAGTAAATATGACTGACTATTCCTAGTGTACTTTGTGCTAATATTGTGACTACCGGCGAGTTTTTTTATCGTTAGCTACAAAATACTTGTATTAAAATAGACGTTGCTAAACGAAGGAAAACCTATTTTGGAAACATTTGTTACTCTTTGATAACAATTTGTTGAATTCTGTTTGTCTGCACATCATTCAAAGCTCAACTACGTCACGTATAAGGATGACCCTTTTAACTTGTAAGCAGATTTGTCATAAATGAAGGATACTACATGCCATAAAAGTTAACTTACCTATAGAGAAATATTTGATATTATGCTTTCCTGACTACCTTAGCCGTACCGCCATTTTCGTGTTTGAAAATGGGTGTAAATCTGGGATCTTCAAGGAGAATTCCGTTCACATTTTGCATTCTTCAAGAACGCCATGTTTAATTTCATTGCTCGTGTAGCAGCTTTCATTATATACAATCTTCAGAAATAACGACAGACCTTAAAATCTTGTTTCCTAATGTTTGTTTTCAACTGTTACCTCGTAGCTGTGGTTGCATCATAATTTTCCAACCGTCCTTTTGTATTGCCTTATTACAATTTGTGTTGCATCATCGATATTTTTTCATTCCCTCAGGACTTTGCTTGGAAAAAGAATTCCCACTGCACTTTGATGTGTCTTGCTGGCCGAAAATGCGCGCACGCTTTACTGAAGTTTTCGCAACAAAAACTCGGGAGGAATGGGTCGAAATATTTAAATCTGAAGACGCTTGTTTTGCACCAGTACTTGGATTGGATGAAGCTGCGAGTAACTCACACAATGTTGCGAGAGATTCTTTCACACAGAACAGAATTTCCAAGAATGAATTCCTGGAACCAAGGCCTGCTCCCAAACTCTCAAGAACTCCTGCGCAAAATTACCTGAAGGCTCAGCCAGCAATTGGAGAACATACAGTTGAGGTATTAATACAGGAAGGTTTTTCTGAGTTAGAAGTTGAACAATTAATTAAAGAGGATGTTATTAAACAATATGTCCCTTCCTCTTCACTTTGAGTAGAACGTTTTATCTCAATTAAAATTCTTACGTTAAGATTAAGGTTTTAAGCATTTGAACTGATAGAAAGGTGGTCTTCAAGTTACCTTTTTATACTTGAAACGCTTATCATTTTATACTTGAAACGCTTATCATATTTCCATACATACATGAATATTCATACTAGAAGCTAAAACATGAAGAGAAGCAGCGCTGAAGTTAACATTTTGAAGAAAATAAATGTTAAAAATGCATTGCATATTTTTGTGTGCATAAAGAGGGAGTAACTACATTTTATAAAAGACGATATTTTCAAAAGGGACTGTCTTTTCGACTCTCTGTTACCATTAAAAACAGATGCAAAGATGACTTTAAAGGATTTACCTTGCTCGTGTCTCTTTTATGATAAATTTTGCTTTACGTGGTTTGTTGAAACGAATAATGAAGCTTGTTAGTCATATCAAGATTATCTGCCAAACTAGTGCAATCTGAATAGCACATCTTATTATTAAGATAAAATCAATTTATTTTTACGGAAATTCTGCCTTGAAATGTGCTGTGTTTTCAAACGTTTCTTGTGGTGCTTTGTGCTTTCTTGATGTACTGACAGGAAAAGCAATTTGGGCTTTGGAAAGCGAAAGTTTATTTAGTTTATTGTAAAGTAATGTCAACAGCAACGACATAGACTTTTTGATCAATCTGCTAGCATATTTTGTGAGAAGGACTTTGCTTGAACTTTAAGTCCTTTCTAGATTCTTTCTAGCCAGATGTTTCCGTCAAAACAGTTTGAATCATCATGTTTGGCGGTCGTAGGCGATCATAAGCCAAGGAATTTTTTGAAAAGAAACTACTTTGAATAGAATGATTCATGGCTAGCTCGTTTCAGTGATTCTATATGTAATTATACCTACATTGATTCTTCATCAAATTTCCCTTTGCTGCTTTTTCTCCGCTTCGACAGTCGCCTCTTCAATTACATGATGACGTAACTAGAACCCAGACACTTGCTAGTGATAGTAATGATTTGCTACCTCCTGAATGAATAGAGACTATTATGTTTTTCATTACCTACTTTCTGTCCTGCTGATTGGCATTTTGTTCATATGGTCTAATCCTCAATCTACCATAAGCATGTATCTACTGTCAAGAACCTGCCCCTTGACAAGAGGACATCGACTTGACAAAGGTGGGCATCGAATTTGGGTTCCAAAGAAGAACCAAGGGCAGAACGCAATGCTGATGATACCATTTCATTAAATTCTGCAGTTAAGGCACGAGAGAGTGGTGCCCATTTGCGCTTTCTAGCTCTCGTTTTACAATATAATTTTATTGAGTCGTGAGATCCATGCATCCAGAATGCCCTCATGGCAATCACCTGACCTTTTAGCCCTTGGGCCGTCGGAAGGACCTCTACCCCTATACTCAATTTAGCTGATAAAATGAAAATATGAATTTGAGTTATGAATTCATAAATGAATTACGTATTAAGAATTGTGAAGAGTTTTGTAATATTGATTACGAAGGCCCATCATGGTTTCCTTCCGACGCATGGCTGAGCCCCAAATATTAAATGTGGTAACCCCCCTCCCCCCCCCCTTTAAAATAGATTATCTTTCAAAAACCAGGATTTTTTGCTCTCTAGGGATAATAAAGATCTACTCGCCTTCTTGTTATCATTTGGGACCTGGATCTAGTAACGGCCCTGGCATTAACTCAAATACTGAATGTTATCTTTGTTCTTTTTTGAAAAACTTTTTGACCCAAAGTTCAACCAAAAGCGTATTTGGTTTACCTTTGCTAGCGTTCTAGACAATGTTCACACTGTCTAGTGGACAGTGGTAGTCCTGAACCTGGCCTTACAGTACGAAACACGGTCATGTAGTGCTGTGACAAAAAAATCATAAAAAAAGCATGAAGTAAATTACAGTTAATTCTCGGCTCTAACAGTGAAGCTCAGCCCCAGACCCCCCTTCAGTTCTACAGCACATCCCTATCACCGTGTTGTCTTCGAACAATTTAACTAAAAAGTGGCCGCTATGGTATCAAATCGAGAAACAGGAAGAAATATCTGTCTAATTTCCAGTAGTAGTTACCTCACATTTATCTGTAGTTACCTAGTTACCTCAATAAATACAGTCCTCTAGAACTTAACTCTTTGCGAACCACTCGGTTGTACTTTTTACCCTGCAGCGTTTACGATCTTTATGTTAATGTTTACGCTTGAATCTGATTCTAAGTGGGGTTTCTTAAATTGAGGTTGTGGGCAATCGTCCCTCCCTTCTTTTGTCTAATTTTGTCGAAAAATTTCCTCCCCACTTGCTTATCTTTAGAATGACTCTCACAAATCCATCAAAGTTTCTATGATAGTAATGGCTAACATACTTTTGAGAGATACCCTTCCAGCCAAAGAAAATGGCACAACCTAAACGAATTCTTTAGGGTCCTCGCACCAGATTACTGATCTCCAATGCCCATGGCTAAAGTTACTCTGACCGCGCTATTGCTTACTTTTTTCAAACATTTTGCCCATAATCAGCATTTTTCAAACAGAATATCTCTGTTACGGAATGTAGATGGAAGTAGATTTACCAAAATTACTTTTTAACTTGCTTTTAATAATAGCCAGGTCCAAATTTCATCGACAAATTTTATCAAACAAGATAAGCGTGACTACCTTGCAATATATTCGAGGTAGACTCGGGACTGTGTGATTGTATTGAGTGCTGTATTGTTCAAAGACATCGGGCCGGGTTTCATTGGGTCTCATCAAAGACTACAGAACTAGCATAGTCCTCCTTCTTGTGACTATGCTTTGAAGATGTGCTGTGCTTGATTGTGTTTCTGTTTTCTCAGAACTAACTCTAAATTAGGTCAAGTGCTCCGAACCAACCCATTCAACACTATAGAGGATGGCTTTAGTGGATCTAAGAATAAGGAAAGCTGAGAGCAACTTTCGATTTGCTATAGTTTACATTGGAAAACCTAATATCTCCCTTGTTCGAGGGTGGTTCAAATAGCAGGGGCAGCCCCAGTTTGCGGGCATCCCTCCTCGTCGACGTCGACAACCGCAATCCACAGAAAGCAATTGCAAACACTGGAATCTTGTGGATTTCTCTCAAATAAGAACACTTTCATCGCGCTAAGCCTGTTGATAAAATGAGGAGTATGGACAGACCATTGATAATCCATGCTGCTCGCATCTCAAGTGACTGATATGGGCAAATTGTGTGGATCATGTGATTTCAAGTTCTAAGAGGACAAACTAGACAATGGAAATGTTTTAAATGCTTATTATCCTTCTAAAGCTTGGAAACGACAAGAATGCAAAGAATGACAAAGATTTCAAATGCTTTCACCGTTTCTAAGCTGGTTGACTGGGAAAGTAACAAGAAATGAATGCTTGCCGTTGTAAACAAACCGTGAACGCGCGCATTTCCGTGGAGTGAGCAGCAACAGGCCAAGAAAGCCTAGCATAAAAGTAAACAGAACTGAATGACCGACTTCAAGCTTTTCAGTAGTCTTGCTTTGTTTTAGCAGTTTAGGGGGCCACACCCTGTCGATAAATACTTCGCTTACCAAATATATCTTTACCAAAGAAAGGAATAGGCATGGCTAGCTTTCCTTGGAGAAAAACTCAACTTGCTGGTACTGACCTGAAATTATCGTAATATTCTGCCAGCTAGTTGGGTATCCAAAATGGAGGAAACTGCCCAAGATACAACTTTTAATAAATGCAAGATAGTTTAGACTTCAAGAAGTTTTAAGCAGATCTTGCACTCAAGGCATTGACTTTTTTGTGAGTTAACAGCATTGACATTTGCGCAACAGCAAAGCCTTAACGAAAATGGCTTTCCTAAATACAGAAATCTTGCTAATTTCCCATTCACGCCATGGTGCCCTTTGTCGTCCTATTATTTAGCTGTTCATTCATAAACCAAAGTACTCAATTCTGTTCTACGATTTGGCGAGACATTCGAGTGTTTTCAAGCAGCCAAGTAAACAAACAAAACGTTATCATATGCTTGATTGCTGTTTTCTTCCGAATGTTTAGAATTTGTATTTTAAATGCAAATGCCACCTGACAACGTGACTCATACATCTCATAAAGCAGACACCTGCTTTTTGTATACGCTAGTTTCCAAAGCGATATGAATGCCTCTTGGCGAGAATTATTCTTTCTATTCTTATCCAGGCTTCTTATGAACTCTGAATTGCTGGTTTTTGTGAAAATTGTATTTTATTTCAAGTCAATTATCTTTACAGACGCTATATATGTGTGTTCTTGAGCAAATCTACCTGTGGAAGGAAAACTTTAGTCTCTGTGTTACTTAGTCTTCCCATCATTCCCCTCTCGCTATGCTCTTTAACTTCCCCTGCTTCTAATTGTTTTCTAGAAAAATTCTCCAAACATCCCTAAAAATTCTTATGTTCTAGAATATACCAAACACCCCTGGATTTTTTCAGCCCCACCCTTTATTTCTCTTTTCATTTTTGCTCACAACTTCTCTCGATTTCTCTCTTTTTGCCTATCCCCCTTTCACCTACCTGTCAATTTTATTTAACAAATTCATTGCCACTTCCACTTTCTTCTTGTGCCGTTTTTTCGTTGCTGTCAATTCACTTTTATTCCCATCCGTTCCTCCTTTGCTTTGCATTGCCGCTTTCCCACATACTCCCTCTCGTGCTTACCTTTTTATATTGGAAAATGTGAAAGAGTAATGAATGAATGAATGGCGTATCTGTTTCATGAATGAAAAAAGTAAAACATATAAGATAAGATTTTAATTGAATGGCGTGAATGGCTGGGAATATAAACGGTTTTGAGTGCATACAAACGGTTTTGGGATCAAACATAAACAAGCCAACATTTATTGGTTTCGTTCTCTCAGTTAGGTTCAATATATAATTAGAATTCGCATCCTTCGGGGTGATCATTTCGTTTACTGTACTTGATATTGTTAGAGCTAATCCGTTTTGATAAGCGTTGTTAAAGAAAGGGAAGCAATGAATACTTGACATTAATAGAAGATAAATGTCTATATTTCCTAGTGAGAGACTGACCTCTGATTGGATTTCAAAGGTTAAGTGTGTTTTGACACAATTCCATTAAACGCTATGTTGCTTAAAAACTATGTTGCTGAGTGATTGATAATAATGACGTAAGTAAAATGGTTTAAATTGAAATATACATTAAAGGAAAACCAACCGAGCAAAGTAACTTGTTTGTTTGCTGTGCCTACAACATTGTTAAACTCATCTTGTGAACCTTTTTTGTGTATAGAGTAATATTTTTACTTAGGACTCCATTGGTAACATTCTCAATAGGCAAGTGGCACTGACTGGTCATCCTCAACAGTCACGTGCTCGTGTTTCTGATTGGCCTATTTCGATCCACAACCGGGTATATATATTTCCTAGCGTAGAGTTTTCGATCTATGTTCTGACGTTTTAAACTCTGAAGAGTGTCAGACGAAAAGCTTTAGTTTACTAAATGCTTGCTTTTTCAAAGCCATTTTCAAGTAATATTTTTATAATATTTTCGTAATATATAGTAAAATTTTGGAAAAATGAACAGCTTTACAAAATTTTTAATATCTTGATTTATTTATGTTCGACTATGTTAAACTTTATTCTGCTCAATATATCTGTTTTAAACAGGAAGGTTTCTTCAAACTAGCTTCCAGTTCTAAAGGGCCATTTTTTGTCAAAAATTATTGATCGAAAATTGTATAAATGAACAATAAGCATTAAAGAAATGTGTTTTTAAATAATAAACCATGGGTGATTTAAAGATACCTATATGCCCGGAAAAACCTTCTTCGTGATTTTTTTATTTAAAAGCCAAAAATTATTTTTTTTCCCTTTAATATCAATCTCGAGGGTGTGTCTTATCATAATTGATCAGAAAATTTAGGAATTGTTCATTTTCTCTTCTTTTAAATATCAAAGCAAATCAAAGTAGAGTCTTTGAAGCTCAAGTGACTAATAAGTTCTTTTTAGTGCGTTAAAGCATCTATACTTTCTGAGCTAAATAAATATGAATAAATATTTTACATTTACATCGCTTTTCTTTACTCGGCCTAACAGACAACCTGTAAATCAGGAGTTTTTTTAGAAATTTTTTTCCGGTGAGCAAAGTAAACTCTTTTTAACAAGAATACTATAAATTTTATCCAGCCGCAATATTCTTAAGATTTTCGTTTTGAGCCTAAATATACTCTCAAAGTATTTTTATTTTTATTTGTTTCCAGTTTGATATTGTTTCAGGGAAGCATCGCCAACTTTCGTGAAAAAACACAATTTTTGAAAAAACAAGATACGTCGGTTATGCGATTATTTGTTTTGAACACAGCAAAGCAGGCAACTGCTGTAAAAAGAGAACAATAATATGCGAAATGAGGCTGAGAAAAATTCTTTTTATTTTTGTAAAAATTTGATGATGTTGAGTCTGAATATTCTTATAAATAATATTCTAATAAAAAGAGTCTACTAGTTGGTGATAGAAAGCTGAATTTTTACTAAAGTCAAATTTATCGAATATATTTCACGTTGTATTTGTTGATTATGTTGTATTTATGCAAAAAAATTCTAATATTTCTAGCAGTGACGAATAATCTTTACGATTAAGTTTTCAAGGCTGGAGCGGTCACCTGACGGCCTACAGGGGAAACCCAGTGTGGCAGTAGATTTGAAGTGGCACTTGGACTAAAAGAAATGGTACGCAGATGTTAACCTTTCATGTTGATTCAACCTTTCTCGACCCACCCTTACTCGTCGGTATACCAAACATCATAAAGTTGGCCCCCATGTATGAAATATTGTAAATTCAGCTCTAGAAGTTGTTCGCATAGTTCTGTCACGTTTTGAGGTCACTCCTATTGAGATATCCGTTTACCATCCCCTGATAGAAAACCTTAATAAACAAACAACAAACGAACAAATGTTTTATCAAATTATCTTCCTTCGATTTATGCATTCTTGAATCTGTACCCAGAAAATCTATCCCATCTTACGACGTAAGCAACTTTGACCTACAGGTGCCCACCATCAAGAGGTCACGCTGTATTTAGAATTTCGTGAATATTCTTGTGCGCAAAAAGGGGTTCGTGATATACTTACACAGGCTTGTGTGTCGGTATGTATTTAAACGGTTAGGTTTCATCATTTACACTTTAATTATCCAAAGGAGAGATTTCCTGCCTAATTATTGCGACTCATTTTTTCAGTTTAGCTCGAAAATGAAGAATATAAGAATATTTGGTAATCAACCATAGAAATTTCAACATAAATATCATAATATCTGATAAATATCTGGTAAAAAACCAACAGTGTAACAAGGCTTTATAACAAATAATTCCACTGTATAGCTTTCTTAAGCTTGCCTGAAAACTACTTCGTCCAAAGTTCCATTTGCTTCTCTCTGTGGTCGTTTCTCTACACTCTGAAGCCATTATGTTGAGTGATTGTTTGCGGAGGCCACTATTACACTTTTCTCTATTTATAAGAAACTGGTTTAAAAGAATCTAAGAAACTTTAGTCCTAATCTGAAGAAAAATTAAAGAACTGTTAAATTTCTATTCGTATTAAAAGAGTCCAAAAGGTTCTATTTTGTTGAACTTTTTTTGGAAAAGAGAGCACAACTTTGATTCGATCTGCATGGGTTTGTTTCGCAACGATTTGCGTTTATATTCTCCATAAAATGTCAACTTCAAAATAATAGGGCAAAATTAGGTCCCGAAAATGAGAAACCAGCTAAGAAACTTTAAATACTAAGACGCCAAATTTATGATGCCAAAAAAAACTTTTAATACTAAATGATGATCCAAGTTTCTTATAAAAAAAGTATGCATTTTTTTACGCAGGGGTAATGCACTTTTACAAAATTCGTGTGAAATGCCATCAAAATAAATGGATATCTATAGTCTTTGAGAACCTGTCTGGTAACTAAAAGATCTGTTCTTTGGAATAAATCAATGTATTCTGTTATCCCAAAGATAAGTATCAATACATTGCTTGTTGAAATTTGTAGAAAATTGTGATGTAGCGACGAAGGAGCGTTCATTCACAACTTCAAATTTATTCTACAGTTGATAATTTATGCATTGAGGCGGCGATCCACTCACTACAGAGGACTTAATTTATGCATATTTAGTATGCATTTTCAAACAAAAGAATATGTCATGACGTAGTAGCATGACCCGCCAACCAAAATTTATTCGTCTGTTTTCATAAATGAACTTTGCGTAGTACAGGAGTGTTGTTGGATGAACGAGTTCGTTGTCGGAATCGTGTTTTCACATGCACAGTGCGCGTTTAAAGGCAGAATATGGATTTGTTATAGTCACAGATTGTACTTACATATAAATCAAGTGTTTCTTGGGATCTGATCATTGGTTTTAAGTCAAGGTTTCGCTGTTAACTGCCAAGCTAGGCAAGATGGGCTGTTGTTGCCAGTCACTTGCTAAATGCTTTGGAGTGTGGCTGTGGTGGACTTTGTTCGCTAGAATATATGTATTGGGTCAGTTGAACTTATTCATAACCCAGCAACACATGAAATCAGACCTAAGTAAGTATTTCAAATGTAAAACAAGGCATTTTGATTCAATTTGAATAAATTGATGATTTTTGAAATGTGAACTGATTATGCCAACTGAGTTGTTTTGCCACCCAACAGCACGTGATTTTACGTCGTTTCATCATTTTTGTGTAGATCTCGACTTTGGCTCCGATATTTATTTGATTGAAAATGGAAAGGTTCCAGCAATTCTTCAACACCCGGAATCATTGTATCGCCTACTTGCACCGCTGCCAACAGATGTCAACAAAGTGCAGTTAACTTGGCGATCGTTCCCTCTGGTAAGTCGGCCATTTTCCAATACAATGTTAGGGGTTGGTTTCTTACCCACAGGAGACATCCGTCCTGTCTGCTTTTATAAACTATGTCTAATGGTTGATTGCTTGCAGAGAAATGTCTTTTTAACCATTGCTACAATTATTCTGAATGTATTTAGGTACAGTCACATCGGAGCAATAATGAACTTGATTTTGAGGACTACGATTCCGGTTAGGCCTTTCGGTACTGCCATTTCTTTCGCTAGGTTGTCGGAAGTACTATCACCCTAGGGGAGAAATGTCTGGGTTTTTTCTTTAGACAGTTCCATGTCGGGCTATTCGTCTTACAGTAAAAATGCAGTTTTTGGGGGTTTTTAACCACACAAGGAGACATGACGTTTCTAACCGAGATGATAGGAAGACTTTGCTACGTTGTTGTTTTGGTTTATACGGAGAGGAAGTTTCGCTCAATACAGAACCACGTATTTTGTAGATCGGCTTTTAGTCATTCATCGTATCGTTATTTCACTTGAGTACAATTTGATTGGCCTATCATTTACTCAATTTTCTGAAGTCATTCATACTGTGCTGGCCGGAACAACAACGGGCGACTGTGATGAATTATTTATCATGAAAACAACCTGGATATGAAAGTTAATAGAAATCGTAAAAGTCAACGCACTTTGTAAGCATTTTGAAAGTCGTTGATAAATCTGCTAGGCTATTAACTTTTTCTTTAATTCGCAAGGTTTCTAGCTCTGTCAGTAGTCTAATGTAGGACAAGCCCTGTTTTTGTTGAGCGAGGATGTTTTCAAAGTGTAGTACGTTACCAATGCAACGTTCCTGTCCCGCACTCATTGTTATCGGCTACTCATAGAAACGCCGCTTTTTTTCTTTTCTTTCGGTAAATAATTGCTACTTGCTGGCTGGCGTGTTGCGAAAAAAGAATGTCTTTCTAAAGATTTGCTACTGTTTCCTTTATTTTACAACCCACCTATATCGCTCTGCAATCTCCTTAGCTGTCTCTTTTACAAAGATTCAATAAATTACTTGTGCGATGAAATTTTTTTTATAAAGATTTGGACAATAAATTGCTTGTTAAACATGCATGTTTGAAAATCTAAGATTCCGATTTTTCCACAAATGTATAGCATCTCAAAAATTTTCACAAAACTGCTGTCAATCCCTGCCAAAGAATTGATTCTCTAAGCAAGCTCATTGATCCCAAGCAAGCTCATAAGTTATTGATCCCTAGCTTACTTGAGTTCAATAAGGATACATCGGTGGTCCAAAAGAGAGTCACATGAGTTTGTCATAGCATACTTCATGACAGATTTGTGAAGCTTGTGACTAATTTCCTTGTAACAGCAGACTTGTGTCAACACATGGGTGTTAAGTTGCAATTCATCACAGAACAGTCCAACTTCCTTTTTTGTCCTCTCTTTTCTCTAAAAATAACTAAAACTTACATTATTCCACTTATATTGTTTCATGGAATGTTTTATTCAAATACCCTGTCCATTAGGTTGCAGTGATGAGCTCAGGAGATCTTTTGCCAAGTTATGTGTTAACTGAAAGTTACTCACATGCTTGTCATTTATCACTGCTGAGATCCCATCCTGAACGCCTCTTTTTCTTCCAGTCAATTATTTTCCATGTTATGAATGAATGAATTTACTTTTACCTGGTAATTTTTCCTTTTGATAGAACCATAAATAGTGATGCCAGATAAGTGTCATCAAGCACTTCCTAGAAAACTATTGTTTTGAAGGATCCCACTTCCTTTGTTGAGGCATGGAGCCATTCATTTGTACATGCATTATGACATTCCTTTAACAAGTTAAGGGATTATTGATAGAGCATCAGTTAAACAAAGAGATTTGGGGTCATTATAAGTTTCCTCTACTATCAATACAACCTCTGATTTCCTTAATTGTAAACACAAAGTTGGTGGTTATTTATAATTATTTGCCCATTTTCTTGTCTGATTATGACAATTTGTGTCTGGGCACCTTAATGCAACATGTGGGCCTCAAAACCCTAGCTATTAACATAATCATTCATATTTAGCTAAAAAATTTGTCCATACTTGTGTATTCAAGCCCCTGGTAGTTTTAAGAAGAAGTATGTCTTTAGTCCAGAGGTTGCCAATATTGTACATTCCATTCTTTTTTTCAGAATTTTCAGTATTCACTTGAGATTTCATCAAGTAATCCTCAAGTTGCACCTATCAATTTTGCATTACCTTCAATTGGAACAGTTCCAACATACAATGAAGGTAATTTTAATTCACTGTTCACTTGTTGTTTAGTTAGCACTGTAATTGTCCTATCAGATATCTCGTAAATCCAAAATGTTGTCCAGGGCTGAAGGAAGAGGTCTTTCCTCAGTTTTCAGAAGAGAGACAAAATGCCTTTTTGCAGCTTGATAAATATTTATATATATATACTGTATTTTGCCTACATGTGCCCTGCCCCCCCTCCACTTTTGGATTGCTTCCTTTTTCCATGGTCCAGATATTATGCTTAAATTTTTATTGGTGCAGTGATTTTCATTTGTTTTTGAAAGACCTGTTATGTATTATTTTAAACCCCTGTTTTTTTAAATTTGTGAAGTTAGACAGACTATTTTGTGAACAGTTTATAACTTGTACCTGTTTTTCAAAAAATTAAATATCAAGGGGCTCCGCATGATGAGGGCTTTTTTATTAAGTGTTGTAAATTATTCACAAACAACCTTCACAGATTCAGCTAGCAACTGAGGCAAAATATAAAATTTGTGGAATTGAATCCATAGTATTTTCTTTATATTATTTTGAAACCAATGTTTGAATATGATGTTTCCATCAAAATCTTTTAATTTGAATTATTTTTCAGTCTTTTCCTTGGAATTTCCATGCACTCACAAAGGAGGGATAACTGAGCTTCATTTCTCTGTAAATTTCACTCAAAAAGGGATTTTGAAGAATCAGCTCAATCTTATTGTTAAGAAAGAATGCAGTTTGTGTGAGTATAACAAGCTTGTGATAGTTTAATGCAGCAACAGTTTATTTTGGCAAGTTTCTTGTCTTTTTATCTGAAATTATTTTTTTCGTCAGAAAGTCCTATGAGACTAGGTAAATTTATAAATATATTTAATTAATAGCTTTTTTAAGAACAATTAACTTCAGGTGCAAGCTTTTATTATATACAGAGGTGTCCCCTTGTTAGTATGTTCAAAAAAGGCCCCGATATACTTATTTTCATGTCAGTATGTTTGTGCACAGAATATTGCAATGTAGCAAGTTTCATTAGTATATTTATATGTATATATCTTTTTTAATTTAGTAGAAGTTAGGCTAAAAATCAGACATGTCTGCTGCTGGTTGAACTTTGTCTGTTCCATCTTTTTTATATATCTTTACATTGATGTCTCAAAAATGTGTGTATTTGCATAGAGTGTATATTATATGTATAATTGGTCTCTGTTTTTCCATGATATAGCACTGCCACATATTGATACAAACAGTGCTGAGACTGGGACGAACGTTCAGAGAAACACAATAATTGCAGCTGCTGCTGGTGTCACAGTTTCGTTGTGTTTCTTGCTTTGTATTGGTTTATATATTCGCTACCACAGAAAAACGCGTAGGCTGCAGATGAAGTTTGACACAGAGTATGAACTTGCTGCCAATAGGTATATTGAATATTTATAAATTATATATATATATAATGTATATATGCTATAGTTTTTCAAACCAAGGTGAATTATTACTGTTAAGTGACACTGTTGTCAAAATATATATCCCCTATGTCAGCATAATGAATAACTTGTATATGGGCATAAATTTGAAAATTGCATGTGTTTGCGTTCAGTTTTGACAATTCCCTTTCTACATATGCTTAATCACCCTAAAATGCTTCTTACATGGAAACTTTACCTGTGTAAAACAGCACAGACATTATCAGGCTGTCTTTAGCATATGTTTTTGGTTTTGATAGGAATATATATGAATTTATTTTACTGTTAAACGAGGCAATTCTTTGTCATTATTGTATGTATCTAGGTAATTATATTGTTTGCATTGTTGTTCTTATGTAATTATATTTGCTTACTAAGCGAAACAAGACAAATCAAAGACCAGCATGATTTGATTAATCATGTTTATGAAGAGGAGGATGATGCTCCACCACGACCCATTTTCAATCCAAAGAAGGCAAAATCAAAGAAATGGAATAAATTATCAAGACATAGAAGGAATTTGAGAATTCCAGTTGAGGGCAATCCACCCTCTGCATATCAGCAGTCCACAGCAACCCCTGCTTCCCCAGGATCTGTGATGAGAGTGCTTGAAAATATTCCGGAAGAGCATGAAGAAAACAAAGAAGATACAGAAGAAGAATGTGATGAAGAAATGAGACCTATGTTGTCTAGTAACTGCAAAAATGGTTCTCAGGTTGACAAAAAACCCCCTGTCTCACAAGGTGAGTGACTATAACATATTACTTAAATTATAATTATCATGCTTTTTTCAAAGATAACTTGTATTTATCTTTAATCAGTTATAAATAGGCAATTTATTACTTGTTTGTTAGAAAAAATTAAGCAAAATCAATTAAGACAGATATTTGACAAATTGTTTGAGGCTTATTGTATATATGAATATCAATAAATTAAGTTAGGGATAATTGAATTGGATTCTGGAAACTTGAATCTTTTGAAGCCTTTTTAGAGAAGTTTTCATTTGCTAATGTAAATAATGTCCAAGATAGACAAAATGTGTAAAACCAGTTCAAGTGTTTGTATAAGTAGAATTTTAACCTTATTTTATTTTAGATCTTGATGAGGTGTCAAAATGCCCAGCTAAGAAATGCAAGCGATCAAAACATTCACAGAGTGGTCATGTTGAAGTTACCCTGTCTGGGGATCGAGCAAATGGTCACAACTGTCATACTAGAACTGACCACGAAGATGGTCTCTACCATGTTTTGAATGATCATTGGAGGCAGCAGTTTAGCGGCTACATTCTTGAGCAAGATGCTGTTGCCATTGACCCCAGGCCCTTTTCAAAAGGTTAATTGCAATGAAAAACACTTCTGAAAGCTGCTAATTGCTTCTTGACTAATTTTTGTCAATTTTTGAGTTTTTATTGAAATGAGGCTTTTGCTTATGATTAAAACATGTTTGTGCTCAGTTCTTTTGCTCCAAAAGTTCAGTTGCAGATGTTTCCTTTATTATATAACCTTCAAAATAGCTTCAATTGAGCAATGGAATAAATTGATGAAACAGTTGCATAGTTTCCACATTTATCAAAATTTTTGTTTCTGCATTTTGAGTTTGTTCAGAGTAACAATAGTGGAAGGTGATTACACATTATGCTTTCAGACAAATAACAAAGCTTCTTTCGTATATTTTTTTTTAATTTTCTCAATTAGAGCCCTTCTCAGTACTAGTCAAAGCTCATTATTTCTAAGGTCAAACTTCATAATTTTTTCATCATATCAACAAACAGTAAACAATATTTTTGTTGGCAGGTGCCTATGGCTATGTACACAAGGGAAGAGCAAGAATTTTGAGGCAGGAAGACAAAGTTATGCTTGTTGCTGCTAAAATCATGAAAGGTGAAAACTGGGTTTATCAGACATGCACTCTTTATTACCTGATCCCTGATTAAAAAAAGCTTGAAACATTTCCCAACTTCAGTTTTCCAAAGAAAGTTTTTCAGAATAAGTATTAGAAATGGTGAAGGTGTTTGGGGAGCATCTCCTCTAAATAATAGCAATTTAATTTTCATAGTTGAGTATATATTTGATTCCAGCCAAGAGTGTTTCAGTACAATTGAGGAGCTTTTATATATTTCGTATTAGTACTATTTAGGATAATTTTTTCACCATATATTTCAATGTGTTCATTCAAGTCTATTGTCTCTTGCCAACAGATTCGATGGATTTTGAAACAGTATCTGCGTTTGTCTCAGAAGCAGTCATAATGTCAAAGTTTGATCATCAAAATATCCTACAACTACTTGGGGTTGTTATACAAGGAAATGCTCCACCAATGATAGTTATGCCATATATGAAACATGGGGACTTGAATCAATTCCTTCGAAATGCTCGAGCCACGCCAAGAAAACCACAGGTTTGTTTTCACTGATTATTATTGTTTATACAACTGTGATACCTTGATTGAGCACATCTTCCCCTAATTAATTCACCAAGTATTAAAGTAACATTTGTTACAAGCACCCTTTTTAAGAAAGGCATTGTAAACAAAGGCATGGATACCTGTTTGGTAAGTGTATAGAACTGAATTAAAGAACATTTGAAGGAAAATAAGTACACTCTACGCCATGTAATCTGTCTATGGTGTTTGCAAGATATCATTTTCAAAGGATTTTCTACAGTTTTTTATAGATGAAGTTGAAACTAACCTTAGCAAAATTGAAAATTTTCAAAACTTGCTATTAGTTTTAGGCAATCAACTGATACCAAAAGCTCATAAGCCATATTTCAATCAAAAAGTGACCAATCAAAAAGTGTGATTCCACTCATGCGCTTGTTGACTTGCTATCGATTGCCCTTATTTTTGCCCCTATTTATGTCACCAAGTGAAATAAACTGCTTTGTAACAACCCTCTTTTATGCAATCCCAGAATAGAATGGGGCAAAAAAGGGTAGAAAACACAAATTATTACATGTGTTGAAACAAAGATGTGAAAAATTGTCTCCTATTTCCGGTCATTTCTGTGAAGCAGGGAAACTTTCCAATAAAATCTTCAAATAACAGATTTTCCAATTTCAAAAAGATCTTATTGTCATTTTAAATTTTTTTATGTTCAGTGCTCCTCCTTTAGAAAAATAGAATTCTTAGCACCTTAAAATTGCCTTGTGTTTAGATGAGTTGTTTGGCTCTTTGGATATATATATCCATCAGTTTGAGACTGTAAACTACAGTTTGGTTCTGACCAAGGTCACTAATTACAATTGGGTAGCATTTATGTGAAGATGTTCCGTCTTACCGCTTTTGTTTTGTGGTTGAATTTATGAATATTGAAAACAAATCTCTTTTTTTGCAGCTTCTAAGCACACGGCAGCTTATCAACTTTGGTCTTCAAATCGCAAAAGGAATGGAATATTTAGCAAATATGCGATATGTTCACAGAGATCTAGCAACAAGGAATTGCATGTGAGTTTTTCAAGATAGTTTGAATATTTTTGTGTATGGTGTTATCCTTGCCACATTTTATTAACATAAATTTATTTATATTCCTCAAAACAAACTAGGCTATTATAAATTAGGATTAAATTACAAATCTTGTATAAACATTAGAAGATGACATATAGTACAATTGAATAAACTACATATTCGTTTTTAAATTATTTAAAGAAAGCACTGTTTTAATTGAAATCACTCTTGGCAAATTTTCTCCAAACGTGTCTCCCAACAACACATAACAACATGGACTTTTCTAACAACTTTGAAAGATTAATTTTTAAAATTTTCCTTCTTTCAGGGTAAGTGAAGAACTTGAAATCAAAATATCCGATTTCGGTCTGGCAAAAGAAGTTGGACATGATGACAGCTATGTAATGGCAAAGAAAACAAAGCTGCCAATCAAGTGGATGTCAATTGAAAGCCTGAATGGCGTGTTCTCAGAAAAAAGTGACGTGGTAAGTGGGGTTGGGTAATTTCTAATCAACAGATATATGCACACGTATTCTATATAGTTTTTTTATTTTCTGTGACAAAACTTGAGTAATGTCACACCTCAATTGCAAGAACCTTACGAGAAACTCCAGGCGATCTAGGCTATATTTTCTGATTAAAATAGTCACGTGACAGGGGCAGACACTTGTTCAAATATTGGGGGCAAGCCTATTGTTTTTATATGATTGCGTTACGTTTTCCTTATTTTTTGAACAAAGGACTATTATCCTCCAAAATATTAGTGGTTTACCGCATGTCTTGGGGGCGCTCATGTGACTTTTAGAAAGAGCTTAGCTGACTTAGGCCTAAATTTTATGTTACTATTACCAGCAATATTTATTTAAATAGCTATAAGTAGAGCTGACTTAATGGTGTTCAATATATTAATAAATTTATTTGTGTTTTTAAACAGTGGTCGTTTGGTGTTGTTCTTTGGGAACTGATGACATTGGGCAAGCAACCCTACTCAGGAATCAATAGCACATCTATGGAAGAGTATTTGTTAAAAGGAGAGAGGTTATCACAGCCGAAGAACTGTCCTGATGAAATGTGAGTATTTAGTAAAGGAGTATTAATGGGTTACATTTTCTTGAAGTTAACGTCTCTTTTTAGATAATTTGAGCTGTACTATCCATTAGTGAGTTACCTGTGACATTTTATGTTTCTGTGTAAAGGTCGACAAAAATCTTTTTGCCAATTACACAACACATTGATGTTTTGCATCGAGTCACTTATAAAACAGATTTTATTTGTATATATATTACCAAATTGCTCCATTTACTTTTAGGTATACAACAATGCGACTCTGCTGGAGAGAAGACCCTTGCGAAAGGCCGCAGTTCTCAGGACTCTGTGAACGAATTTCCTCTTATGAGTCAAAATACAAGAAGTATTCTTTGGACTTTACCTTGGCTAAATCGCAACCTGTTGCATCATGATTATTATATCTGTAAGTGTGTAAATAAGCCTGTAAATATGATTTTTCTATTATGTCCGTTAATAAAGTAAATTATTTTTCAATTTCACACACTAACCGGTTCTACCTTGAAATCTATTCTTCTCTGGCTTTCCACTAATATGCTTTGGAAAGAATACAAAATCATCAGTGTAAAACTATTATTCGCAGCACCAAAATGCTAAATATCTCGTGTTTAATCGTTATAAAGTGATAATAGAAAGGCCATTTCATTCTCTAATACTGTTGATTTGTTTGATATTCTTTCCTATATTCAACTCACCACAATTATTTTCTTGTCAACCTTTATTTATTGTTTCTTATGACTTCAAGATTGAAGTTCCTATTTTCATTCCCTGTCGGAATTTTTGCGTTAATTTTTATACCCATCATATTACTTACCTTTCTCGAGTTTGTATTGTTTTAAACACCCATGGTAGTTATACATAGATGTACATCAAATACACAACTCGTAACACATATTATATCAATAAATCATTGTATATTTGCAAGGTTAGTTTCAAACATGCATGATGCTCTTATTAAGGCGTTCAATATATTTGTCAAGGATTCAGGAATCAAATTTGTTTTTGACGGGGCTAAAGGGCTGTTGATTTTAGCTATATTTTTATTGCTATGCCAGTTCTAGATAAAGTTTATATGGGTTTTCTAAAAACCAATAATAATTTCCACAATAAACAATATAAGTTGTATAGCCTTTGGTTCACCTATGGTATGCTTACCAATCATTTGTTTACCTACCAATCTTCATTATACATGTAGTCATTTCTGCCAGACCAAATTTTCATCAACACTTCAGTCTTAGACCATTGACAGGAATTTTATGCCTGAAGAGCATCAACATCAACCACCCAACTATAACATTCTTAAATGAAATATTTTATCCTTTTGATCTGTGTAAACCCAACCTGTTCTGATTTCGCATCGTCAATAGCCGTGCATTTATACATCAATCGTTTTTGATGTAAAGATTGGGTTCCTTTATTTATCTTTGCATGTATTTATTTTTAAATAGTATTGTTGATTGTTCAAATGGGAAAACGTTGACGCTTCGATAATTCGGAAATCTTTGTACAAATTGATTCATAGAGTGTTTTTAAGATTATAGTCTATTATTACTTCCGTGCTTGATCATGAATATAATTCATATCCTTTCCCACTCGTTATTTGTTAGAACAATGTTGATAATAGAGATATGTTTGAACCTTTTGTAATTTGTTGATTATGAATCACTTCAAACATTAGTCAAGAGTACGCTGTACCAGTTTCACGTAAATGACGATCCATTTCCACTTCAAAGACGACCCATTTTCCTGCAAAGTTAATTTCATCAGGTTCATCTTCAACTCACCATAGGCTCGAATTATGCCGTTTTGAGGAGTCTTTCTCAGACTTCTGACACCCGTCTGAAACGACATTCCTCTTTTCTATACCTCGCATACAACGTCCTTAACGGTTGCAGGTACAGCGTTTTCTTTTGTTTTGTGGCAAGAAACTGGGCTGTAAGATCAGATTTCCTCGAACATTTAAAAGATTCGTTCACCAGCCTCCTGTTGTATGAAGTCATTTCCAGCTTCTTGCCCGTCTTGCCTCTTTGTCATGTTGCGTATGCTTTCTATAGCTCAGTTACGGTAGTAATATATTGTAAATAGTAAGAATGTTACATTTAGTTGCGGGTTGTTCGCGTGCTGTTTGCGGGATTTTCAAGGGCTGATTCTGCTTCGATTCCAAGTCCCGTTGCCGTTTATAATCTTTTGTCGCTCCCTCCTTTTATAACCTGTCCCTCCGTTTCAACATTCGCCTGCTTCAAGTGATCATCACTTTAAATAGATTTGATATTTTTATCTCCCGCCCCTTCCCGCACAAATTCTGTCTCATCCCCTCGTTCTAATGTTGTTTGGTGGCCGTAAAGAGGCTGGTTCGATGAACCTTTGCCCTCGTAGTTTTCTATGTTCTCGCTGCAATCAAAATGCGATTTGCGAACACTTCGTTGCTAAATTTCTCTATAACATTAAACTGTAAATTGCAATTGGTAAAACTGTAAATAATATTTGTAATAGATCATTGTGTTAAAGGTGCGCCCGTTTCGGAAAAATGCCAACGTAATTTGAATGGTGGCAACTTGTGTAAATATATATTATTTGTCTAATCGTATGATGAGACTTCGATCCGTTTACCACATTAGTTGAAGATCTCAGTTAATTTTCTCCATAAAATACATACAGAAAATTACGTCAAGCCTTTCTATTTCGTATATCTACGAGTTTCTGGTTCACGACGAAGACAGCTTGCAAAGGCCTAAGTACTACACACTACACTTTTTCAATAAAAAATTTCCAAATGACGCCAGTATTTAAAATTTCTTTGATTTATTAAACAAAATTCAAAGATTTTCTATTTACTGCTTCTGAGGCATTTTCAAGTACGGTGCAATGCTTTGAAGAATTGCGCTTTCGACAAAATGAGCCTTGAATGATATTGTAAAATTGCTTCAGGCCCTGAGCTGACGGGTGCTCTAGCTATGGCAATCAGTATTTTAATAATGACGTCATCACGTGCCACGTCTTTTTCCTCCGGGTCCAATAAGAAAAGCTCTCGAAAAGCCTTCATCAGCATGGCCGTAAAGCACAGATTCGAGTGTCAGTTGAAAAAGTATAGCATTGGACAAGCCATATGAGAATTGAAATTGGTATTGACAGAAAATTCAAGTGATGTTGTCATATAGATAAGGAATAAAGCAATGTAGTTAGCATTACAAAAGATGTGAATGGCGTGAATAGTTTTCGAAAGCAAAACATGAGTTTAAGTTTCTTAGATTCTTAGTTTTTCTTTGAACTCAGTACTACACTTTCTTAACGTTAACACTTTGTCATAGAAGCACTTAACCAATTTTAGTGAGACTCGATATTACGAAAAAATTAGAAGAGTGCAAGAACACGTCTGGCCTCGGATGAAAAATTAGTAGAAAAAACATTATTTTTGCAAATTGCCTTTCGTGTTAGCAAAACAGAACAGATTTTTTCAACTATGACCTGTCCTACTAAAAGATGTCATACATAACTGTTATTTTGGGGTCTTATGAACAATCTATATTATGTAGATATAACAACTTTCATAGCGCCATGTCGTTTAAAGGCCGTCAAAAGCTTGAAACCATTTGGCTTTTCAACCTTGTTTACACTTTTGAAGAAAAAAATTCTATTTACTGACAGGTGATTAAACAAATTTCAATTATGTACTCATGTCAGTGTGGTACTTACTGCTCAAGAACAGTAATTAGCGTTAAACAGGGGTAAGGCCGTGCAACCTTCTGTTATGTGTTTTTTTAAAGAAATATACTGTTTACACTCTTTAAATACACTCTTTCTATATAAGAACAATTTTAATAAGTACAGGCTGAGGCTTGGCTACTGTAAAATGTTATTTTAAGCAACAATTCATTGCATTTTTTGAGGATTTAGCGAGGATTTTTTGCAATGTGTTGGTGCTTATTCGGGGAATTTAAAAACTTAAAGCAAATGAAGGTTGTCTCAGTCACTTTGCTGGCAAATGAGGCCTGAACACCTCCCTAGAGTTAAAAAGCTAGCAATCACACTGATTACACCCTATTAATTTAAAAACAAATTAAGAATAATCCAGCCTCAAATTTTCGAAAACAATTAAGAACAGTCATTCTGAACTTAAATTTACTGGTTCTTATAAAAAAAGAGTGGAAAAGATATAAAAAGCATAAATTTCAGGGTTCTTGTGCCTATGCCATTTATTAAAGGGCTTTTATGGTTAACGTTATATCATTTCCCTCTTTTTGTTTGGTTTTCGAATAACTAACACTCAGAAAACTAAATTAATAGAAATTAGAAAATCAAAATCGGGGATATGCGGTTTTGCCTTGTAAAAAATTTGGGGATGTGACTTAAAGCAATTTGAATTAGTGAAATATATTTAATTTTTAATTTTTTCTACTTTAGTTTAGGTTTAAATAAGATAACTACATACAGCTTCCATCCCTATATATTTTAGTCACTGTGAAAAATGATTTCTATTATTTTACTAATGCAAGACTTTTAATGTAAGATATTAATGTAAGTAAGAAAATCTAAAAAATTGTATCTGCACTGAAAAGACTAGTGGAATGTTATCCCTTACTGTTTTCATAAAAATGGAGTGTCACAAACACTGAAACACTAGATACAAGTTAATATAACTTTAAATTTGCTTCCTGATTCCTGATTTTTTCCCTTTGACTGAGAAGAGCTTGGAAAAAAGGTCAAAAATTTCTTACGTTGTAAGTCTTTCAGTGACAGTGTCATATTTCTTTTTACCTTAGGCCTTATTTTCAGATCCCGTAAGATGTCTATACGGATCGTCCGCTTTTATTATTACTAGATTTTTAAACACGGGGAATAGGAAGTTACCAGCAGCAGTTTCAAGGACTGCCGGGACTGGGGCAGAAAACATCTGCGGGACTCTTGTTCTTTACAGTATCTATCTTTTTTCTTAGATGTGGGGCCCCTTTTGGCTACCATAAGCGCGGGGCTTGGGGCCATGCCCCCCTGGACTCCCGTTAAAACCACCCCTAGAAGGTACTCGTGGAGTTTTTGGGTGTTTATGGCTTATGCTAGAATGGGGCCTTGAAAATGCCACTTAGGCTCCTTCGTCAACAGTACGACAGGATATCTTGTAAATAAAACAGGATATATTGTAATCATTTTCAGTCAGACTCACATATATCAATATATAGAATATGACTCAGGTAACCCCCTTCCCCCTGCCTCCAAGAGCAATTCGTCATTCATGTAGTAAAAGCCTGTATTTCAGAACCATTTTGGAATCCTTTTAATGCTAGGACTCCTGCCTGAAGCTCACTCATCCAATAGCCTTTTGCATAGTCCTTTCGTGCAGCAAAGAAATGTATTTATGAGATTGTAATAAAAGTTATTTGATGTTCTTATCATTATATCCTTTGCAGGGTTATCAGCTTCTCCCTGAACTGACACTAGGATTGCCAATGAAGTGGCAAGACGACTGACTCAGGAAAACAGGTACGTTAAGAATCATGTTTTCAACTGTATTTAGAAAGAAACAATATGCTGAAAATCACTGAGCATTTGTAACGTATTAACTCGAGGGGGCAATTACCCCACAAACCCCAGTGACATTTTTAGGTTTCAGACGATAGGGTATTGTTCTTTTTCAAGAAGACAGGAGAAAAACAAGTTGTTTGTCAGTCTCATCGAAGATCATTTTAGGTATTAAATTTCTACTACCGTTCTTATCTTCCTAGAATATTCCTTTGTAAATATAAGCTGCGCCAAACCATGCTCATTTTTTCACTGTGATGTTTCTTGAGAAATGTTCTCAACTGTTTTTTGTCGAAAACATTGGTTTACGTAAATTTACATATCTCGTTTCACAAATTAAAACCCTCTTTAATGATTACATAATCGTAACCTTTAAATACAAAAGAAAGGAAGCACAAGACGAGTAAATGAAAGCCATCCATTAGCAGGGACGCCGGAACGACCAAGGGGCAAGAGGGGCAGGCTAAAGTAAAAGGGCATTTTAAAAATAATTCCCAGCTTCTTCTAATTCATTCGTAATTGCCATTTTACTTCGATCTTTTGTAGTTATCTTGAACGTTGGTTAATTTTTGGCATAAGGTATTTTTACAAGTTTTGAGAAATATCGTCATGAATTAGGCACTACAATCAGAATTTCATTTGAATCGCTTTTATTGTTACCAGTGACCGATTTTAAGAACATTTTAATGAATAAGATCCTCTGGTCCCCCTTGCACCTCCTACCAAAAGGCAACAGGGGTGGTCGACCCCCGCGCCCCTTTCTCCGGCGCCCCCTGTCCATTATTGACTTTACTGTTAGATTTATCTGCTGGGTTACAGCAGGGGTGCCGTGAATGGGAACTCTGGGAGCTCAGCTCCTTCTTAAAATTCAGAGAAATTTTAGGGGGCTCAGCCCCAATATACATTTAATTGGGGACGTTCCTTACTGGCCAATGTGAATTGTGAAATAACCCTTTATCATGCTATTGATTTTCCATTGATGAGCAACTTCTATTAGCCTTTGAGAGTCGGTGAATTGTTTGATAGTTTTCATAGACACAACAGAGGATCTTTAACACAAAAGCAAGTACATAGGGTGTGACCGTTGGCGTGGTCTCAGCACAGCCCCCTTTCTACCTTTTATAGGATGGCACCTTGGTTTTAAAGTGGCTTTTTTCAAGCGTTCCCGTAAGGTAAACACAAGCTGTCTAACTTACATGTTTTAGTAGTTATAACATAGCGGGAAATCAAAGGGAACGCTATTTATACTGATTTCTGGTTCTGGAAGGGAGGGTACGGCGAAATGGGACCACTTGCTAATCGCATATTTATTGCTTTCGAATTATTTTTTAAGAATAAAGAAAAGTATTTGCAACTTTTAGAAGTCTTAAGTTTTTAATGGAATAGTCCAGAAAGAGATCCAACTTTTAAGCTTCTTTCAACAGCTTTACGGCTGCGCCAATGACATTACCACTAGAGGATTTTCGCGGTTTTCACCGTGGATGCGAAAAAGGCTGTTTTTTCACAGAGGAAAGTGAATCTTGGCATCTACATCCCAGAAAAGCTTAAGAAATTGCCACCGCAAACTCAGACTGGGTGATTTGCAAATAACAAGACGGCATTTCTGTAACGAAAGAGTTGAAAATGACCTCTTTTTTAAGAATAGTCGCGGGAGTTGGGTTACTGTCCATACTGATTTGGATTCTTTATTTTGATGTTGGCAGCTAAACTCATTAAACGTTAATTTTAAAGGCAATAGCTGGATTTACGCGACACAGCAGGGCATTTCGATTGGTATCAGTAACTGGAATTCGCTTGAAAGCTCTTGGTGACGTGTTTGTGCTAGCCAAGATCAAAATTGGCAAGAGTTGTTACATAAGTTTTCAAGCCAAACACCTTTGCACAACTTTGTTCTACAGAAATAATGATGATTTGGTAATCACTCATAAATCAACTTAATCATAATAATAGACGTGTCTTTGCAAATTACATGCAAGGTTGATTTATTCTGAAGACGTATGTTCAACAGTCAGAGCACCGGAATTTTAGTTGCATCTTCTTCAGCCAAAGCTATGCATCTTTGTTGCAATACAAATTTTGTGGGCAAAACAGTTCATTCTACTTGATTCCTTGCATAAGAGTTGATGCTTGGAATTTTTTGTTGCTTCAAGGCAAGGAGTTTTGGGTGGAAGATCAGAATTTGATCTTGATTCTACATCAATTGTCTCAATAGATACGAGCCTTTAGCTGAATTATTGGATGTTTGCTTAGCTTCTTCGCTGCAATATTCACAGAAGCTAAATCAAGTCAGCATTTAATACTGCAGAGGTAAATATATTCTTACTGTTAGTTTAAGCAAAAGATTTTTAAGATTGTGTGCAATCAACTCTTTCTATGAGCATGGGTTTTTACGTTAACTGTAGAATAAAATTTATTGATTGGCATCTTCAAGTGGTCTATAAAAGATGTAGTCAATTGGTTGGATAATGTAGCTTTTCAATGCGTTAGGTAAAAAGCTTACATCGTAAAAGGTCTGCAAAAACCCTAAACGAGTTAAAACCTATGATAGAACAAATGCAGAAAGTCTGGGGATTTTATCAAGTAAAATGCTGAGATGCTGAGCGAAGAGGTCGAAAGTTCTGATGTTCCATCATTTCATTCATTCGTCCCTCTTTCATTCGTCAATTGCATCGTTGGTCTTAGTCAGGTTAATATTGATCATCTTCATTGTATTCAGTAGACAGTAAAAATGGTTTTTGTATTATAAAACTGTACATTCCCACAAATTCAACGAAATTGGCACATTAGGTTGATTGAAACGGTAGTTTTTTGTTCAGTATCGTTTTGAATCTGTCACCATTTGATTTGTTCTTTGTATTTGAAAGGACTGGGGACAAACCCATTCAAAAACGTTGCTATTAGCAACAATTAGAAACGAAACAGAGAGGCAAAGTGGCCTAGCCTTCGATAGGCAACGTAAAAATGTATTACACCCGGCGTCAGACATCAAACATAAATAAGCAATGGTGGTAGAAAAGGATGAAAAAGAGCCTGGCTGCAGTGACAGTGAGGGTGCAGAATACGATGACTGTAGTGAAGGAGAGACTGAGACGGCAGCACAGGAGTCAACCGAAGCAATGGGAGCTCAAGGGGAAACTGCTGCTGATCCCAAAGATAATGTCCCTAAAGAAAAACAAACGAAACCAAAGACAAAAAGGAAAAGAAAAAGGTAATTTTGAATACTAAACATGGTTTTTTAATTCACAAAAAGAAGGATAACAACCACCATTCCAAGGAAATAGAAAAAGGTAATTTTGAATACTAAACATGGTTTTTTAATTCACAACAAGAAGGATAACAACCACCAGTGTTGTGGAATGTCTGACTTCTGACCTCTTAAAAAATAAAGTTCTTATCTCGGATTCATTTTTCAAATTTTGTATTGCACTCTGATTCATTATAATTCACATCTGTCATTGCTTTTATAATCTCAATTGTTGATCAATGTTTTCCCAACCAGAATATGCATGCATAATTTTATTGACCTACAAAAATAAGATAAAGTGATTGAATATATGTTTGCATGTTTATAAAAAGTAATATTAAGTATTTCTGCTGCTAATAAAGTTCTTTAGTTCTTGTGTTATAAAATCAAAGCTAATATCCTAATAAATGTTTCAGGTGGCTGCTGGTGAATTTAACAACATGTAAATATGATTCAGGTAAGTAAGGCCTTGATATATTTTGAACAAATATTCTCAAAATTAATTTTTAAACCCTGTAGATACTTGTAAATGAATGCATATATACACTCCCCTCACGAAAGTATTTGGACAGTTTCGAATTCAGTTGCGAATCGAAAAAATATAATTTTATCAATATGTAAGCAAACTCTGTGAGGGTTTTTCCTCAAGATGGTAGCAACCAAAACACATGAATTGACTTCTGAGCAGTGTCTAGAGATAATTTTTTATCACAATGATGGGAAAATGCTATCATTAAATTGCTTATATCATTGGATGCACAAAGACTCAAACCTTCAAGCTATGCAAAAAAAATTGAAAAATAAGAAGTCTAAAAATTTTTCACGGTCACAAAGAGCACAAGCTCTCGTGACACCAACTTCTGAGCGCTCCGCCCTGACCAAACTTGCGTCAAAACTGGTTTGCATCATTACGCAAAATTGCATTAAATGTTTATGAACAATTAAACTTTCAAGGAAATTGCAAGGAAATTGATAAAGAATTGTGAATGTACCCTCGTACCGACCAATTTCAGCAAGACTTGCAGCGGTAAAGAAATAATATGGCTTTATGGCCCTGCACTGAATGATATTTCTGCTTTGCAAGAAAATGTTAAATGTTACCAAATTTCAGCCATGTTTTATAATCGATTGGCGCCATCTCCATGCAAACATTTTTCCCAACTGAGAGTGAATACGTTGTATTTCTCTTCTTTATTTGAAAATATTTTTGTCTCAATAACCAGGTGTGTAAAAAATTACCATTTTTTATTGGCCCATTTTAACTGAGTCCAAATCACCTGACTTTGCCTTCTTCGCTTATTTGACATCAGTTGATTTGCATGAGGCTTGTAGCGCAAAGGTTTCTCATTTTAACAAAAAATGATAACAGATAAAAAGCGCAGAAGTTTTGCAGCAATTTGATGTTCTGGTTTATTTTGGAAGGGTTTCTCAAAAAATTATTATCACAAAGTTAAAAAGTCGTTTTTGCCAGCCTAAATTTGTTTTTGTTTGAAAGAGCAATCGATCTTCGAACTGTCCGGGTACTTTCGTGAGGGAAGTGTATTTATACTAGATTGACCTCAGTGTGTTTAAGAATCCACTTCAAATATCATATGCAAATATATTCTTACCCTCAGAACTTTTCAGTAGCAATGTTTATATGTGTTATAGTTTAAATGTGTTGTTTTGGTTGTAGATGACCTTGTTGTTTTTATCACCTGACAGTAACACTTTCGAAAGTCTTTTGTTTATAATCAAAGTCATCAGACAGTAACACTTAGAAAAGTATTCAAAGACAGCAATTGTTTGCAAATCTGGGGATCTGGACCCCCTTTCACATTTTTTTAAGCTTTACCAGTTATCAGTAGTTGACTGTGACATGTTATCCCTTGCCTGTAACCATCCCATTGGCCTTGGCACACTGGAGCCAGGGGGCTGAGTGGGCTGTAGCCCCCCTACTTTCTTGCTAAAGTATGATTCCAAGGTTGTGGCATCAAATATAATGGTGGCAAACTATTTAAGGAGCCCCCCCACTTTTCTAGAGCCCCCCACCTTTCTAGAGCTCCCCACTCTTATATGCACTCTAGCATCTCTGTGGCCATTGTTGTATCAAGATATCATGCATTTGATGGATCACATACAGAGCAGGATTCTACTTTTACCTACAGGACTAGAAACATTTTCTAAGTACCAAACATTTATCAATAATTTCTAAGGTTGATTCTGTTAATAACAGACAATAAATGGTATATAGTAATTATATTGATAATAACATAGTTTATACAGGGTAACAGTAACATCTCCAACACTCCTAGTGATGTTGTTAAGGGTCTCTGTAGCTGTATGAATTAAGATAGTGATGGCAATGCATTTGAAATGAAATTGGTTGATTTTTTGCAGTGAAACGTGTAACAAAGAAATTTGGCTTTCGAGAAGTTAATGATGAAGAAGACTTCATTTTATACTGGACAGATTACTCTGTCAGTCTAGAACGAGTCATGGATATGAAAAAGTACCAGGTACAAATTTTTTGTTTTGACTTCCAAATATTATAATATGATTATGTAAATGGAATTTGATAGTCAAACACACTAATATTTCTTACTAATTGAATAACACTGTAATAATTCTTGATTTTTTCTGCTTCTAAAAGCAACTGTATTCTGAATACTCACTGATTCAACAGTTTAACATATTTTTATTTATATGGCTATTTTTCCACCCTCTCTTCCTTGAATGTGAAAAATATTTCTTCTTCATTTTCAGGACTTGTATTTAATTTGATAATTTTGCATTTATTCTTAGAAAATAAATCATTTCCCTGGAATGAGTGAAATATGCCGTAAGGATCTGCTAGCTCGAAACATGAATCGTCTTTGGAAGCAGTTCCCTAAAGATTACGCTATTTTCCCAAAGACTTGGTGTTTACCAGCAGAGTGAGTCAAGCTAATATGCTTCTTTACTATAATTTAGATTGACTGTTGAAGATGAACAAGTCTGCTCTCTGTTGCATTGGAGCATAAAGTTTTCTAATTAAACTCTTACAAAACTTTTTCTTTTGAGGGCGCGTCACTGGCATATAACCAGGATGTATTCAGGCGGCTGCTGCTGTACTAAAAAAGCAATTTTCTCCTGAATAGTTTGGTATGCAGCTGTCTCCCTCAACTCCCATCCCCTCCAGCTATGGGTCAACATCAAAACGAAGAAACGATTAACTACTCTCTAATCAAAACTTCCTTGAAGCCATATAATTGTCTTCAATGACCCCCCCCCCTATCAGGCCCCTATTTTTGTTAGTTTTTAGGTCGCTTCGGAAAGAACCAGATGGGTCTTGAACTTTTTTAAAACTATTGAAAGATAGTAAATTAACTTGGTTATGCTTTTTCTAAGATGACTGATTTTTGAACACTCTAATTCGCTCTCAAGGAGGATATAGTTTTCGTGAATAAAAGACACGATTTAATGAGTTTTAAGCTCGTTAAAGTAGACCTCTGTTATGGGCAGCATTCTTCGAGTGTTCTGTGGCCGCTCTTTGGCTGTCTTAAGTTCTATTTCTGTTCTGGTTAACACTGTTTCTGTTTGCAAATAAACACAAGTCGCGCTTCTTTTCCCACCACAAGTTTAAGAGATGAAGAATCGTTGATTTTACGCAACCTGTTTATGGAAATCTGATAAGTACAAATTTAGGATTATCCACAACAATATTTTTCATTGGACAATGATACGATTGGCGGTATCGAGATAAAACTTTCCCATAGATTCTATGTTTAACTACATCTTTTGTTCAACCTGCCTATTTTGAATCGGTAAAGAGCTTTATTCCGCTTTGTGTAGTGTCTTCCAAAACCGCATGCCTTTACACATCATTCCTTTTTTACAACTGCAGCATTGATTTGGCTAATAGAGAATGAAAGCACTACTTAATACTCTCTTATAACGGGAAATGCAGTCAACGGTTAAGGGGAACAAGGTTGTTGTCTCTCCACTGTTTTCATAACGGCTCACTCTCTTCAAACTGGTCACATCCCTGTGTTTCGGAGGGGCTGTGTATTTTGCATTTGTATTTGGCTCTACCTAGCATCCGAACGTAGTTTTAAGGACACTGAGACGCTTATGCTTATCGAGCAGTTTCCTGGTCCTTCCTCTTGATGTGACCACACCTCGTGATTCCTACGCCTGCAATTACAGAGAGCTGGCGACTCTCCTCATTCTGGGTGAAAGTTTGGTCATGCTAGGGAGTGTAACCACGGGCCCTTGGGTCTGGAGTCAGCGCCTCAACTTATTTCATGCAAGATCTATTTACATTAGTTGGAGATTCTTTCTCACCATACAATTCATCATTCTTTCTCACCATTAGTTCGTTTTGCAGTAAATGAACTGTCTTATGCAGTCCTTGAAATCGCTTCATGTTAGTCTTAATTAGTGTATATTCACTATTGTAAAAACTAACATTAAATGATCTACAACACAATACAATACAATTTAAGAGGCCCCCTAAATCTGGAGGCTCTGGGGCAGTCTGCCCCTACTTGTCCCCCTCTCGGCGGCCCTGTTCATCTTCCACGCATCTCTTTTGCAGAGGCCTGTTTGTCCATGTTTGTCTGTTTGTATATATTGACCTCCTCTAATTCTGAACTGTGAACTTGAGTCACATGGAAGTGAGGGGTTTTCTCACCAAAGATTTTCCGGGGTTTTACGAACTCACTTCAAAAGGGCCCACCGGGAAATTTCCCGGTGTCCCGCCTAGCCACAACGCCCCTGAGCGTTGTTCTGCACCATGTCTATACCCTATCACTTAATTTCGAGGGCACATGGCAAATGTGTCGTTTTGCATGAAATTGCCCCCAATCCTAGCCTTCGTAATCGTCACGTATATTTTTTTGGCTTTTGACTGTAGTTCTTTTTCAATGAGTTTTCCAGTTCTCTTGATGACGACATTACTCGAACTAATCTTCATGTGCCAGAAGTTAGCCTTTTTAAGATGCCTGCAGCAAATTGAAATAATCATATTAGTTATAAAAAATTATTAAAACCTGCGAATCATTGTTGGTACGCCCTTGTCTCCTAGCCTGCCCCTCTAACCTTACCCCTCTTCCGCCTTGGTTGTCATTTTTTGTGTGCCTACACTTTCTAATTTAAAAATATTGTACTGAGGTGAGAAACTATTCCTGGTTATCAGGACACTAGGAGAGCTCTACAACCCTCTTATCTAAGACTCTTGTGAACTTTATTTTCATCTCTGTATCTTGTCGTGAATTCCTTTTTCCCAACCTGGAGAATTGTTGTTAGCAAACCAGTGTCTGCTGTTAATAATCATATAATGTTACCGCTTTCATGTGGCTTTAAAAGCTTTGTATTGAGTAACAAACTATCCTCTGTTTTCCTGTTTCTTCAACCCAAGGGAATGACATTACTAGCCATTTATGTTGTTTTTCAAATGTTGCCTTTCCTTGGAAACATCAGCTCTATTTACCTTGGTTCCAAGCTGAATCTCATTACTGTAGTTATTATGGCATAAATTTGGTTAACAAAAAGTAATTTATATTAAGCTGATCCTAGAGACTGTCACACGGAAATAATTGCAAATTAGTCCAGGATCTTCGGTTTCTTTTTAATGTTTAAAGTTGTTTTGACCTGAAATAAGAATCGCCAAACGGACATGTGATATTGTTTTCGGCTTTGTCAGCTCGTAAAATATTTCTGAAAAAATTGTTTCTGTAAACGATAGGTAAATGTAAGGAATCGCTTATCATTTTAGCCCAGGCCATCGAGCGTTGGCTCTGCCTGGGGTGAAACAATGGCGTAGAGCTGAAGGCTTGTTCTTTCACCTTTCCACAACACTTCACCTCCGGGTAAAACTTGAAGAGCTAAGGTGTATATCCTACAATTTTTACGAGCTGAGATGTAAGAGCGACATAAATTCGAACGCAGTTTTAGATGAATGGAGCGGAGAAGCCAAGACGCCCCTCCGATTCTCTGCTTCTCCGCTCCTGTCTTCTATTTCTTCGTTCAAAGTTGCCTAGCTCTGGCACCGTTGGTAATCTTACTAGGGTTTGGGATTGTCACGGGGTCCCTTTAGGGCGAAGCACTCATGTTATACAACATCTGACCTCATTTCGACGCTCCTGGTTTTACTGTATAAACTCGAAAATGTAAAGGTTGCTATTTAAATTGTTTTATTCGAATGTCAGTGAGGACTTGAGATGACCTGAGGATTAGAATGTCATACACGTTTATGTCAAGCATGCAGAAGCGCATAGAAAAAGTTTTTGAATTCATCCATTTAGGAAGCTGTTTATGTGGTCTAAAATGCTTTTTATGTAGACGAAAGACGTAAGCGCGTAAAAATTCTATGCATAATAGTTAACAAAATTATATGCGTTGACGGAGTTCCAACATTTTTGGCTGTTTCTTCACGTCACTAAAAGGCATTCATGGCTATATTGAACAAAAAACTTGTCTGTTTGAAAAACCAGTCAGAAAGTAAAGTCTTTTAAGTTTGACTCCAGGAAGTTCACTTATCATTCCAAGAATTATACCTGCAGTATCATAAGAAAGAAAATGAATTCTACGCCTATGAAAGCTCAAGAAAACATAATCCTCAGTATGTAAGAGTTCCTCCAGAAACATAGCATCATGACATTTTAAAGGAGGATTGGTAAAATGCCAAAACATCTTATTTGTAGCAATTTAACTGGCTTGATTCCATGAAGACTCCTGCTTTAACGAATCTATTTCGATATGTGACAGTTTGCATAAGGGAAGTTACGTTGATTGGCCGAAATGCTTCTTATTTAGAGAAGCCGATGACGTAATGGTCGACAGAGGGGACAGCAGACAGAGGGGTTCAACTCAACGCTCGCGGGCAAAAATTGGAATTTACAAGTATATGGACCGAGGAGCGAATCACTCCAAGAAAATCTCGTACACTTTTTGCGAAAATTTTATTATCTTATCTGAAAATCTCCGAAAATCCATTTGTTTTAGGGGAAATCTGGTACGCTAACTGCAAGAGTGGATTGCCCCTCGATATGAAATGCCCCACTAACTGCAAGAGTGAATTGCTCCGCTTCCATTTACAGTGATTACTCACACTCACACCACTTTGTTGCTTCATTGTTCTTAACTTACTTTACTCATTCTTCTTTTATCTGCGATTGGCAGTATTTGCAAGTTGTGTTGGTTTATTCAGGAAATGATAATTTTGCTATGCCCCATGACCTGGACTATATTTTTTAAGTTTTGACTCGCTCCCTTACTGATTGGAGAGTCCTTGGAAAATCTCCACTGCTGATTAAGGACCTACCTCCTTAAAAATTTTGAATCAAATTTTCTAGTCTCTGGCAACCTGTTAAAAAAGCAAAATGTGTCATCGGTGATTGGCGAGACCTGCCTATGCTAACAACACATGAATATCATATTATACATAACCGTCGGTTTAAAGTAGACACTCATCTTTGCACGTTTATTTCGCAATATGTTCTTTCATCTGACGTCAAGTATCTCCTCATCACTTGTGCTAGCTTGTTGCTGAGGCTGCTGTTCAAATACAACTGCCTTATAGCAAACCGATGCAGTCGCCTCTTAGCTGATTCATTCCATTCATTTTTGCTTCATTTCCTTTAATGAAATTTCTTTTTAAAACTAATTTACTGATTTTGTCAAATGGAATGTTTTACTATATTAATTTTGTCACATGGATTGTCACACATATTACCTGGAGTGTCAATAGCTTGATTAGTCAATTGAAATAGAAGTTGAAATACTATTAACAAGATGTCTCTTTTGTTCCTGTACTGGTTAGCTAAAAATTAATGCTTGAAATGAAGCTTCTCAAGCAAAGAGAAACCAAACCTTTGTTGAATCTGAAATTACCCCTAGATCAACCCAGGAAGTACACAAAGCTATGAAAATACACATTTAAACCTTGTATGTTATCACCAAACTTTCACGAGACCAAAAGACTCATCAGCATTGCACATAAAAGAGGCATGTAAATCAACTTGATTAAGCACATCACAAGGGACCATTTTGTGCGTGAATAAACGCAAGAGAAAATGCATCTTATATAATTCAAAACATTTCATCAAAAAAAATCAATATAAACACACTGAAACATTAAAAATTTATTTATGTAGCGTGTATTCAAGAAAAAGCATAAAGAAACTGATGTTTTTTGAGTGCGTAGGCCGTGAAAAATTTTCTATTTGCCTCATTTGGCTATCTTTCGTAACAAATATAACCTAGCAGCTTTCTGGACTTTGCCGCGACTGTTACTAATCATGATAATTTATGCACGAAACATCAATGTTTGTCTTTTATGCAAATGATTCTTCATGGGTCCCGAGAGAGGTTAAGCTACCTGGTAAATTTCACAGATCCTCACTTCAGCCATTAGCTCATTACGATCTCTTAATATCAAGCTTTTATTTGCAGTTGTTTTCAGAGCTACAAAATTTATGGCCATGTCTTTAAAAGAAAAGTTTTTAAACGCTGTTGATTTTTCTACATTTGATATCAAAAGTTTCTCGAAATTTTAAAGCAACTTTTGAATAATGTTATTTATCGACATCGTTCTTGGGGAAAGAAAGACATTAATTTTATCGTCAAATTTACTATCACCTGCTATCTTACAGCTTGGCGGTTTTTTCTTTTTTTTAAAGTTAATATTTGAATATATTTTCATATTTTGCATAATTATCTCGTGCAAATTGTGACCAATTACAAACCGTAGAAAGATTATGAAAACCTACTTCATATTCTTTTAAACAACATCGTTTAGCGGGGTACGATTTCTTTATCTAACAATTTTCCAAAATGTCGCTGTAGCATGAACTTTTAGCAGGCATTGTTGCTAGCTTACTAACTTCTTTTCACTAATCTTGTACTTGTGCTTCTTGATCTTCTTATTCTTCTTCAAATCTTAATGGACGATGAGACTTTGAAGCGAAAATAAAACATTTTCTATCAGAAGAATACTTTATTGATGAAATTAAGCCAGTAATCGAAATGAACATCGTGAGCACGGGCAGATAATATTATTTTCTGTATGTCATATTCGCAAAGGAGTTTGCGCTGACTAGACGACCGGATTTTTACGAACCAATAATACCTTGGCATAATGACAACTAGATGAACGTATTGTCGATGCATTTTCCCTAGGCCCACCTGAACGTCTCACAGCACTTTATAACTAATATTTTTAAACTTCGTACTTCTCTTTCGTAGCTATGGAGAGCTTCTCGCTTACAGTCGACAAAAGAAGAGCAAAACATTCATAGTTAAACCTGATAGTGGCAGCCAGGGACGTGGTATTTTTCTTACCAGGTCTCCTAAGGTAAGAACAATGCTTTGATTTATCTGACACCTGTGTTGTAAGACTAGTAAGACTAGAGCCTGAGGTAGAGCCTGAGGTACAACAGTGTGGTGGGTAACGAAACAAACTCATAAATCTACATAAGAATATAACAACCTCTAAACGAATTCATTTTGAAGGAGAAAATTAAAGTTATCTCATTAACCAACCAGCTGGCCAGCCTAATCTTCTCTTTATTTACATGTTAGTGCAACAGTATAGAGACTTTAAATTATCATAGTCCAAATGTAAAGGATTATCTATATTAATGTCACCAAGGTCAGAAAATTTCCTTCAATCTATTGGACAGGTTCCAATAACTTGTACCCGTAAAGCTGGGCCAAATCATCGAATGAAAATGTTATCTTCAGTCTTATCGTGATATTATCTGTCTCATACTTCAAGATTAATTGCTATTAAATACATATCCTCCAGACCAGCTAAAATGAATACTCTAACGACTTTTGTTTGAAATGCTAAGATTGTTTTACTGTGGTTATGCAATCATGTGTATTTCATCTCTTTTATGACGTCAACACTGCAAGTAGCGTCTGCTCTCTTCGTCACACTTAATTATGCCTTTTCAACTATTAAGATTATCTATAACACATGTTCCTTTGCTGAAAGTTTTTTTGTATAGAAAACACATTTGCAAAAATCTTTCATCACGATTTGGAACACAAATGAGTTTTGTGGATATTTCATTAAAAAGAAAACATGCCAGAGTTGGCATAAAGAAACCTTGATTTCATCTTGAGTACAGATTTAAGCGTATTTTAAAACATGAGACATCTTCATGAGACATTGCAATAATATAGGAAAGTAATTGAGAATCAGGCTTCTCTACTAAATTTATCTTGAATAACACGAGTCGATTTGATGTTGAGCAATTCAAGCCCGCCAAGTTTATTTCGTGTTGTAAAATTGTCACAGAGAAGCCCTCAAATCTGGCTTACCAACAGAATTTATGTGATGAAAAGCAGACTAAACCCAGATTAAGACCTTAGTAATTTCGTTTTCCTACACAAAAATGTCGATCTTAGCTAAAACTGACGTAGGACAATTGTACTAGTATTTATACTGCCCATTGCTGGTTTTGGGATCCAATGCATTTTACTCCCTTCTTTCCCTACTCTCTTCCCGCCTTGTCAAGTTACCAGGTAAGATCTAGTGTAAATGTGAGAATTTAGGACTCCGGAGACGTACATCATAAGCTCCACTTTGATTGTTCAATGGCACACAGATTATATAACTGATGTTATAAAACCTTTTAAATGTATAATTGGGGAAAAAAACAGTTGTTACTGCGAGTTTTGTGCGAAATTTCGTCACCAGATACTGAAAATCCAGTAATCTTTTAACCATCTGATTATTAATTAAATCATGTGTGTGACTTTTTATTACAAATTATTGCACTATTCCGATTAAAAATTGATATTTCTTCTTATCCTGGTCTGGCAAAGTTACGCATAAGTAGTTAAAAACTACTTAAGAAAACTGTAATGATTCACCTCTGGCATTTAACACAAAAGAAAACTTTGTATGCAAAACTATGGAAAAAGATATCTTTTACAAGTCTTGCCATGTTGATAATAGCCTATTATCATTAATTTCAAAGCATGTCTTAACAGGCTTGTTATTGAAGATCAAGTAGACGGCATTTTGCGTCATCTTTCCTTGATTGTAATCTAAAGTTTGCCTTTCTTTGCAGCAAGACATTAACCCTGGAGAAGATGTTATTTGTCAACAGTATGTAACTAAACCCTTCTTGGTTGATGGGTTTAAATTCGATCTTCGTATTTACGCTTTGGTGACGTCATGCGACCCATTAAGAATTTTTGTATTTGGCGACGGCTTAGCACGATTTGCCACTGTCAAATACACGGATCCAACAAACAGTAATTTGGTAAGCTCATCTTGCTTTCAAATATCTGTCAGTTATAGGCAGAACATACTTATTTTTGTCTTGCTTTTAGTAATATTGAAACAATTTCACCTTCAATATTTGGTTACAGTCTTGAAAATTGAAATAAATGTATACAGTCTTGGACACAATGCTGGTACTCAATTAGCTGGTAAGGAGTTTTTTGATATGCACGTCATAAAAAAACATGATTGTTCAAGACGCTATGTAGATTTCTTATGACATATAATCTTGTCTTGACTTTTTGGTGCCGTGACCATCATTCACTTGAAAAATATCAAATGCTTTTCCTAGGATAACATGTTCCTGCATCTTACCAACTATTCAATCAATAAGGCCAGTGATGATTTTATAAGAGACGAAGAAACAGGCAGCAAACGGTAATTATGTTTGTATGTTCCCTAATTCCTTTTCTAGTTACTTTGTTCGAAGAACCTTTTCTTTTGGAAAAAAGATTAGTTAAGATTCTTATCGTTTATTCATTTTTTAATTTTCCTTTCTTTGTTGTTGCACGTCAATATTATCATCATCATCCTTTTCACTTTTTACAACCCCTAAGGGTCAATACAATAGGGTCTGCATTTCACAATAACACTTAAGTTTGCTGAGATTGGTTGAACATAAATAAAAAAGATATCAGAGTTAGTCTGGCACACTATATGTTTTTTTAAATTCCAAATAGGTATAATGTCAAAGGACAAAGATTTTTAACAGCATTAACTCTACAATACTTTTTAGCGTCCTTATTAACTCTACAACTTTTTGCAGCTCTGAATGGATTCGTTGAATGATAATGTTCTTTTCTTGTTTGAAAACAACTTGACCAGTACATATCTTATGCACAAATCTCAATTAAAAAAGTAACCTACGCGTTTCAAGGGAATCCCAGTTTATATGATCTTAAGGTTTAGTCACGCTAAATTTCTGGTTAAAGACACCCATTTCAAAGAGCGCAGCATGTCTTTTGACCATTTCTGTATTTTAATACATTTCTTTGGGTCATTTCTTTGGGCCATACTTCGGGCCATTTTTTAGGGCCATTTCTTTAGGCCATTTCTTCGGGCCTTTTTTTTGGGCCTTTATGATTCTACTGTTATAGCATGACACCCTTGAATTTATTTGACTGTTTTACAAAAATCTGTGTTTATTGGTGCTGCAACATCTCTTTTAACTTCTTAGGAGAATAACGACATTGAATAGATGGTTTGTTGAGCATGGCTATGATATCGACCAAATTTGGGGGAGAATTGATGTAAGTGCTATTTATTCTGGTATTTTCATCTTCATCGTCAATTTGTAGCTTAAATTTGCTTCCTTACACACACGTATACTTCAACCTGCTACATCAGCTATTCAGGCTTGTAGCTCTTCTTCTTCTTCATTTTCTTCTTTATCTTTATTTTTCTTCTTGATCATCCTTCATTCATCTTCCTTACTCTTCATTTTCTTTGCTTCTTTACATACTCCCCCTTACACGCATTTCCTTCTTATCTTTTCTTCATCCTCCGTTTTTTCCATTCTCTTTCTTCTTCTGTCCATTTTTTGCACACATTTATTCATATGTTCATATGTTTCTCTTTCTTCATCTTTTCCATCTTCTTCTTTTTCTTATTTTCTCTTCTTCTTGTTCTACCCATCTTTATCTGTTTCTCCATCTCTGCCTTCTTTTTCCAGCTCTCTTTTTCACTTTTTTTCTTCCGATTAATCTCCATATCATTACCATGTATCTTCATTATCATCTTCAGTGATACAGTCATTGATGCCATCTTCATATCATCTTCATCGTTGTTTTTTCCAATTATAATTCATAATGATCACCATTCTCAGTATCAGAATCATTTATATTGTCTTCATATTATTCTCATTATAGCTACTTTCCTGGTTAAAATTCTTCAATATAACCTTGTTTTAAATATTATCTTCAACTAACCTTCCTAACGACACCTTTCCATTACTAATCGCCCTTATTATCAGCTTCAATGTTTTACTATAAATATTATCGTATAAAAATTTTTGCTATATCTTCATCATTAACATTCACCTTCAATAATGTATCAGTCATCTTCGTCTTATCTTTAATTCTTCTTCCATAACTCTTGTTATCCTCTTTTTCACATTAAAGGACAGTATTATCAAGACACTGATATCAGCCCATCCGACCTTGAAGCACAATTATCGAACATGCTTTCCAAATCACAATAAAGGGAGCGGTTGTTTTGAAATTCTTGGCTTCGACATTCTTCTCGATAAGAAGTTAAAGCCTTGGGTAATAGAGGTGAGTAATCTACGATTTCTATCTTTTAGTAGCATTTTACAGAGGTTTCTATTTGCAAACAATATTTTGCAAGCTTAAAAAAATTGCTTTGAAAAAAGCAAATACTTTTTTCATCTGACTCTCTTCAGAGCATAAAGCGTCAGAACATAGATTTCCTAGCGTATTATATAGATTTCCTATCCACAACTAGGTATACATAGATTTTTCCTAGCGTAGAGTTTTCGATCTATTGTTCTGACGTTTTATAATCTGAAAGGTGTCAGACGAAAACCTTGAGTATAATTCAAAATGTTTGCATTTTTCAAAAATAGCTTTTTATTTCTTTACGATCAGAAAATCTTTTATTGGATAATTTACCCTTCAAGCTCCTTACCTTGTGTGCTCGGCTTCATAGTTTTGAGTGCTTTAAAGCACTTGATCAGTTGATTACTAGACTTGTTTTGTATTGCTCCGTTTTGTTATTTTTGCATGGTATTGGTCAATGTACTTTTGATTTTCATACAAAGCCGTAGCAATGAAAATATTTGACCTAGAGTTTACTCAAGTTTCTCTAGGATGATATGCACGAGCCTGTTCATATTTCGCTTTTATCGATTGCTCGAAAAGCAACCTGGGATTCATTTACGGAAAAGGTTGCGATGCCTATTGGAGTATCTTAATACACACTTTTTGACAAGTAATAGCACATAAATATGACAATATAATTGAATATACAAGCTTTAAAAATCAATTTTATGTTTACTTGAGTGCAGAATCCTTATGATAATCGTCAATTTACCACTACGATACCTTGTTCCTATTTAGAAAGTCATGTTTTCAATTTTAAAATACTTTGATATGTATCAATGTATCAAGCTTCTTTTGGTCCTGCAACTACATGTTTGGCTGTATCAATTCCAGACACCTTAAGGCATGGTAAAAATTATTCATTTTTTTCTCAAAATTTGAATAATTTTTAATTTTAGGTAAATCACTCCCCAAGCTTTACAACCGATTCTAAACTAGACAGAGAAATCAAAGACGCATTATTTATGACACTTTAAGACTTGTGAACTTCTCGTTGTGTGATAAAAAGAAGTGCATTGAAGAAGAAAGAAGAAAAGTCAGGGAACGACTATTGCAGAAGCCTAAAGGAAAAGATCACAAGTAAGAAAATCATATCACAATTAGTGTTTCAAACAGGTTTTTAGTTTTATATATGTTAATTGTGATTAGAAATCTAATTTTGTTTTCTTGTAATTTGAGCGTTACAGTTTGTGACGGCCCTTTGAAAAACAGCTCCGAAGGACTACCGTCTTCAAAGAATTTAAATTATTTTTATTATCATTAGTAAAGGAAATATTTTCTTTTTATTTATGGTCGCAGCCTATATAGCTGCTACTGTCTCAACCACGGGTCTAATGCCACAGATATAATGATACCTGCCTTGAACTCACAAATAACCTGTGATTCTGTCAGAATCTTAGTCGCAAAATTTACAAATTTACAAGGGTCATGATCCCAAATGGAAAAAAATTATCTCTGATTTCTTTGGCCAGCCCAACACTCCGCTTTCATACTCTTATTATTCGTCTGACTTGCCTCCTTCACAGACGCGAAGATGATCAAGACAACACAGCTGACCTGGAAACACTGACAAAATACGAAGATAAGCATCTCGGGAATTTTAGGCGCATTTATCCGGAAGGCAACGAGGAAAAATACAAATCATTTTCGAAAACAGTTGTTCGCTGTTTCAAGAAACAGCCGCTTCGAAGGCGCGTTCAGAGTGCGCACGCATCCAGCGAGAGGAAATAAAACAAAAGAATCAGGAGGTTGATATTATGCGGAAGAAGAATTGTGGGAAAAGAATATCAGCTGACGGAGTGCGACCAGAAAGCCCCCGGCCAGGGAGGAGGATACGCAGGGATCGTCATCATTACAAGTCAAAGGATCATGTAAGAATTTTTAATATGATGTCATCGTTAAAAACGTCATCAAAAATAGCTTACCAATCAATATTGCTAGTAATCAATAAATCCAGATGTTTTATGTATCTTGCAATGGAGTTTACTTTGTATTCAGCAATATGTAAATTATAACTGCCGTTCATTCAATCTTCGCTTCAAAATTACTCGTACTTCATTTAGCAAAATTGTTCCATAGAGTTTTTCCATTCTCAGACAGAAGTGATATAACCTTCGCTGAATTTCCTGTCGAGAAGCTTTTTTAAGATGATATAAAAGACTATCTTATTAATAAGACCGGATTTTTATTGCAAATGCCTTATATATAGCACTTACTTGGCTTGTTATTTTACTCTACCGGAAATATTATTGAATAATTCCATCTTTAGGATGTTTTACGATGACGTATTTCGATTAGCCTAACAATATTACCTTTACGGCGTAGAGTTGTCCGATACTTTTAGTTCAAGGGAAATCAACCCTCGTTCCTCTAGAAATTAAAGCAAAAAGAATTCGATTCTTCTAAACCGATGCCAATCGATGAAAACGATGAGCTGGAAAGAATCAGTGCCATGATGCAAAGAGACAGCCTCATTCGCAGTTTGGGTGTGGTTGATCAAGTTCATCGCATGTTGAGTGGAACTTCTCCTTCGAAAAGAGGCAATGAAGATCAAAAGGTTCGAATCTTTCAACGCAATTTTATGGTTTGGTTATTCAGTCCTAATGTGTTTCTAGATTCAAAATTTTGTATTATAGAGCATGTCACATGCTTTAGACAAGCTCTTTTCGTTTTCTTTATATTTTAAAAAACGTTATATATTTTACTGTATTGAATTTTCTCTGTTTCTAACTGTACTTTATGCTCACTTGTGTTGAAGTTTCAAGAAAGGTATGTAGTTTGAACTAGTGAAAAACTGAACAACATGTAGCCAGAATAACGTCCTTATCAGTCTTCCACTGTAATTCCACCGAATTTCTGATTTGTTCTTAGTTATTTAAGATTTTCATAATTTCTTTGCGTTGTTATATCTTTTTTCCTATAGGTAATTAATGATTATTAATCTATCTCACAAGAAAAAATGATTAATACAAAATGCACGTGGCATCGGTACGGGCAATTTCTTCTTAAGGGAAATACTCTGTTTATAATTTAACCAAAGTTTTACTGGTTAATAATTCTTTTCAGGATGATGCGAAAAAGACTCAAGACAACGGACCACAAAAGCCTCCGACTTTGCACAAGGCGCGACCCCACAGTAACAATACACAGAGTATCACCATACGATCATATTTAGGACGGTTTTTAGCCCAGTCAAAACCTAGCATTGGGTTGAACCCAATCGTTACTTCTGCAGTGACTACAGATAAGCCTAGCAATGCGCAGCCAGTGAAAATTCCACAGTCGCAATCTAGCCAGAGTATTGACAAACGCAATGTTTTACCCTTTGGTGTCAACTACTCAGCGCTACACAGGCCTAAACTTAACAGCAGAAATCCGACCGGGCCTACTCGGACATTTCATGGAAGTTCAGTCATTGAGCAGGAAATACGTGCTTTGGCCCGGTTAGAGAACGATAGCGGTAACTTAGATAAGTATGAAAGACTTGAGAAACAATTACAAAATACCGGATCCATTGTTTTGAATAATCGACACCTTGAACAGCGAATGAGCAATCCGGAAATTCTCAGTCCACCATACGGCCCAATCTTACCATCTCAAACATACTCGAACCTGAATCGATACTGCAAGCCGGACCAGAGTGTGGGCTTATCAATAATATCTACTCCGGCACCGGTCCAGTATAAAGAGGATATCCAAACAAAGACCGCTATTGGATCAATTGGCTCCGGTCCTCTTGAGATCAATGGCATCTGTAGGTGAATATGCTAGATCAACATTGACTCTATTGTTAATGAGAAATTCAGTTTTAACCTTAATCAAAATTGTAATACTTTTCATAGCCTATTCATTGCTCAACCTTAACAATATGTATCAATTTTCATGTTCCAAATGAAGCTACAAACATGAATTTATGGACTGGCCAACTAATTTTACTGCATCGATTTTCTGCTCTGTGAATTATTAAACCTTTTTATAATCACGTATCAAGGTACAAAAGTAAGAGCATAAACTAGCTCCCAGGGAATCAACCTGTTCTACATTCTACACACAAAAACAAGAACAGCACCATAAATCAGATTCTTCTTCTAGATTTCTAATTCAATGCAGTTTATTGACTGGAACATTAAGATGATTTATTATTGCGGAAGCATAAATTTGTATTTCATTTGATCGTAGCAAAACTACGAAGACCCAGCGGGCACGTGGGGCATCAAATACTGTTCGATTAAAAGTAAGTTGTATTCATTGATACCTTAGCCTTCACTTTTATTACTGTTTTTGTTGTAATCCACGACTTGCCGTTGATCAATACTTTATCAATGAGAGCCTATTGTCTGGCAAATGATGTATGGTTTCCAGGATAGCCTTTCGTTTCAACATACAATTTATTTTGGTACTGAAAATTGCCTGCTACGGAAGAATACATCACATATTGGGTCAAATAAATAAATGCCTGGTCTTGTACACTTTTTACAAAAAATATCACAATGCTATAAGGAGCACTACGAGTAGAAACTGTCCAAATCATAACCATACCTTCTTGATCTAGCAAGTGTTTTGATCTCCAACCCTTTTTGTGCTTTCATCCCAAAAGTGCTTCATCGCCAAGTGCTTTTATCGCAAAAATACAGCTGAAGTGATATAAGATGCATGTTTGTATTTTGTCAAAAAGTACTTATATCATTTTAATCTTTAATTTTATTTCTCTTTGCAGCAAATGGAGCTGGTTGAAAGCAGAGCTTTAGCTTTGAGCTAACATTCAACGAAGACAAAAAGAGGAAAAGGAACGAGGAGTTGTTTGATGGTAAATACACCCCATGGACGATTCTTAAACTTAAAATCAGGAATTTTAGTGAGACTGTTGTTTGTATAATGATCCACAAAGTTTTGTCATTAGAATAAAAACAGTTCTAGTGGTAGAATTTTTATATGGAAAATGAAAGCTGTTTTGATAAAGTATTATTAAATTTGTATATTTTGACCTAAAATTTTAACTGTATATAATTATGTGAATACTTTTTCATATATGAGTCAAAAGTTATAAAAGTCATATGAAAGCCACTAATAAACTTAAGTTTCGCTTATCGTAATTGTCCCTCTGATTTCTCTTTAATATTTTGTTCGTCGAAAAATAATCCAAACAACATACTTTTCAATACTGGTATATCTCACAGCATCAAAATTTGAGAAAAATGTGAATTTTATAACTTGATATCTTTTTACGAATAACCATTAATGTTAATAAAATAAGAAGATATCAGCCTTAAAAGTTTTTTACGTCTCTTTTTCCATAATACTGAAAATCTCTTTTAAGCCATGTTCAACAACTTACCACAAAATACTTGAAAATTAGCTCTAATATTAACTTAAAATATTAACTACTGTTAATGAATTTTTATTTCCATTTGATATACATCTGCTTCATATAATTGCTTAATTTATCTTCACTTAAACATGGAAGATGAATTTTGATATTTTTCACGATATCAATTCGTTACTGAATAAAAGATTTTTAAAGGCTACTGCAAAGTCAGATTGTGCACCCTTTGAAAAATTTGTGAATTTTCAAAATGAATTTTTTCAAGTCAGGAAGCCTTTTTGGGCCTTAAGTGCGCTGTGAAATCAAATTTATGCAAAATAGCCTGGGTGTCCTTTTATGAATTTTTTATCTTCTCGAGTCACTTTTCATGAGCAAGTAAACTTGAAAGATATAAATTTATTGTAAAAGTTTTAAATGTACACAAAGCATATAAGACAAACTCTATTAATCAATACCCGGTAATAACAAATTAATATTATAATATCATGATGCAATCTGTTACAACAGATGCCTTCTCTGTTTTTACATGAAGGATTTCGAAATTGTATGAAATCTCGATAGTTTGTTCCTTGAAGTAAAAATTTTCAGCTTACAGAAAAACTTTATGCTTTAGCGATCGATTCCAATTCCACTCTTTTTTTTAGCTTTTTTACATCAGCCACTGTGAATGTCTGGCAAAACTTTTCACATTTCGCTCTTTGACAACATTTCGCTAATATCAAAACATGGCAACCAATAACAATAACAACAAACAATAACAACAAAATAACTTCATAACCAACTGGTTAGAAAAAACAAATTGGCAGCTTTTTTCAATGTATTTTTGAAGATGTATGTGTCCCTTAATCAAGAGACTAATTTTCATGAAATTCATTCAATGTATATAACTGATTATATGTTTTCTTAGTGCTCACATATGAATGCAACTAATTGCGAAGAATGAAGCCTTGACAAAGTAATGAAAAATTGTTTTGACAAATTTTCTTGTATATTTTACAAATGGTCTTACCTCTGATCAATGAGCTGTGCTATAAGAGGCAACCACCATTGATAGAACTTTGTTTCACGAAGCAGAAATTTCGCAGCATTCCTCAACAGGACAACCGACAGAATCTTCTGAGGCTGGATCTGCAATGTGCACCCACCGGACAGCTTTGATGCTTAGATTTGTAAAAAAATCCATTTCAAACCCTTCCTCTCCTTTGTTGGTTCTCTGTATTTTGTGGACAAGATGTACTCAATGTTACCCTACCATATCCTAACAAGTGTTGGACTGAACAATTCGCTTATTCGGCTGTTTTGTACTATTAGGGAACTCTTGTTTAGAAGAACGTAAACTTTAAAAATTCTGATTCTGAAATATTTGTGAATTTTAATGCATGATACAAGATTTAGCCTAGACTAACAACGAAATTTGCTAGCTTACTTTAAAATTCTATACTACAGACTAATAAAAAACCTGAACTAGATAAAAAACTTCGATACAAAAAGCCAATATCTAGCTAGAGCAAGACTATTTACAGCAACATCTCTAAAATACGTTTTCAAAACGAAGCAAAGTTATTCAAAATTCGAACAAAAAAATCTTAAATATTGTTTCTTCAAGGATATTTGAATGAATAAAACTCGGTAAAATAATACTGTTTAAAAATGTTTATTATTATAACTAAATCTTTAACAAAGTTCATGGGGATTAAAGTGAACTTTTTTAGGGGCCAAAGGCTTTGTTCCTGCCACAAAATATTTGCACAACAAAAATGTTGATAATAAGCAGGGACTTCACCACAGGGAGCAGGGGGCATGGCCCGAAATTTTTCTCCAAATCTAAGATTTGAATTAGCTCAAATTTCTATTTAAACAAAGTTATAGGCTATAACAAAGACATGAAACCAGAATCCAGAAGTAAAACATCGTAAGGCAAATTTATTAAACAATCATTGTTTGGGGGCTAGAGGCATTGACATTGCTCCCCTAGATTGGTGGCGAAGGCTTTGATAACCAACGACCTTATTTGGGCTGAAATCTTGTAACAATTACCTACTTACGTCGTTCAATTCCTGTTTATTGCTCCTGCAGTTTTTTTCTTCGAGAAATTCAGCCTTTTTGCCACAATATTAAGAAGCTCAACGCCATGTCATTAAATATACAATTGTTGGTACAATCGTTTGAATTCATCGATTAAAGCTATGCGATCAAAATATGTACCATTGAGACCCTTTGGTATCTTGTAGTTAATGGAAAAGCCCCTTTGGCTACAAAAATCCACAAAAATGCCGTGCGAACTATCTGTGCACTTAGAACAAAGTACGATCTCCAAAAATTTGATAGAATTTACAATTTATCGAAAAATATACAACAGTTTGCTAAATGTGAAGGAACATAACAACATGAGTGAGAAAAAAATGAGTGGCAGGCAGAGCATCCACAAGAAATAAATATACTTTAATAAAAACATTGTTTGACACAAAAACAATTTCTGCCACTTAGTTTATTAGATATGACGATAACACCAGTGATGAATTTTTATACAGGGACAGGTTTTCCATCTTCTTTGCTCGATTTTCCTCCCGCGTTTCCAGGCATTTCTACGTATCGCACATTTAATTCTTCCCCATCATTATCATACATACTTTTGCTTCGCTCGTCACAAGATTTTTTAGAACATTCTAAGCAACGGTCTGCCTCTGTTTTCCAGTTTTCTTCAGCACCCGAATCAGATGTGACGGATTCCCGACCTTTGCGATCGGCAAGGGGCGCCCCCATCTTTAGACTGCCTCGTCTCACTTGCACAGCATTCATTTGGTCTGGACCTTTCAGTAGGTTAGTTTCCGTTGCCTCGAACAGTTTTCTTTTCATTTCGTGGTAGAAAGACACTTGCTCGAAAGTCTCAGATATATCGTTTTCTAAAAACTGTACCACTTCCAAGAAAGAAGGTCGTGCCCGGGGGTCGTTTTTCCAGCAGTTGCACATCATATTATACAAGCGATCGGAACAATCATCAGGTTGTTCGAGCACTCCCCCGTCGACAACGAATCTAAGAACATCTTCATTAGATTTCCCAGGATAAGGCTGTGCTGCCAGTGTAGCCATTTCCCATAAGACTACACCGTATGACCTATAGAAAACAACATGCATAGACAAAACTTCCAAGCATTTTTCTATCAGTATAAAAAAGTTGACATTTGGCACCAAGCTACTGGACTAGTTTATAGTAGAAAAGTTTTGATCTTCTGATTTTCGCAGGATTTTGATGGACCACGCAAACCATAAGGCTATATATGACCCGTAACCGTAATTTGAAATGAAAAAGAATAAATTGGAAGGGGTGTGCGATAATTCAACTCCAAAAAGTTCCCCACCCAATAGACAGAAACAAGGACAACGTGGGCAACAATCTCAGGAGCATCTGCGTTCATGTTTTTCAGCAACCTAGCGAATACTCCGTGGCTTGCCCTCCTATAAACTATGATAAAGCCCCAAAGTTTTCTATACGTTGCTTGCAACATACAGCGACGTCTACCTCGTAGCAATAAAATGATCAAAAGTATTTCTTCGGCCTAGTTTTGTTCTTCCACAATCAAATCTGCCATTTTTCAAAAACGCCGTCTAACTATATATGGGGAAAAACTACTTACAGCACGAAACTTATCAAAATGTCACGCATGCTGAAGGATCAATAAAGTTACAAATTTTAGCTTAAACCAATACAAGCAAATTTCTCAAGGCCTAACCAACAGACGGTACAGCGGGACGACTGACACTCTGCTTAAAGAAAACTATCTCGTTTGCAACGCAGAGCTATTTTAGGCATTAGTGTGAGCAAATGACAAGACCAGAGCAGGACATGAACCAGCGACAAGGGTTTCCGCTCCACCCAGCCGCTCAGGTGGTAAAGCAGAGTCGCTGGTCGTGGGTTCGAGTCCTGCCCTGTTTGTGCCGCCCGCACGCATTTTCTCTCAGTGTATTCTCCCAAAAGAGAACCGAAGTGTGAGGTCATCAAAAATCTACTTTTTGAATTTCTTTATTGTGACCACATAATCTGAAAGAAGAACATGAAATGCCTCTCAATCTGCAAAATCGGTTAGATACTCTCGAAATTGGGCGAGATATGGCCAATGAAAGATTTCAAGTTTGCTAACGGTAAACTGTTATTCTGGCCCGGTTCATAAAGTTATGAACCAAGACCAAATTACAGAGGTTTGATGGGGCAAGAGCCTGTGCTAAAGTGGCCATATCTCAGCCAATTCGTTATACCTTTAACTGATTTTGCTTATTTAGAGGTAATTTTATAATAATTATTCGGGTTACTCTATTCCTGTTCTCCTGACAAATTTCCAATTGCTCAGAATTCAACTATAAAGGGAATACATACCACACGTCTGAAGCCGTTGTAAATATACCGTCTCGAAGACTTTCTGGAGCCATCCATCTTACTGGCAGGAGTCCCTTTCCACCTTTGCGATAATAATCGGTTTCGTATACATCTCGAGTCATTCCAAAATCGCCAATTTTCACCGTAAAATCTGCCGAAACCATGCAGTTTCGCGCTGCCAAATCTCGATGGACGAATTTTCGCGTCGCAAGGTATGACATGCCATCAGCGATTTCAGCTGCCATTTGCAACACCTCTGCGAGGGTTGGTGGCAGATTGCCACCTCGTTCCTAAGATGAGGTCAACTAATCAGTCTTAGAAGACCAAAGTTGGGCCAGTGGACCAACTTAATCCCATTCGTCAGAAGGACCAGGTTGAGTTGATACCATACTGACCATGGAACGGGGGAAGTTGGGTACCAGAAAAACGTTAAAATTAAATTTGAACGATGGGATAGGAATTTGACACTCTTTCAACCAGCATAGCAAAACTGTTTATAATTTTAATGCAAAATTCTTCTTTGGTTTAAGACTGGCAAGCAATTTTAATTCATATTTGAGAAAAATAAGAATTCATTTGTACCAATAACGGAATACAACAAAACTGTTTGCCAAAATTCTAAATTTCTTGAAAGTGATTCCTTACCTCCGGTCTTCGATTTCTTAAGAACGTTTTCAAGTCGCCCCGCTCCATGAGCTCCATGACAACTAATGTTGGCTGTCCTTGCGACACAACACCAAGTAGTCGTACTATATGATGGCAGTTGAACGCTTTCATTATGGATGCCTCTTGCAGGAACTCGATGCGATCGCGTATTGATGCATTCTCATTCACGGTCTTAACGGCTACCCGTAGTCTCGGCTCTTCCTCAACTATGTCGTACCCAATGCCCTCGTAGACCATGCCAAAAGAACCTTTACCAAGTTCTTTGATTAACTCAATCTTTTCACGAGGCACCTCCCATTCGTCGGGTATGTAAACTGCGAACGAAACAGGTTCCGTAAGTGACAAATAGTAGCTAAACAAAAAACACAAGGAGAGACAGAGGGACACAGCAAAGACTGAGGGAGAAAAAAGTTAATCTGTTTGTCCAGAAAATTGCATTTAAATAAGAAAATTAACCTTTTCTGTTCAGCCCTTAAAAATCAAGATCAACTATCAAAACCTAAATTAAAAAAAATTGATGAAAGAAGATGTTCGGTGCTGTAGCTAACACACATTACACAAATTCTCTTTGAAAGTCTCCCGCATCACTTTAATATTTTATGTCAAAGAACAAATTCACATACTAATAATCTAGGTTGAAAAATGATTAAGATGGGATTAGAATAAAGGCTTGCACTAGGTCGTAAATTAGTCAAAATAAATATTGTTCCTGACGGTTGTAACTGGAATTGGTAAGTTAAAATATTTATAAAAATTTCACTCAAAACATCTGCCTTCTGGCTTGATTAATGACAATAACGATAAACGCAAGTTTTGAAGAAAATCGCATGATAAAACTACGGTGGCATTGATGAGATATAAGTTGATCAAGAAATCGTACCTTCGTTTGAATTTAGATACTCAGGGTTCACAGATGCATACAGCACGCCAGGAACACCCATCTGTGCTGTCCTAATACAAGCAAACATAATATTAGTTGAAAATAATAAAAAGAAGAACACATACAACACGTTTGCATTCTAGATTCCAGTGAAATGATAGCTAAACTAGTTTGATATTTGTCAAAATACGTCCATCTAAGGGTCATCCGTTAGTGTGGAAATCCTGGCTAATTGTCACCCTTCCTGAAGGGCGATTTCAGCAAAAATTGTCGCGATAAAAACGGTACGTCCTGGTTGTCATTGATATGGTAATACGTCATAGCTAGAACCCAATCCTTGTTCAAGTGTGGGTATTGTTAAGGCAGGATTTGTGTAGGTTAACACTGTAAAAACTTTCTAAACAAAACAGCAAGTTATAACATCTCAGTCTACAAACTGACCTGAAATGAAAATTTCATACTTACTTTCTAACATAAGTGTAGTATACAATCGCCAGAGCAAGCAGAATGATCAGAAACGCAGCCGCACTGCCAACACCAATAATGATCGTATTTGATCCCTTGGTTTCCAGTGCAACTTGGTCTTCAATTGTAAAGAACGTAAGGTCGGTCCAAGGACCATCACCGGCCGGTGTCACGGCTCGGATTCGTATGGAATAGTTTCCAGATACGAATCCTCTTTCAATGAGTGTAGTTGGCAGGTGGCCAAGACGGCAACGAAGGCGCTCTTGATTCACACTGTGCCTAGAGGTTAAATAGTATGGCATGTATTTCATGCTTCCCTATGCAGTCGAATTTCATTAAATCGGACCTTCTAGGCCGGTAAAGAAATATTCCGACTTAGCGAATGTCGACTTTTTCTGGGTAAGACTTAAGCCTTCAATAAGGTAGGAAAATCCGATGGAAATTGAAAATCAGCCCGACTTAGTGGAAGTCTGAATTATCCGGTGTGACTTGACAGGATTCAACTGTAGATCTGATGAAGGCCTAAAACTAAATGCGTCGTAAAAAGGAATGCAACCCTGAAAAGGCGAGAAAAAGACTGTTTTGGGGGTTTAACACAGTTATACCCCAGATCTTATCATTTTAGATGTATCATGCTTCATATTGCGGTGTATATATAAATACTCTACAATTGTAGATTGTGTAAGAAATTCATAAATAATTAAGGGCTTTTGCATATAGTCATTTAAGTGCATTGCAGTTTACAGGAAAAAGGTTAACACCGAATATTTTAGTTGCTTTCATATCTTCGTTTAGGTTAATTGTTTGCTTTAATTAGCTTTCGAGCTATCATGATGCCATCTTTTATCTATTTATTATTACTCATATTCTACTCTTACATTAGAATCTTGTTTAACGAAGAAGAGATTTATTCAAAAGTCAGTGAGGTGATGTTTATGCATCAGGATCCTTAAGGCATTCGCGTGATTATTGATCTCAAATAAAACAAAGAAGCGTTCCTTACTTTGTACGAATGTCGTATCGGAGAACGATTCCGTTCGGAGCGATTGGAGCCATCCAGCTGACATTATACGAGTCGCCTATGACATTGACTTTCACAGACCCGGGGATGATGTCAGCAGTAGAATTTGCATCCGTTTGACCGAAAACGCTGGCACATCCAACTGTCGATTTCCGACAACCAGCTTTATTACAAGGGCAGACCTAAAAAGGAGGAAAGAGACACATGGAAACGCCATAACGGGTACTCAGCTGACTGATAGGACCTGACATGGCAAGATTCGAAATAGTATGGGCTGAAATGACACGACACGACATTACATGACACAGTGACATGATATGTCTAACCTGACCGGTCATTACTTGGCCTAGTTATCTGTCTAGCTCTTATTAGAATATAATACAAATATTTGCGTAAGGATTGCTCAGTTGCTAGAGGCACAGAATACAGACAAGATGTGTCCCTGTCATGGCCAGACCTTTATACAGATAAAATGAGTCCTTGTCGTGGCCAGACCTTTATTCAAGTGACGAGAGATGCCAGCTCTCTGTAATTCCAAACAAAGGAATCATTAGGTGTGGTCATATCGAAAAGCTCGGAAACTGCTCGATAAGCATAACTTCTCAGTGTGCTAAAAACTACCTTCGGAAGCCAGGTAGGAAAAACAAACAAGACTTTTTAGAATTCCAAGGCCTATGCTGTGGGGAAATTTTGCTGACTGAGCTGTGGGTTTTCATATTTAAGTATACAAAGCAGTTGTTGGAAAGCAGTTTATAATATAACGCTTTTTATCACCCTTCCCGTCAGGCAAAACGCAAAACGCGAAACAAAAACGCAAAAAATTATACAATTGTAAATAACAAACAGACACTCGAGGAAATATGAAAATTGACAAAAAAAATTGAGAGACAAACCTTGATTTTATACTCTTGGAAGTACGGCAAATCTTTGATTACATATTTTAATGTTTTGCCATCGACGCTGTCAAATTTCTTAATAGGCGTAATAATTGTATTTGTTTTGTTCAGAAAAGGGTCAGTGGAGGGTCTTTTGGCACCCATTGACCGTGAACTGGTTGGAGCGAGACCTTTGGTTGTCTTTGCTGTTGGTGATGGTTTCGGTGTGCAGTTGCCCTGAAGAAAACAGAATTTGTTAGGCATTGCAATAGTCACATCGATAAAATATGGAGCAAACAGATCGCCCTTATAATAATATAGCAAAGTCCTGCAGACTCCCGGTAGTTTGGGCTTCAAAGGGCGAACGATATCAATAGCTCGGTTAAATAGAGGTTGTTGGAAAGACAAGTTACAATTCAAAGAAGAGTTTGAAATATAAGGCAGTCAAATTATTGGACTTCAGAATTTACCATCTGTACCACAATCTATTTTTTCTACCATATCTGGTGCGAGGATGGCTCAGTGCCTAGAGGCGCTAACTTCAGATCCAAGAGAGTAAGGAGAGTCACCAGCTCTCTGGAATTCCAAGCGTAGGAGGTGGAGTCAGATCGAAAAAAGGACAACGACACTGCTCGACCAGCACTGTCTATTACTGTCCCAAAAATACTTTCGGACACTAGTTATAAATACAAATACACATAGAAATAAAAATAGTTTTTCGTCACTGAACCAAACAGCAAATAAACCTATGCACTCAAGTTCGATGTTAAGTCAAAATACAACTTTGCACAAGACACCCACCGACTTTGAATCACCATTACAGTCAGGTAGCTTTGATATTTTGCCGATTGACGGAAAATTCATCCTCTTTTTCTTCTTCGAAAACGTTTTCTTTTTCTTATCATCGTCGTCATCTTTTGAAGGCTTGGTGAAAATCTTCATGATAATAGCACCCTCAAAATCCCTGTTAAACAACGCGAAATTTCTGTCTTCTACAATTCGACGCGATTCTTCGACACTTGTTTCGCAGTCACATGTTATGTTTCTCGGGCAGTAGCCTGGAAAAATTTCGGAAATTAGAAAATAAATAAAATTGTATAAACATACAAGGAAAATGTATTACAATGAGAGATGTAAGAATTCGAAGAAATCAGCATTGCGTGCATCCTAAATCCTCGAAAATTTTTTGAATGCTTTTTTAACAGTTGTTGGCAAAATCAACGTTTAAGCAGATAAACACGCAAACCAACTTATTTGCGGGAAATTTGTCGAGAAAATAGAAGTAAAAAAGAAAGTTTTCTATTTCAAGGTAAAAATGATTTATCATTCTGGGAAGACATCTACTCGCATAGGTAAAATATAAAACGCAAGCGACGCTTATTAAGAAAATAATATTGGAAATGAGGACTGTTCGAGTGGTCTTATTTGAGGGATGAAAGTTATCTTTGGATTGATGCGCCATTGTAAAAACTACACAAAAAAGTTAGGCAAAGATTGAGGATTTTTTGTTTTATTTCTGCCAGCTCTGAACATTTTCTTGAAACCCAGTTTCTAGGTAGTTCTGATACCTAATGTGGCTCAGAGTCAATTATCTTTAGCTCCATCATCATTGCAGCTTCTTCAAGGCTCTTGGGCAACCGGCATGCATTGCGAAAATATTTTCAAAACGGGCCTAATGTCGTACTGCAGAAAAATACCAAATACATTCTGTTTCTATGCCGGTTGCCTAAGACCCTCCAATCGAATTAACCTTTGAAACTGGAGTTGGACACCATTAACAAAGCAAACAATCCCTAGGCCAAAGCAAACAATCCCTAGGCAAATTGTTTAACCACCGGGCTTTGGTTTACTAAGTGATATCAAATGAGATATTGACTGCATCAAGTGTGGATAGCATCAAAGTGTCAAGGGTCTCTCAGCTATGAAAAGGCAACCATTTTGCTTAGAATAAAGTTCTCCTCACCTCATATAAACCTGACAATGACTTTGAAACAAAATCCTAAAAAGTCCTTAGCCTATATCAATCGTGCCATCATTCTTCGGACTTAAAACAGATGACATTTCAATCGGGATTTATGTAAAGATAAAATTTTTTCAATTGTCCTGTCAGAATCTGTAAAGTTGGGGTCAGATTCTTTTTATTTTAGAGTCTTTTATAGAGCTTGCTCATCATGAAGATTAAAAAAGTTTAATTCTTTAAAGATAACTTCTGACAAAGCTTTTTGTCTCACAATTTGGTCTGATGGTACGTCTCATAAATCGTTCACATGATGTTGCTTCTGTGTTAATCAGAACGTTCCTTAGTCAAAAAGATAGCAAACTAATATCAGTTGACAATAAAGTATACGAATTTTGAGAGCAGCCTTACCATTGTTAACAGGTAGAGATTTTGAAGGGTCTGTGTTCCCTTGTGTCTCCTCCACTGTGCTTGAGGACACTGACGTCACATCCCGTGAGCACCAATTTAGCTTTGACCTCCAGAAAGAATACTGTTTTACTTCATAGTATATCCTGTATTCTGTAATCACTCCATTGGGATTATCGGGGGCTTTCCATGTGATCTCTATGTCAGATGTTGAAAGATACGAGGCTTTTAGGCCTAGAGGTCTTCCTGGACCTATGAACAGAAGATGGAACCAAAATGATGTAAACGAAAAATTTTATTAATCAAAGAAACAGAAAATGAATGGAGCAGATGAAAAGAGTGAGTAACGAAATAATGAAGATAAAAATTAATAGATGTTAATATCTAAATAAAAAAGCCTGGATTCGATTCTAGGCTCAATAACATGACTTAGGATTAAGCACATTTTCAATGAAAGAAATAATCGGTTTCGACATCCTCAACTATTTCCATTTCCCAATCAAATGGATACCTTTTAGATGCGATTAAGAGCTTATCACTTGATCTGAATCAGACTAATTGTTCGTTAAATATGATACGATCCGAATTCAAAGATTACCAAACCGGGTTAGGAAGGAAATAACCCGACTAGAGATAAAATCGCTACGTGTTTTCCATTTTCCTTTATGGCTGAAAAATTTAAAAGGCGTATTTAAAGAGATAAGAGATATCCCAAATCGTGGAACGTTTTTAAAAAGATGAAAGAAAGATAATACAACGTTCACTTAAAGTTAGCTTTTTTTGGAAGGTGTATAGCATACAGCGATAACAAAACGTCATTTGAAGATAGACAAGCGGAAACATACTCCTGAGAGTATAAACATTGGATAAAGGCCAAAGGAAAGCAGAAATCCAAGCGAGGATCGAAAACAACGTGACAGGAAGAATGCTGTGTTTGATTGGTTCTTTGTTTTGACCAATCAGGGACCGCTAATCTTTACCTAGTTGAAGAACTCAGAAGAGTAGATTAACTTTTTTCAACAGGACTGTCTTTTGATGTAGACAGATTCCAAAATAACTACATGAAAATACGAACTTGCTTGCCCAATGATTTTAAAAACTGTCGCCACTACACGTTTTTGCGTACACTGGATTCTTGCGTAAATGTTGACCTCTAGCCGAATCACATTTTTATTGTGGAAAACAATATTCAAGAGACATCTCATACCTGAAAGCAATTTACCTCTAACGAAGAAGTTCAAGCAACATGGTTAAATTTGATTACCTGACTCTGAAAGCCGAATTTGAACAATATCACTCTTTCTTCCCTCGCCTTCAAGAACGTAGGTTTCCACGAAAAACGCATAAACTCCAAATGGCTTAAGCTTTGAGATAATTTTGTGCATCGGGAACTTCGTGGAGCTGTAAACAATTCGAGAGGTGCTTGTTAAAAGAGATAATTAGGATAATTATCTACATGATTGACAGACTGACCATAATGTAGCTGATGATAAAGATGATTGCTGATGATGATAATACGGTTGTTGTCGATGACTACGATCATAGCAGTGATGATTATAGAGGTGATGATGCTGATGATAATCGCGATCGATGACTAAATTGACGATTATGATCGGATGTGATAATGATTGATAACTACTGATTGCTGAAAATGATTCATCACGATTGCTGCCGATGATTTTGATCAACTGTGATTATTTATTGATTGCTGATGACGATTATGATCATAGCCATGATGATTATAGAGGTGATGATGTTGATGATAATCGCGATCGATGCCTATATTGACGACTATGATCGGATGTGATAATGATTGATAACTACTGTTTGCTGATGATGATTTCTGACTGTTTTATTTATGAATGTTATGATCACAAGTCAAGATCCTTCTTTAGTAGCAAAATCTCAAACATCATACTTTGATTTGGGATCTGGTATAAATGTTGGAAAATCAACGTCTTCTTGAGACCATCTGCAAAGAAAAAAGATGCAATATTTTAGTAAGAGGCGGTTGTCTAGCTTAGTACATATTTCATGTTATTATAACTTGTTAATTACGTCTTCGTTACTTGAACAATCTTCAACTTTTCATTAAAACGCCTTTTTAAGTGCGTTTTCATTTACTGCCACTGAGTGAATTTCCCGATTCAAAGGGGGGGGGGGGGAGGATCTCCAATAAAACTGCAACACATCCAGATTTCATGTAAGATTCCTGATGTTAATTTATCACCAAAACGTATGTACCCATGCCTGAACTAAAGTGATCTACGAGATACCCTTAACATTTGCCTTTTAGCCTAGGCCATTCCCTTTCATTTTTTACTACAACAGTGAACACACAAGGGAAAGTAACAAGAAAAAGGTGACTCACTTCGCAGCACCACAGGTGTCGTCTGATTTCCTCTTCGGCTTCCCTCTCGTATCGCCAGAGCTAAAAGCGTTGTGAAAAGCTAGGTTCAAACAATCGTCATAGTCATGTGATCCAAACAAAAAAGAGTAACGCATTACAGCGGTGTAGGGTATGGCAAAAACCCTTACGGGCTAGCCTCGCTTGCCTTACAGCAAACTTGTCTTGGGCTGGCAGAGGATAGTTAAAACTTGCAATCATATTGCAACGCTACAGCATCTATTTTGTTAAGAATGAGGTTGGTTATTGTCCAAACCAAGCGCTAAACCTATTGCCAAGTGTCTGTTATTTGCATTACTTCATTTGACAGCGAAAACGAGGAAACAATGAAAAAAATAGAAGATAACTTTTCCCTTTTTGCGACTGCAATATCTTTACTTTCCCGAGGAATGAGTCGGCCTCTAGAAAGACTTTCAACTTAACCTTTTGAGCCCCAATCCAACAAAAAGCTAGGGGCAGCACGACATCGTGGCAAAATTTCTTGCATGCTTAAAACTATTTAAAATCTGACGACAACTGGATGTAAACAGCTACCACAAGACTAGCAAAATATGAGATGTTTATGAGCAAAAGTAAACGGGCCACTATTTCTATCTAGTTATATGTTGTTGGTGCTACGGCCCGGTCATACCCAAAATTTACTGGCTGGTAGACAGTGAATGTGGGGGGGGGGTTATGCTGTGCCCCCCCCCACCCAGAAATTTGCTAGAATAAATTCACAATGATACACCATGTCGGGTTTTGCAGTTTTCTTACGAAGTGATTCTTACCAAGGTCCCTTCTCCTTAACATAATGTCGGTGCAACGGCCCTGGAAGATTTTACAACTCTGGATAAAATGTTATTTAAGTAGGCTGTATTATGGCTTCTCTTTTTCTTGCAACTTTTCATCTAAAATTGTGAAACTCATTATCATATTACTTACATCATACGATATTTAACAATGTAGAAGATATCACGCTGATCAATCTTCTTCTTGTCATGGTACCAAGAGACATTGACGCATTTGGTCTCTCCAAAACCACAAAGTATCGATCCTTTCATTTCTGAAACAGTTATGTTGAATTTCTCGAAGTTACCTGCCGAAATAATAGACATTTAACCATACTTGAACCTGTTCAATTATTCTATCGCTCAAAATGATTTAATTTCGAAAATAGAGAAGAGACATAACCTAAAACATATAACTTTTTTGCAAGTCAATCTCCACTCAATTATGGCTTTTACTGTAACGAAGGTAACGAACAAAATATAAAGGTATCATTTTATAATGGCACATAATCTCGGACATGGGTCGAAATGTACATATTCTGAAATTGGCGAGGGTGAAATTTTTTCGATAGTGTGCTACTTATTTATTGATTCCAGATGGAGCTTGATATTACTGTATTAGGCTGCAGGATTGTCAGACGAAACCCACGCTAAGAGTATAAAATTCCCAAGTTGTTTTTAAATGACGTCAATGCGTAGAATAACACTTTTTTTGATAGCTATTATCCCATACCACATCGGTGTATCACTACGTTAACTTATCTTTACGTCAATGGAATTTCTTAAATCTATTGGTTCACTTCAGTCACAGCCGTATCATCTAGCCAGTAGCCTTTATGGGCGAGCAAAATCGTTTCCTTTGAATTTGTTCTTAAATTCATTTTGATAAGATTCATTCGGGTTCTTATTACAGATGTTCCTTTGTCGCTTCTTAATCTTATTCAATGGAAAATGTATTTAATAGAGATTATTTCTCGGAAATCTCGAGATTCCACTTGTGATCGCAAGAAATCTTGGTTTCCTTAATCAACACAAATCGTAAACCACGAAAGATTCTTGTACTGTTTTTCGAAGGCATGGATTCATAAGCTGCAAATAAATAGCACAGCTGTTTAAAATTGTGGCATTTGATAGCAAAAACAATTGGTTGCATCTTGAGAAGCCGAATCCAACCTTGAATTGAGAAATGAATGCGGCGGTGACACCCCAGGCTTTAATGCACTGACAATACGGCCTAACAACGGGAAGACATCAAAATCATAATACCAATTAGGTGTAATGGATAAGCTAGCTACTTACAAGCACCAAGATAGCCATTCTTTGACTCTGTTACTGTCGTTAACTTATTGCCAACCAGCTTCTTTTCAAGCGCTTTAATTTCACCTGGACACAAATATGGGTTGCTATGAAACAGCAGTCGGCCTTTGCTAACAAACAGCTTCTTAGGTGTCCACAGTGACTTCAGATTGGAATTGCGGAACACCAGAAGCGCGAAGCTGAAAAATGAAGTTCTCAATTACTAGATGTCAAACTCGTTCAATAGATTTAGACTACTTCACGACAAACATGTCTAAAATACTGATCGTAAAGAATCATAAGTTCCCTATCTAGCCTTTTTACTGATTGCTAAAATTCTTTTTATTGATTGCTCTAAAATTCAGCTTATTCAGACAACCTTAAAAACTAGGACAAAGAATTTGGTCAAAACACCTACTAAAAGGGTTTATGTCTCTTTAGCAGTTGGCTTATGTAGTAAAAACCCATAAATTTGAATTCCATTGTTTTGTCACTCTTCATTTTTACTTTCTGGGTTCTTGCAACACATTCACAACACAGGCCTATTTCGATCCACAACTGGGTATATATTTTTCCATCGTGTTTTTTTCGGAACCTATTCTGACGTTTTATGCTCTGAGGAGTGTCAGACGAAAAAGCTTTTAGTATGTTGTAAAATGTTTGCTTTTTTCAAAGCCATTTTCAAATTCTGTACCGCAAAAAAATTGTTTGCAACACATTTGCTACATCTTGCAAGATTTTGGTGTTGCGACGGGACTAAGCACTTACAATGTTTCGTTTTTCGCGAGAAAGCGATGATGCGCTTTATAGGAAAAATCTTCTGCTAGATTAGTGTTGAAGACTGTTATCGCAAATACTGATTATCACACAGTCCTAAATAGTGACAAATTAAGGCAGGTACACACACCATAACTAAGATAAAAAACAAACAGCAAACACATGGATGGCTGAATAAAATGAATTTAAGTACTCACTCTTTCTGCAACAAATAACTTGGCTCAATCGACTGTAGACTTCTGAAGAAACTTAGTGACGTCAGAGCTTCTGATTCTCGTATTTCAATGAACCCTTTAACAGTTTGTATTGACCCAAGATGCTCCTCCAGTTTCTCAATGACATTGCCTGCAAAAAGCCAACGATAAGAGTTACAGTTTATACTTGCTCAATACAACTGCCTATCCTTTATGTTACCCTATGTTACCTTTAGGTTAATATCATGAACTGAGACAGTAATCGATGTTTGTGTTGCATGTAATGGTAGTTTTTATCTCCACATGTTTGTTTATTTCATTGCATTTAGACTTAAATGTTGAAATCAAAGATCTAGAATCTAGAGTGAATATTTGTTTTAGTGATGATAAGGTTTTTAAACCTCTATAAAATGAGTGCACTTGGAATCATTGGAAATTAATCTGACTATTTGGTATGTATGATCGAAAACCGAGCTTTGACAAATCTGTCCAACGAAATGAGAATGAAAAAAATGAATAATGCCGTTATTATCCGATGCAGTTATTATCTCTTCTGTCTGAGAAACAAGCCATGGACCTATCCAGGTTTGATGGAATTTTGATTTGAAAGTATTACATTATATGGAAATGTCAATATATATAATATACATAATCATGTCAATGATGTCTTGCGCACTTTTCGTAAGGTTCAGGATATAATACAGGGATGTTTCTTATGTACCGTACAAGCATATGCTAATACTGTATAATATGCTAATATGTTACAATATGTGCTCTTATGTTGTAATATATGCTAGATAGAATGTAACGATATCACTTACTCGGTCCTCCGCGAAGCTCGAAATATAATATATGCTCATATGTTATAATATATGCTCATATGTTATAATATATGCTCATATGTTATAATATATGCTAGATAGGATGTAACGATATCACTTACTCGGTCCTCCGCGAAGCTCAATATTGATATTCCCTTTCACAACTGTACACCCTGACAATACTTTGGCACTTGACAATACATCAATATTTACACCGACTCTAAATTCGCATTCTAGAAAAAAAGATTAATAGGAAGGAATCTATATAGATTTTCATAAAAATTTAACGAAAACTAATTTTTATATTCTAATAAATCAAGTCAAAATAAATACGAGGAAAAGCTACTGTTTATCATGTTATAGATAAATGAGCAAAATAATCTCTTTATAAAGCATAGATAAACATTCTTAGCATCCAATTTCGCTGATTTACTTCTTATAATTGATTCTACAAAGGCAAATGTCTACAAAAGTATGGGTAAAAATTTGATCCAGATAAAATTCAAGAAAATTAAGCTTCCTGGTTATGCTACCCTTAATCTAAGCTTCAAAAAACAGTCCTAGCGTAAAATTCTCCAACATAGTGTGTAATAGGACACGAGTATATGCCACCTCACATGTTACCTATCAATCAATGTTCTTTTCAAATTTTAACGTATAAAAACAACCGTTTGTAATTAATTGAGGATTTAGTTTTGGGTGCAATTGAAGAGTAAACAAAATGTATTGAGTGCGCTGTCTCTGCCTCTCGCTCCTTATATTTACTGGTGGCCCTTCTCGATCAAAAATGTTTGTTTTATGGGCATTCATTTAATATAGCCTTTTTAATGATATTGAACTCTGTAATTATCGAACTTTCACTTGTATTTTGATTTTAACTTTCATATCATTAAATAAATATTTCACTGTAGCTTTTAAGCCATCAGGACCCAAATGATAACAGTATTGGATATATATACTGATAGGCTATCCTGTTAAAATATGCCTGTATCATTATTATTATCATTTCATGCTTGCATACCAAAACCTGCCTTGCAACAGTCAGGCTGTCGTCCAACCATAGAACCATTCGTTTGTTTTGCAACGCTTATATACAAGGTTGATGTAGGCGTTTTTGTGGCAGATTGTTATGCTCTTATTGTATCGAAAGTATCCATTTTGCTACATATGGTGGGTGACTTTCTGAAGATTGATGTTTTTGCTAATAATAACATTTAAGAGGAACAATACAGTTATAATTAAGAATTTGGTTCCAATTTGATGTACCTCTTGGACATAGAGATTTCTCGCATTTGTCACAATATCTTGTTACGTTGTTTCCAGTATAACCAGCTGGACATTCTTTTACGCAGTGTCCGTTATGCTTGTAGTATCTCAAAGCAGGGATCATCCAGTACTGCCAAAACGGACATTGTTTGCCACATTCGAAGTTTTTCACCTGAAATTTGGAGAAATTAATAAACAATTTAAAAGCTTGGACTAACCGTTCTAGCCTGATAATTTTGATGAGTTAAGCAAATTTTTGTTTTTTTGGCTAGAAAGGCAGGCCCAGAACCTGCACTGCTTTACGTTTTCAGAGGTTCTAATAAAAATATAAAACAGAGAATACTCAGGGGTTATTTAGTTGAGGTTATTTAATGAGATTACTTCTGGTTGATAAATCTGGAAGTTAGCCTTTTCTATTGAATGGACAACACTTGAAGCCAACCGTTTATTTATCACTATAATAAAAAGCAATTAAAAGTGGTAAAAAATATCGAATATGTTCAATATTTTCCTTAGACGCTCAAGATGCGCACATGGCAAGAACGTAGCCGAGCAAAAAGGCACCAATAACATTTTGCTCCACGCCATGTATGTGCGGAAGGATTCATAGCTGGGGCGACGTCAAGTTGTGTGGCGGACTTTATAAGTGAGGCGAAGTCAAGTCAATCTGTTGTTTCTTCGAGCGCTATTGCGAAGGGGGGAGGAGGAGGGGAGATAAATAATACCCTTGTTGTTGCAACCAAATTGCAAATGAGGTTGAAATTCACAAATTCTGTTTGCTTTCCTCGTTGTTGCTTTTGGAGTAATTATAAAAGATATTTTAAATTTTCACGACAGATCTGACCTGTATAGAAAAAGTATCGTTGACTGACATACCTGTACCGGAATTAAGGGGATAGCCCCACTGTCCCAGGATTTTACGGACCCTGTTAGCAGGCACATTCCGGGTAGCTAATGCATAAAGTAGATCCCCTGAGGGGGCATCCACTTTCAATACAACCCCCCCCCCTTTCCACGTGGATGACAGGCATAATAGATCCTAATTTTAAAAAGACCATATCATATCTCATTGCAGTAATTTTTGTGAATTCGAGGCACTTACAACATGCATTCCATCTGGACACTGTGATACGCAGAAGCCGTATTTCCCAGTTCTGTAGTTCATGCAAGCGTGACAATGGCGATTAGATTCCTTCACCGTGCAGCCACCAAGACATTCGGAATGACAACATTGGTCTACTGTGCCATCAACACATCCATGCGCACCACAAAATGACTTGCACACTGAAAAATACAAGAAACTTGATAGTATTGTGGTCATTGTAAGGGATGCTGACAATTATTTACAAAATTTTAACGTGCTTTGAAGCTTCAGGGCGGCAAAGAGGCAATTTTACACGATAGATGGAAAATTGATCAAAATATCAAAGTTCTCGCTATCCAATTTTCACTGTTTTCATAGGCAGTGTGATAATGACGTCATAGCCCAACGCCTTCTGTAACATGTATCAGAATCGAATGTTTAATCAAATAACAACTAGGAAGTTACTTACAATAAAGGTACACAGAAAAATATTCTACTGCTAATACAAGAGAAATAAAGAAAAGAAAAAGGTATCACATTAATAACAGTAAACATGAAAAATGAAAGCTGTAGGACATGTGAAAAGCTTAAAGATTCTAGGTAACGAAAGTAAGGTTTTAAATTATTCAAGTTTATTTCAGTATTTTTTCCTTTCAGATTTTAGGACATTCTTTATGAATCAGTTTTTCTTGATTTTCCATGCTCTCGTGTTAATGTCAAATAATAGAGATTAGACAAAAAGAAACGTCGTAAGAAATTGTTACTTTAGTAAGTTAGAAAAGTATAACGCTTACTATCGTTACCAGCTCTTCAAAAGCGTTACATAAGTTCGGAAATCATAATTTCAAAATAATTCTCATATGTTCCCAAAGTAAAGGACCTTCATTCTTCATTTTGTCAAAGTATCTACTTCGTTTAAGATGGCGCGCATCCCAAAACTATACCAAGAAAGTGCGCTACCATAAAGATTCACAATGAAGTATATGCGAGACTGGATAGGCTGGTAATGCGCGGGTGGCAGGCAAATCAGAAAACGTAAACAGGCATATCAAAATATCAAAAAAATATATTCTATTGTCAGAGAAAACTCCTGCTTCAATCTGCTTGCGAACCCCAAAGAGCATGAACAATCTCTTGTCGCATTCACCCAGCGTGTCTCATTTTATTCGCTCTCTATCCAACCCCCACCCCACCTCAACCCCCCTCCAGCCCCCTAAAAACGATGCTTACTCTTCAGGTAGAAATCATACACGTCTCAAGAAAACTTCATAACATTGGGGAATATTTTGCACTTAGCCAAAACTATCTAAAACAGAGAGATGAGGAGAGTTTCAAACTGATGTTCTAACACAGCTTTATGTGGTCTTATTGTAAGACTTTGGCAGTAGCTGCAGCAAACGACAGCCGAGTAACTCACTAGCAAAACTACGATGTAATATTACAAGGCGCCAGACTTATAATCCCAATCCCCTTTTTACAAAAAACATACACAGACTATGAAACAATGAACACAGAGAAGTAAAATGCCTGGTCTGTTCTTTGGGCTTTTCGCTTCGCTATGGCAGTTACTCGTTCCCTCAAAACATATCCTACTGCATTGTTCGCAAGCTTGTCAATTAATTCCGTCATCTACCAAACCCTTATTACCATTCTTTCGGCGATTGAGGGAAATATATGAAAATATATTCGTCTCTTCATCTTTGAATTTGCGTTTTTGTTCTATTGTCGTTTGAAAACCTCAGTGCGCGGCCGTACAAAGCCAATGTACTTTGAGAAAAATTATATTCATTTCCCTAGTAAGAAGTTGTAATTAGTGAACAGTGTCAAGCAGTCAAGAGGCAATTCTTCAGACAACAAACGGATTGTTCTTTGTTAAGCTCTGTGTCCCAAGAATACAAAATTCTTAAGCGTATACTTGGAAGAAAGGATAGTTTCGTCTCTTGGATGTTAAACTGAGTTGTAAAACTGTTTCACTATTTGAGAGTTTATCTTCACATTTGAGAGTTTATCGGCGGATTTACACAGAAAAACCAATATCAGATTTAAGATGAGAACAGTCACAACTGAAAGTAATAACAGTACTTTTAAGTTAGAATAGACAATTCGAGGAGAGCATTTTTTACAAAACATTATGACTAGATTTTTTAATTGTTTCTAAGCTAGAGGACAAAATTTCAGGAGATTAATGTATATATTAAGCTTTTATGGATTTTAGGATTATGGATTAATCAGAATGAAATAAAGGCACTTACATTTTTGGCATTCTGGGTTACTTCTACTTCCTGGTCCAAAGCAATGCTGTTGTCTTGGACTATCATGGCCAGATGGAGCATAGCATTGTCCAACAAGGCATTTGTTATAGCAATTTTCATTGTTTTTATAAAATGAAATCCCAAAATTTTCCTCTGTGTGTGCTTTGTCTAGAACTATTGACCTCCAATTAATGGTCTTGATGTAACACATTCTGTCATTGTGATCAATTCTAACACCTCCAGATTTGATGACTGTTAATGATGGCAAAATGACTCTTTCTAGCAAAGTATTGTAAATTACCAGAGAATAATGAACAATTTGCTCCTGGCCTCTGATAACTGCTAAGTTTGGAAACAGATTACTAAGACTAGGGAGATCTTTAAGATAAATGACAATCAAATATCCAGTTATCTCCCTAAGAGCGGGGAAAGAGGCATCGTAGAGCACTTTACGAGTTTCACCAAATAAGGACCGAACTACAATACTACCATGAAATGTTGTACATCTCTCAAGATGTTCACAGTTACTGTTCTGCGCACATTTGTCTTTCAAAAGCCATAAATGATGCTGATGAAGCTTTGGGACACATTCTGTGAAAAAAGAGAAATAAATATTAAACTTCTGAGGCCATGCTCACAAATAAAGAGAGTACATAGACATGAGAAAATGCTTCTAGCGACACCTGGGGGAAGAAGGGCTGGGATCAGGCCTTGCAAGGAGACGTGCTCAAGCTTGATTAAGTGCCTCCACATGTGCCTAGAAAGTACTAGGAGCTTGATCGAATGAGCATCTAGCATGTTTATGCTGTCTAAAAACTAAATGCGAAAAATCAAATTTTGCTGTTGATTATATTTGAATACTCAATCGAGCACCTAGAAAGTGGAAGGTGCTCAGTTTGTCAAGCGCCTGCTTTTTGCTCCTCACAAGGCCTGGCTGGGATAGGCAGCAGCATGGCATGGGAAATATTATAGGCTATGTGACACATGGGTTAGGAGGCCCCCTGCTAATCAGGCAAAATTCATATCATTTCATGCTCAATACCAGCTGTACTATCTTTGTGAAGCAATCATTTTGAGCCTAAACCCATACTAAGCCCCCTTTTACATTAAGCATCTACTATGTTAATGGGAAACATTGGGTGCACATTTTTAGACTATCAGTTCTGTTCATTCCACTTTTAAAAATCCATATCTTTTAGAATACAACATCAGGTTACAAAAGATGTACCAAAAAATAAGAAAAATAAAGAACAGAAAATATAGATAATTTTACAAAAACCAAGGAAATTTGCATGCAGGAAATTCCTAAAGGATGAGCTCTCTCAATATAGATAGACTAATCAAGGAGAGAGCACCCCTGTAGTAAAAATCTATTAATATGTTATTTATTACTATGAATTGGAACCAAATTTTTTGACGTATAGAAAGAGGTAATCAATCTCTTCAGTTTTGAAGATCAACTCCATCTTATCTTTAAATGCAAATAGGATATAATTTTGTACAATAAAAGAATCAAAATTATCCAGGCTTTTTCTCTCTTCAGTGGAAGATTACCTTTAACAAATGTCAAGTCAGCCACTAAAAGCCAGATTGCTGCCATTTAAGATACAAAGATTTAGGATATGGGAAGCGCCCAATAATTTGGCACTGGGTGGGTAGTATCCCTTGCTCTACTAAACCAAACTTGGTTCTTATGTCTTTCAATTTCAGAAAAAATAATTAAAATCCTATTTAAGAATTGATTATAACTGTTGGTATAGTAAAAAGAATATGATTGACTAAGATGGTAGATATTAGCAAAGAAAAACCAGTGAAATTCACATAATGTGCATCATTAAGGAGCATGGTACCACTTGAGCTGTGACAAAATTCAGGTTTTTTTGTCTGTTGACCAAACTTTTTGATTTATTTTCAACTGTAAAGAACTAATTAATTAAAGCCATATATTTTCTGAGAAATAAAGTTCAGAAATTGGTGATGTTTGTTCATTACATTTTGAACTTGTACAAACTTTCAACATTAAATCTGTAATAAGCAGGTGGAAATACAAAACTTCATCTTTTTTCAATATATATATAAAATGTAATATGTCCAAGGTTTGAAAAAAAGAAAATCTGCTCATACATTGAATTTGTTGAAATATATCATGATACAAATAAGACTATACGAAGAGCAGTATTTAGAAACAAACCCATGCATTATGAATGAAGTTAGTGCAACCAGACTTGGCCAGACTTAGCCTTACCTGGTCAAAAAAGCTTTTAAAGACTTTGAAGACAACATTTGAGGCAGGTCTCAAATCAAGACCCCCCCCCCCTACCCTTGCAAAACTGAGCAATTTTCTTCGTTTTACTATTGTTTTCCCCTTATTTCTTGGCGCTCTGACTCTGTTCCCCTTATTTCTTGGCTTAATGATAGTGCTGCTGACTTGAAAACCACTTCCTGATTAAAGACTCAGTTTTATAAAAAAAATACCAGTAGATTGAAACCAACTAATATAAATGTTTATATGAATTTTGATATACCCAAAAATGAACATGAAATAGCTGAGTATTTTTGTGTAAAATTTCCAAGACGCACGCATTTGATTAAATTTTCCTTCATTATGATCGATTAAACCTAAAAACAGTTACCAAAACATTTTCTTCCCCACAATCTCTTCCTGACGTTGACAAAATACTCTGTAATTTAAGAAACATTTATACTACAGCTTGGTGCAACCCTATACAACCCTATACAAGGCAGCTACACCCAAATCCGGTTGTTCATTTGCTTGTTCCTTTCACTGCCACTGGTCATTTAAACACGCAATAAACAGTCAGTTAAAAGATTTGTATCTATTTAATACGATCATCAGCACCAGACTAAGTTAACAAAACTCACGGCTGCAATAATGTTTAAAATCCGAGGGGACAAACATACATCTCAGCACGATAGGCTATCGTCTAACAAACACTTGACATAAACAAACACTGGCAAACATGACAAATTGACGAATACATACTTATCCGATTCGGATGGCTGCCGTAGGTAGGCCGACAAGCAAAACAATATAAACTTTTACTCACTTTTGTAGGGGTAATATTTGCCATAAGTTGAAGTAACCAGAGCCATTGATGAAAGGGCGAAGAGCCAAGAAACTAAAACGTCAACTTTGGCCGCGACCATTCTGCGTCGGAATGTCAGAGAACTAAGCCACTCTTTTTAAACTTCAATCTGGCAGCATTTGGTAAGACACCCTTGATTACGTTTGACTAAAGCACACGAAAACATCGCTCAAATGCGGTTTCACCGACGAATTAATCACTAAGGCTTCAATTACATGGCACAAACCATCTACTGGAGGACAAGCCACATCCGATCACCTCAAAGTCGTCGGATATTACGAAGATACGATTTTCTTTTCTTTCGGCCTTTGTTGCTGCATTGCAGTGGTTTCTGCACACAGACAATCCATTCTTTGCATAACATTGTCACGTGATACAATGGTTTCTAACAAATGTTTTCATTTCTGAAATTGGCGATATATCATCAAGTCATGTGCTGTGCTAAGCTGTTCGCCAAGAAATTAGAATTTACGAAACAACAACATAGTTGTAAACAGGGTGACCTATCTCAAGTGTATTGGAATCTGCCTTGAGCATTAAATTTTGTGTTTTAGCTGCAAAGTTTAGCTCGAACATATTTCACTGCCGCATGTGAATTTTCGCAAAGGATTTCAGTGGAATTCTCATGCTACAATAACCCAAATCACTTTAGGATTAAGTTGCATTGGCAGTTAAGCTCTCGATTTAAGTTCATCTTTAGACAACAAAAAATTCCTATAAAAGTCACGCATTTAGTCAACAAAGCTTCAGAATGCCAACTTCAAATCAAAGAAGAACGTTATTCCTGTAATTTTTCCTTTCTAGCATCTAAACTTGAGTGAATAAGAACCTTTTTTTCCTATGAAATTTGGTCTAAGCATAGCCCATGTCCTTTTTTCCTATCAGACTGTTTTGATTTCTCAGATTTAGTTACATTGAAGCATCTCAGAATTTAGTTTCAAAAAAATTTCGCATTAAAGGACATTACAAAAGTCAAATCCAAAGGTTTGTAGCTTTAAATGCTGTAGAATTGAGAAAAAATCAAAAAGCTTTTTAACTTTAAAGCTTTTATAGTTTTTCTAGTTGTTTAAAGATAAATCTTGGAACTTCACGTGTGTTGCTGTTGTTAAATAGCATATGTGATGGTTCATAGGAGCCAAAGATATTGTCTTTACATTAAATATATAACCATTTTATAAAGACACAGAGAGAAGGAAAGTATACGTTAAGTTATGGACGTTATATATTGTGCAGCATCTTTAACTGTATTTATACAGAAGCTCTACACTCGCAGTAGAGAACTGGATATTTAAACATCCACCTTCAGAGCATTTCTCTATGAAACGTTGGTGGTGTTATTTTGAACATTTTATATCGAATAAAAATGCATCAATTGATGATCTATGGCCTGCTGCAAATTTTGCGATTTACAAAACTTTTTATAGGAATAAAGTCTAAAAAATTATTATATTAAGGCTCAAAATCGCCGAAATTTAGGAATAATTTGAGAATAATCCATGCCTCAAGCTTCATCAAGAATTAAATTTTGTTTATCTTTATTCCTTGGAAACAAAACAAATGCGTGTTGCTTGCTATACCTTGGGATAGACGTATCCAGCCTTGCAGTCATTAACACTATAATGTAACCCAGTTACACCCTGTGTCGCCTAAGAATAATTTAAGAAAAATCTTAGACTTAAAATGAAAAGAATTTGAGAATATTAAAGCTCTGCAAAAATTGGGTATCTTTATAAAAAAAAGTGTGTACAACAACATCTTTCAGAGATGACAGACAAAGAAAGCTCTTTGATGTGATTGTTGTTAAGGTGATAAACAAGGAATTAAATTGTATTGCTGCTCGCCAGTCTGTCATCTCGATCATCTCCAAATTGTATAGATACATGCATCTCGGGGTAGGCTTACAACTTTTTATCAGGTACGAAAATTGTGTGAATGCAAAGAGATCGGGTAAATCAGCTTGGGTCTTGAGGAAAGGACAATCCACAAATCTGAGGATTCACTTTTGTAGAAAGGAAACAAATTTTGTGCAGCAAGTATTTCTATCCAAAAAATAGGGCCGTCATTGCCTATTGTGCTTAAGGAGGTTGAGGAGGAGCTGCTCAGATCCCATTTGCCGACAGAGTGGGTGAGTAACCCTTTATTTGCCGACAAAGCACCCTTACATGGCAAGAACCTCCTCATTTTCACCATCAAAATGTTTCAAAGGGGGAATGTCACATCTCCTATGCTCCACCGTAGCGACAGCCTTGCCAGAAAGTTTTTGGGGCGTGGCGGTCTAAAAATATGGACAGTGTGATTAGACAGATAGGCGAAGTCAGGGTCTTGCTTGAAAGTGTAGAGCCATGCAACAAGGCTTTTCTTCTACAAAAATGAAGAAATTATACAACGAGGATGATGACTCATCTTGAAAATAACATCACTTTGCTGTATTATTCACTGGCGGGACCAACAAGGAGCAAAATTGCTTCAAATCTTGTTTACAAGACCCATAGAGATCGGATAATATTATCCTATCTCTATGACAAGACCTCTTCTATAGGCCATAGCTTTGGCCACTGGCAATGTGACAATTCAGTAATGGCATAAATAGGAAATGAGGAAGCTTTAAATAGAAGCAAATAAACGAAGTTAATTGAACTTAAAAGTGTATTAAAGGCGGTGGAAAAGTCGCCCTAACGCGAATCAGGAAGACAATAAATGAGCTACCAATTAACTTGAAAACACTGGATGACAGAAAAGATAGGACTAAATGAGATTCAGTGAACTTTCTCGAAGGAATGGATGATGTGAAGAGATGATGGGCAAATGCCAACCGTAGGTATTCGAATGTTTATCACAGAACCTGATCTATAAAAAGGAACATAAACTGTTAGAGAGACACGGACTGGAATGAGTAACGAAATGGAGAGCTTGCTTTTAAAGCCCCTACAGGAGTAGAGGGTTTTGTAAACTGATTTTCTATTAACTTTAACAATTCATTCAACTCTATAAGGCTGACAAATAGTCAGACTACGCCCCTTATACCATACAATATGAGAAACAGCCTTGAAAAGATGGGGGTACGTATCAAGAAAAACAGACATTTTTCTTCACCAAGGTACCCCCTTCCCATTTCTGAGGTTCCCGATTAACATCCCTTTATCTCAACCATTTAGTTTGCTATAGTTTTGAAACTGCCATCGTAAACTGGCCTTCAAAATTCTGAGAAAAAAGTAAGGGGGTGGACCTATAAAACAAGGCTATCCATCATAAAAGGTGGGGAAAAAAAGTTCTTGAGATTCTTACGATAAAAGTAGTATGCAACGATAATGGATATGGAAAATGAATATGGAATGGGCATTTCTGATAAAAATCTAAGTTATACCCTTTCTTGCGCATGCAAAGCTGAAGCTTGGTTGCCCCTATCTTACCTAAAGCTCAATGTTTCTCTTCTTGATCAAAACTAAAAATCAAGATATCTGGCATCGGGCGTCCAAATTTTTCCTCCACTCTAGCTGTTACGTAGTACGAAGAGTATTCAAATCAAAAATCTTTTATACAAGAAAACTATGTCAGACAACGTAAACGCTGTTTGCATCGTTCGGAATATTTTGTCTAGTCTCAAATTTGATGTATTTGATGTATACACTATTATAGTAGAAAGGACTACGATCTGCTTTTTCTCAAAATCTTAAAACAAGCAAATTTGAAATTTTCTTTATCATCTTGCATATTGCGGAAGCGGGGGGGTGGGGAGAGGGGCATTTTTTTGCAAAATGTACTTGAAACCATGCAAAAATTTGCCTTGCTCTTGGTTTTTAGCATGTTTAGCCTCTCCCCAAAATTTTTTAGTTCCCCCCCCCCGAATCTGTAAAACGCTCCGCGGTTCTTGATATGTATTCCATTAGCCTGGGTACCAGAGCCTCAAAGAGTCAAATAATGAAAAACGGGGAAAAGGAATTCCTTATATTTTCCTTCGCAATTCCTTTCCCCTGTTCGTCATCCTTTGACTCTCTGAGGCTCTTGCACCCAGGGTTGGATTCCAATTGAAAAATGAGGCAAAGTTACGTTCAAAGTACCCAGCAAAAACTTTTTCTCAAAATGTATGTTATCCTAAAGTGTCCTACCTTACAAGGTGACAAAAGTATGTTAGCACTTTTGAAGCCTCCAATAATTAAGTTAAAAATATTTAGGAACAGAATATTCCTAAATTTAATTTAGGAACAGAAGAAAACTTTTTATGGGAATTTTTCTAATTTGCAGATTTGGCTAAAGGTATTTAAATAAAACATATGGAATTGACTTTTCTGCAGGGAATATTCAATAAACAAGTTCACAAGCATCAGCAACGACACATCAAGTCTCAAAATTATAATACCTTTTTGAATCAAATCAGTTACTGACTTTCAAACCTATGTTTACAAGAGTCAAAAATCAAGAAGCCAGATTGCTTTGAAATTACCATAATTTACATGGGATTTAACAAAGATGCAATATATTCATTGAAACTGTTATTGCATTAATAATTAAAAATTCATTAGACATGCAGAGTAGACATATCATATTTATATACATGTTTTCTGATACTGTCGTCACAGATTTGCGTATATTAGAACTTCAACGAGGCCATATTTGTAATTGGAAGGAATTAAAGAGCAGGTGTGTATCCTATTTGGTGTATAGGCATGTAATACCCCTACATTTTTTAACTAAGATGCATAATTTTGAAAACGACCTGCCTGAGAAGGTTCGAATTCACATTGTGAGTGAATTCTTAATGACATTGAGAGGGTCAAGAATAGAGAGTGAAGTCTTTCCCTCTGTCCCTGATCGTTCAGCTTCCACAGCAATAACAGGTTGTGCTATCGATATCACCTTCAACTTTCTTTATTGGTAGCGACATTTCTTATGATTGTGTTAAGGCTCAAACTACTTTAGTCGTTGCCTATGGCTGTGGAGCTTGTAGAGCAACAGTCTATGGGGTTCTGATATATACATTATCCAAATCATTCATATTGCAATAAAGTCCCTACAAACGTGTTCTTTCGAATCAAACTTTGAATATTGGTATCTCTGTTACATTGGAAATTCCACATATCTTACGTCCTTTTCACTACTTGAATACATATCGTTCTCTATTCCTTGGCAAGTTTCTCCCTGACAGCCCATGCCACGATCAGCTTCAGTCATCCAGTTTTCGTCATTTTTCATATTACATGAAGATGTCCCAGCAACCTCAGTTAGGCCTCGTCTTCCTTGGTTAAGAGGCTCTTGAACAGGCGTCATATCAGAATCAGTTGCTTCAAGTAGCCTACGCTTCATCTCGTGATAATAAGACACCTCTTCGAAGGATTCAGAAACATCGAATTCCAGGAAATGGACAATTTCCAAGAAGGAAGGTCTAGCTCTAGGTTCTGGCTTCCAGCAATTGCACATCATGTTGTACAATCGATCAGAACAGGCTTCTGGTTGCTCTAAAATCCCTCCTTCAATGACAAAGGATAGAACGTCTTCATTTGATTTTCCAGGATATGGCTGCGCAGCAAGTGTTGCCATTTCCCAAAGAACGATGCCATATGACCTTGGATGGAGATTGTGTGTTATTGAAAAACCAAAAGACTAAAAAAAATTACCCGCAAATTTTCAAGAAGGTTATATTTTGGGATAGGAACAACATTTGCAATCTTCATAACATTTGACCTTTAATACAGGTTTTTCTAAGGATAATTGTATACTTTAATGGTTTTGGTCTTTACTAACCAATTCCATCAAATAGCTCTAGCAATCTGTTTTATCTTAATGTTTAGGTTTTCTACAGGGGCTTACCAGACGTCGGAGGCACTCGTGAAGACGCCATCGTAGAGGCTTTCGGGGGCCATCCACCTCACTGGAAGTAGGCCTTTACCTCCTTTGCGGTAATAATCAGTATCATAAACATCACGCGTCATTCCGAAGTCGCCAATTTTCACAGTGAAATCTGCAGCTACCATGCAATTGCGAGCAGCCAAGTCTCGATGAACGAATTTCCGTGCTGCTAAATAAGACATTCCGTCTGCAATCTCTGCGGCCATTTGCAGCAATTCGGCCAGGGAAGGTGGGAGAAGTTCACTTTCAGTCTGCAATACAAACAAACACATCGTCAAAATATCATTTCTCCAAGTGACGCTTTTGGTTCCTTGAGAGCTCCTGGCTACATCATAGTATAATGGGCATAGCGGAAGCAAAACATATGGGGGGAGTATGGATTTTGCTCGTAAATTACTGCTTCATTGAAAAGGAACTGCCCGAATGGACCTTAAATTGCAATGAATGTTGCCTCATTATAGAGGATGCAGCCCTTTATCCAGATTTCCCAGCTCCCAGAAGTCCCAGATTTCTCAAATGCCTATGATAAATAAACGTGAAACTGATTTCGCTCGCACGTTTTTTCTTGTGACTTCTATAAAATCCGAATGATCGAATCAAAATTTCTAGTAAGAGGGTTATTGATGGGCTGGAGCTACTCAACATTTAATGAAATAATGAAAAATACTGTTTACCGGTCTGTCATAAAGTGCTCAATGCGATATAGGCAAAAAATTGTCTGATGATCGTGTTAAGCTTGAAACACGAGAAAGCAACTTAGGACCATCCTGTTTTATACATCAAATGTGTAAAATAAACTAAGGATGATTCATTTTACTTTAAACTAAATTCGTTTTGTATTCAAAATTCTCTCCAGGTTTTCATAAGTGAACCATAGCTAGCAATATGGAACTTTTGTAAATCAAAGTGATTAAAGGATCTTGGGAACCGGCATGCTTTGCGACTATATTTTCAAAACTGGCATAATATCGTACTGCATGAAAATACAAAACACAATCAATTTCCCAAGACAGCTGCCGCTAAGCATGCCGGTTGCGCAAGGGCCTTTAAGACATAGTAAAATAACAGTGAACTAACTGCCACTTACATCCGGCCTTCTGCCCCTAAGAAATCCTTTCAAGTCGCCGCGCTCCATGAGCTCCATGACAACTAATGTAGGCTCTCCTTGTGACACTACACCAAGTAATTTGACTATATGGTGGCAGTTGAACGCCTTCATTATGGACGCTTCTTGAAGGAATTCGATGCGGTCTTTTATTGAAGCCCCCTCATTTACCGTTTTGACAGCAACACGAAGTTTTGGTTCCCCCTCTATGATTCTATGTGCAATGCCTTCAAATACCTTGCCAAAAGAACCTTTACCTAGTTCTCGAACCAACTGGACCTTTTCTCGTGGAACTTCCCATTCATCAGGTACATAAACTTTCAAATATAGTAAAAAATGTATTAACAATTAGAAACGGAGTGGTATAATGTAATGTAATAAAGAATAAGGGGTCATCAACGTAGACATGGAGGCAGACTCCAAAAAAGTTGTTAACCATCCTCCAGACAAAAACATCCCAGAAGGCAAACCTTCCTCACAAACAATAGAAAGAGGGCGTGACTTTGGTGTGTCGTATGAGCTTCTATTGTTTTTCGTGGACTTCCGGTCAGTGGCCGTGTGACCGTAATGTTTTCCTGACTCTGCATGGAGGCAAGACACATCAAGGCAGGACTTCTTCCAAGGAAAAGTGCAATTTTAACCAAAGTTCTAGCACTGTTTAAACAATTTAAACAATAGGTTATGGCTTCTTTTGACAAAAACATAAGTGGTATCCCTTTTTAAGAAAGCCTCAAAAGAACAATGCAATAAAAATTGCCTGCAAAATACTGACTGTATTTATCAATATCTGTTCTTCTGTTACATGATTCCTAAGAACTTTGCATATGAATCAGATGTCGTGTTACGTAACGAGAAATGCTGAATCCACTGGTTCGCTATACGAATACCAAAAGGTATTCTACAAAATTTTATTTTGATTGTGCTTTTTATGGTTTAATTTGTAATAGTCGTTTGAAAAATTTCAATTTTAACACATAATTTCTCTTGACTAAGTTTGGTAGTAGTCTTTTGATAAGAAGGAAAAAGCTACTGACAAGTCTGACAGCCTCTAGTGCATCCACAAAAGTTTTAGTCACCACATGAGTTGCCTTAGCTAAGGTTTTCATCTCTTTCAGCTCATCAACTGTGGATTTATTTGAACATATTTGTATTGTAGATATTTCATTCATAAATATTTCATTCATAACAAAGGACTCAAGCATACCATCAGAAGAATCCAAATAATCTGGATTTGAAGAGGCGTAAAGAACACCCGGTACAGGCATGGCTCCGGACCTAAAAAAGAAAACGAGTCCGCCTTTAGACATCCTTATAAGGTCCTTTACAGAAAGGAAGCCAAACAAGGATTTCAGAGTTAAATTACTGAAGAAGGAGCAGAGAGCAAAGCTAGTGATAAAAAGATTTGGTTTTAGCGTGGCAACTTAATTTATTTCTTTTTTCTTTGGCTATCTACACGGTTATCGACTGTGTAACGGCAATGGTGTCTGGGCTCTGAGATTGCTTAGCCCGTTTTTGATCAAGAAGAATGGACCAAGAAATGTTTTCAAAAAAGTTTATACGTTTTTAAGTCAACTAACCCCCTATATCAACAGCAACAACACCACTGAACTAGAGAAACATTTATACCAACAAGTGCAAAACCATCATATTTATACATACTTCTTAGCGCGAACGTAGTATAAGAACGATGCCAGTAGTATGATAACAACTGCAGCCGTGGTGCCGACTCCAACTACCACAGCGTTGTAATCTTCAGTTTGCGCTGACTTTTCTTTGATTGTAAACTGGACGGGGGTAGTCCATGTTGCATTGCCTGCTGGGGTTATTACTTTGATACGTAAGGAATAGTTACCAGGGGCTGCACCCCTTTCTACAAATTCAGTTGGCATGCTGCCAAGCAAACAGCGTCTCTTCTCTTGGTTTTGATTATGCCTGAAAGGAAACTCTGGAGGATTAGGCCATTTTAAGAAATCCCATAGTCAAAAATACACAATATCAAACATCAACTTTGTTTGGCAATTATTGTGATGTTTCTATAAGATACCGAAGTTTTTAGTGCAAATTTTTCCATAACAACCTTGCTTCGAAAACCATTACTATATTTTTTGGGATACAATCCGCTATAGTACTAAATGAAGGCCAAATGAACGTTAGTGCCTACTTACCAGTATTTGCATAGGATATAAAGCTAGATCCTCATGCAGTTAACTGGCGTGTTGAGACTTTAGAGTCGTTTCGAACCAACACCAAGATAAAAACCTCATACCTTTATGACATTATCAACACCAGCAATTGGTACCATGACAAATCTTGGTACCGATTGGATTGAAGAGGTTCATCAAGATATTTTGGCCACTGCATATAAAAGTCGTAGTGGAATGGCAACTTTTTGGAACATTGTTAAGAATGTCAGATTGTTGTTTGTTACCGAAGAAAAACACGGAGAATATTCAAAAAACGATACAGAGGCGAGGATACTGTCTATTAGAGAAGAGGACTGCATTAAATCTGGTTTTTGAAAAGATACCTAATGCGGGTACACAGCAAATAACTACTACAACCTTAATCATTTGCAGAAAATGTGTAGCCATAATTGGGTGTTTACTTACATATACATATATTCTCTGACAAAGAAATTGGAACAAATTTAGGCCATATATATGTGGGCATACTTCTTAAAAGAAACAAAAAAATCAAACGTTTATGTAGCTCAAACTAATCGAGATCTTGTAGCTCTAGAGCTTAAAATCAACAGATCTTACCTTGTTCGTATATCGTAGAGCAGGATAACTCCATTTGGCTGCGTGGGAGCAGTCCAATTAACTGCATAAATGTCTCCTTTTACGTTGACGCCTACGCCACCCGGTATCATATCAGCTGACGGAATTGCGTCGGTTTGGCCAAACACATCCGGGCAGTGTCCGACGTCAAGACAGCCAGCTCTGTTGCAAGGACAAACCTATGCAAAAGGAATAAATATTCTGCATTCAGACTGATTAGAAACTTTGTTGCAGCAAATAAGAAGGGTCATGTAACAACTTTAAGGGTCTTAACTCTTTCTATCTCAACTCTTTCAATCTCAACTCTTTCTAAATAAGATAAACAAAAAAGGTTTGGAAGCTAATGATAATTCATAAAATGTTTAAGTAACAGTACTTACTTTAATTATGTATTCTTGAAAGTATGACAGATCCTTTATGACATATTTCAATGTCTGGCCATCCACTTGTTTGTAAGCTATAGGTCTTGTAGGAGCCACCGACGGCTTGTGCGACGGAGTTGTTGTTGTTGGTTTTGCTGTCGTTCGGGCAGCCATTTTGGTTGGGGTCTGTGTAGCGACACTCGCAGTTGTTTGATTGCAATTTGTCTAAAAAACAATGTATTTATTATCAGTTGACATGGTTCAATAAATATAGTATGAAAATGAACCAACATGTATGTCTATTTTGTGTTATATAGAGAATTTTGCTTCAATCTCAACTAGCAGATGGATATGATTAATATGACAATGTAGGAATTTTACATCAAGAAACGTTAACGGACAACGACGAGAGAATCAGAACAATTTTATCTTCTCACTATGGCACTTCAAAGGACGCTGATCAGTTGAAACAATGAAGGTGAAACTGATGGAAAATAGAGGTGGGGTGACATGACCCCCAACCACTCTCCCTCTAATGAAAATATAGAAAAATTCGGTCTGAAATAATGCTGCAGAGGAGTTCATCCTGATTCCTATCATCGCTAGATTTTTCTAGTTGCTAGCATTGACTTGCAAAAGCCGCCACATTCGTCGTAAATTTGTTGAACTATTCTTAAACATTTATTGTTCCTGCTCCTGATTCGGGTATATAAATTTGTATGAACATTGAATGAAATGTATTCTGCACAAATACACGAAATACATCAACATTAATCAAACATTCTGGACATCCTTGCTGCATTCAGTCATCAAGATGTTTTGAAACCTCAATGTCACAACATAATATCACAGTTGCTATAGATGGAATTTAATATCCCACCTCGTTGCTATTACTGGTGCAGGTAGAAGGACGTTTTGTTGTCAGCTTATCTCCCGTGTTTTCTTTCTCAACTTTCTGGAAGACATTCGTAATCAGTTCATCCTCAAACTTACTGTTAAACAATACAAAATTTCTGTCCTCCAAAACTCTTCGTGACTCCTTTTCTTTGACCTCGCATTCTAGCGTGACATTTCGAGGGCAAGAACCTGTGGTAAAATAAAAAACAATTTAAAAACCTTTAAAGTTTTCCTATTCCTTTTTTTATCTTTTTAATAAATCAATGTATCTAGGCCAAGGAAGTCTCCAAACTGCAAAACAGTAAATAAATCAAATTTACAACAATACATAAATCCACCAATGTACAGTTTCAATGTACAAGCAGTTATACAAAATGGCAAAGTACGAGAAGTAAAATATATGATTCACCTAATAAAAAGGCTTCTCAGAAAAAGTTAATATTGAGTTAATATTGGAATCAGATCTTACTGAGTTCAAATATAAAGCAAAAAATGATCAAGAAAGAAAAAACCAAATAAAACAAAAGATGGAAGTGACTGGAAAATGAAGATGACAGAAGAAAGCTCTCAATATCGATGTTTCTCCAGTTCAATGTTTCTCCTAATGCCAAAACAAGTTCCATTTCTCTACTAATGCCCGGCTAAAGCAAGTGACAAGATAAGCTGTATTGAAGCAAATCGATGAGGAAGATTTCTTCTTGTCGATAAGTACAAGAAGATTTGGAGAACAGAACGAGACATATTTAAATATTGGAAGATACAAGAAATTCTAGGGCGTTTTAGAAAGCCCTTACATATCTATATGAAGTTTTCCCAAACTAAGTCAGCTATCAAAATCCAATATTTTCTTTAGAGAGAAACAAAACACGATTAAAGATACCGGTAGTCGCGTTTTTGTTCCCATTTATCTCTTCTTCACTAGATGATAAATGCCTAGAGCACCAGTCTAGACCAGAGTTCCAAAAGGAGTACTTCTTCTTCTCATAGTATATTCTGTATTCAGTGATCACTCCGTTTGGACTTTCTGGCGGATTCCAACTTACTTCAATTGCGGAAGCAGAAAGATACGCTGTCTTTAAACCAACTGGAATTCCAGGAACTGAAAATTAAAACTATGCATAAGTTCGTTTCAGTACATAGCAGAGTGCAGAAAAAGTGGCGGTCTTACCATTAACCGTTATTTCTAACTGGCCAGGGGGACGTGTGAGCATTTTCTTGTATTTTGGGCCAATTGCATAATGTAACGCAACAAACCCCCCAATCAGTGTTTGTACAAGACACACCAATACCAATAAAAACTCTTTGTTCTCTACGCTTCATACTTTGTATCTCAGTGATAAAACTTAAAGGATCCTACGATATGGTGTTTTTTTATTACGCTTTTCTTGCAACATGTTCCTTACGGGGCCTTATGAAAAAGAATTTGTATATCTTCAGTCAGTAATGTTTACAGAACATTAAAATAAAAAAGTTGAGAAAATAGTCTTCAGTTTTTAGAATTTGACAGATAGTTTTCTAATTTGATGAGTAATTGAAAACCCATGTTTTGTGTAAATCAAGTGACAAAATGCTCTTTTGAATAAACAGATCGATGCGGAAGTGGGTAATACTCATCAACCTCTATCATCATATCGTTAAAATACTTATGAATTTATTACAATATCAATCAGTCATTTTAAAATTTATTGAATTGTCAAAGTTAAAAAGGAATAAATTCATGGCTGAACAAAGTGTAACGTTTTGTTGGGGTGAAATAGCCTATAATGGTTACAATTCATCGAAGAGATCGTGTTTCGTCTCTAACCGAACTCTTATGTAGTGAGTGCCTAATCAATTTATTTGAAAAAAAGGTAACACAAGTGGTGCCACTAATTTTTCTTTGAGCCAAGATTTCTATACGTTTTCTATCAAAGCTAGACAACTAAAGCATCTTCTTTTTGGCATAAAAGCTTTTTCAACAGGGTGTCACACCCGCACCCTCTTAAACTATAGCGACAGCCTTGTTGGCAAAGCAAAGCATTTAAAATACTTACTTCCTTCAGGTAGGTGATAATCTAGCTGATAGCTTTTTCGACCATCTCCACTTTTTATTAGATAGGTTTCGACGAAGAATGTATATGTAGTGAATGGAATAAGATGGGTGATTTGTTCCACCATTTCAACGTCACCCAAGCGGCTTGAACTGAAAAAAAAGAAAAAATAACAGAATGACATCGATTGATTACTTAGATTGTCATTCTTATAAAATCGACTCCTGCAACTAAATTACAATTTACGGCATAATCGCCTTTCAGCATATTACAGCATAATCGCCTTTTAGCAAACTACTTCTCATTCATGCGCACAGATATAACAAATTTCCAGTCGACAGAAGCCTATGATACAGTGGTACCAAATGATGAAAGATTAAACATTCACAAATTTCTGTTTTTTCTTTTTTAAATCTTTGATGATTAAAGGTGCACTTCCGTAACTTTTCCATAGCTCAGTCTATGAAGCAGATTGGCATTACATATTGCACTTAAGATAAATTGACAAAAGATTGGTACAAAAACATAAAAAGTAGACTTTTTGCCTTACAGAGGGTAGGAGGGGGGGGGGCAGGAAACTATTGCTCTCTAAAAACGGAGAACGCATTGGCTAAGGTAGGCTGACTTCAGTCTATCTAGAGAGCTTGCTAATTAAACGCCCTCACTAATTTACACGAATTCATTAAACGTATTGATAACTGGCTTCTCAAATAGCGATTCATTTTAGTGGTCAAATCGTTGCTTGAAACTTTAATGAGACGGGGGCAGTACCCTTAAGAATGTTCAAAACCTTAAGAATGTTAAGAAGGTTCTTGCTACTGATAAGCAAATTCATACTTCGTGCGCAGATCTGGGATGCTTACATCGACTTGACACCACCTAAAGAGACAGAAACAACAAGGAAAAGTAAAATGCATTGTCGTCGTTTTTGAGTAGGTAGCAGTTCACTAGCAAATTGAGCAATTTCATCAGCGAGTATCAAATTCACATTTCTTTAAGAAAATTTGGTAGAAATATCGACTTGTAATGTTCTAAGTGGAGCCCACAAAACAAGAGAAATCAGGAAAGATACTAGAATAGACTATGCAGGGGCGGATCCAGAGCAATTTGAAGGAGGGGCAGTCGGTAGTGGGGGAGCTGAAAAATTTTCAAAAATTGGTGACGAGAGTACACTGCATACAAAAATTTCAGATCCATTTTCAGAATAAACAGCATAACTTTGAGGTAATCCTTGAAGCAAATTAACCTATCGGTCTCAGAAACTTTTTCAGCTGATTCTCATTCTTCGAAAGGGGCGCAAGATTTCTAAGAAAAGGGGCGCCACACTTGCTTCAACTCGTCGAGGGAGGGGCAACTGCCCCTAGTTGCCCCCTTCAATCCGCCACTAAGGCTATGTGTTATGAAGGTTCTCCTAGTTAGGCAACTCACGGAACGGAAGTAAAAGTGAGAAGATGGAAAGTGTGAGGGGCACTGAGGACCTGCATAGTTATAGGTATAAGGAGTTAAGTAAGGATATAAGTTGATGAAATCGCTGCACATTATTTGTATTTAAATGCTTACCTTGTACTGCAGTTATTTTCTTGAATCACCTTTTCACCAACTGTCCACTTTTTTCTGTCCAAAAAATTCAATAATTTTACATCTGTTACAAGTCAAAATCTGTTAGAAAGTCGGAAAAAATCTTCCTACGTCCCTCGATCTGTTCCTTCATATTTTTTGGCTGATGCAAGACCATTAGATGGAAAACAATTCATAGCAAAAGCATTGTAGCAGCTCTACTTTACAGGCTTCAATATTTTCCATAGACAGCACACGTCGTCCTGTACATCGATGCACTTGTTAATGAAAAATAAATCTACAAATTTACTAACGGTTTGGATCTATCAAAACGACTGTAAAGAAAATGTAGCTTCAGGCCTACAATGAGGTTGAATATTTCTTAAATCTTTATCGAACAATCAGTTACGTTACATAATCACCCTTCCTCCGTACAACATCGTCCGTATAATTTTTAACGCTGCAAGTTCCTGTTATAATAGTATGGAAAACAAGGGCTTAAAAGGCAGAAAAAAGGCGCGGGAAAATTATAATTCCAAAAACTGTAGTATTCAAGAGTGGTTTCTCAAAATTCTCTAAGTTTCTTGAAAATCATTGCTAAAGAAGGTTTGACAGAAATGTTCGGTGCAGGCCAGTTGTTTTTTCCGCAGAATTTTCTAACAAACCTGAAAACCGATATACGCTTGATAACGTCCCCACTGCTGCCGATACATTGGCGTAGAAGTTATATCAGAATATTCGTCTTAAAGCGTCAGACATTAGTGTCAGTGTTACAATAAAAGCAAACTGTTACACATACATCTTGTAGTTCACAATGTAAAAGACACTTCTTGAATCGAAGGAACTTTTATGTAGCCACGAGACATTAACACACTTGCCATCCCTTGCTGGATTCTTACACGTAACCTCAAAAACAGTTATGTTGAATCGATCCAAATCACCTGTGTGAAAAGATAAAACCTGATAAACATAGAAACAGAGTCAACTCCCAATAACTCGAACATCCAAGGGACCAATAAAATGGTTAGGGACGTGCTGGGACTTAACCTTTAGTAAAGTTTCTCCGTGACTTAGACTATAGTAAAGATATTCTATGATACTAACAACCTGAGGAAAAGACTTTTAATCTGCTTTCTGCACCTTCGTTTCACATAGCATTTGATGCCGGAAAAGGGTAATTACTTTTCAATTTTACACATTGTTGAAAGAAGCTTAGAAAAAAACTTATGAAAATCTTGTATAATTCTCAAAATAAAGTCGGCTTCAAGGTAGCATGACAAATCGGAGCCATTCAAAACAACCAAAGAGCCTTCATCGCAATGGTATCTTGTAATTTGTAAATCACATTCATAAATCAAGTAAGAAGAATCTTTAGCCATAAAAACCATTACCTGGGCATAAGAAGCCATTCTGAGCCTGGGTCAGGGCACCAATGTTCCTGGCAGTGGTGTTCAGAGTTTTGTTGAATGATTTTATTTCAGCCGGGCAGAGTTTCATGTTTCCGTGCAGCAGTATATTCCCGTACCTCACTGTCAACTTCTTTGGTTTCCACAAAGACTTTAAATTCGGGTTGCTTAATACCATCAGTGAATAACTGAAAAGCAGAGATTGCAACAGTTGATAAAAGAATCGTTTACGCGAGAAACTCATTCGTTGTTTTAAAATCATTTCTAACAAAGAAGTATGTACTAAAATTTAAAAAGTCTCAAAGCATGGAAGAAGAAAAGTTTTATAGGGGGGAGGGGGGTGTGGCGACGGCAGGGATAATATACAAGTAATAAAAGAGTCATGTACAAGAGAAAATTAATCGCTATTTTAAGAATAATTTTTAACAAAGAAGAACTTAGTAAAATTCAAACTTAGGGAAGTTTCAAAGCATGGAAGAAAAAAGTTTCATAGGGGTAGGGGTCGGCAGGGACAAATGCACTTTTTTGCAAAACCAACACTTAAAATTCATTTAAAAATTCCTTGCTTAATTTTAAAACCCATTTGTATCAATGCTGCTTCATAAGAATAGTTTATTTGCGGTAAATATCAGTTACCGTAAATCCTCGAATCAGCCCCGTAGGAGGCTTATACGATAAGGGGAGGCTTATTCATTTAACATTGAGGCTTATACGATAAGGGGGCTTAAAAATAATCTCAATGTTTCCATAAATGTAGCTCATTTTTAGCTGTTTCTTGACTTTCAAGTTCATTTATATGCAATTATACTAATTACCTCCATATAAGATGTCGAAAAAAGTATAAATCAAAGTAACGAAAAATACTTTAGTCAAGAATATTGATAAATTTATTGATAAATTCATTGTCTTGGGTTGTCTCCTCATCGATATCTCGTTTTTCGTCGACTGTTGAATGTGTTGGCAATCATGGGCTAAAATGGTTAAATATTCTGTTGTACCCCGGCTAAAGGCAAAAATTGACATGTAAGTTAAACAAGTGGTTTACTGGATGGTCGGAACTTGTTAACAATGTTACTTTCAGGATGGGTGCTTATTCAAGGGGGTCTTATACGAGATACGAGTTTAAAGAGAAAGTAAGTATTTAGAATTTCAATCAACTTCACGATTTTTTACGAGTTACTTCCTTAATTCCTCTAATATTTAGTTTTCTTTCTTTACTTTATTAATTTTACAGCTATTGTTATAATTGCATTGGTATTCAAGAAACATATTTCGATACTTACGGGTTTTTGTGATTTGTTCCGATCTTTTCCAAGTTCTTGAAAAAATTTAGAGAGGTGAGCACTTCTGACTCAGAAACTTTGATATAGCCTTGAACATGCTGAAGAGAGCCAAGATTTTTCTCAAGCTCTTCCATGATGTTACCTAAATAAAATGTTAGCATGTTTACAATATCAATTATTCGGTCTCCACACGTGGCGCAGAATCGCTTCACACACTTGGCTACTACCTCAACTTCTAAATTTTCAGTCAAAAAATGCTAACGAATGGTCAAACCATTTGAATATTCGAACCGTAAAGCAGAGCATAGTGAGGTTAAGAGTAAGCAGTGACGCATTTACCCATGGGCCCACTGGGCCCGGGCCCAGAGGATCCCTAAAATTCTTCGATTTAGCGGGCCCCGTAAAGTAATGAATTCCATTTTAAGAATGGAATAAAGGGCGTGGTCACAAGAATTTCAGCTCGCTCCGCTCGCAGAGGGCCTCATATTTTGTTTTCACCCCAGGGCTTTCGAAACTTTCACTTGTCCTGGTTGGAGCTTCCCCTCATGCAATGACCGCACTTAGTTTGTTGCTCAATTTGCCATACAGAGGTTTCCCCGATGAAAAATGTTTCACCATGCTGAAAAGAGTAAACAAAAAGAGTATGAACTAAGGTCTACAATGTCACAGTAGTGCTTTGTTTCCTTATGTTTAATGGCAGCAGATTTTGATGTCCTGGGAGTTTTAAACCCCAATAAAATCATTGAAAAGTTTTCAGCAGTTGGGTAGTTTTATTGGGAATGTACTGAAATGCGGAATGGATACAAGTTTATTCGTGTCTTATAGTTGATTGATTATGTTTGATTATGTTTAGCCAAGTACTGTGCACGTTTTTTGGTATATATTAAGGGGCCCCAATCAACTTTGGGCCCAGGACCCCAACAGACGTAAATGTGGCCTTGAGAGTAAGCCAAATAACCAATTTATCATTATAGATATCAGAAGTTATGTTTATTTTAAGCCTAATTGGAAATTCAACCAAAAAGGTTACTTTCAAGTGTGTGGTCCATAAGAATCAGATGATTGCAAGCAGATAAACATGTGGAGCCGTGAAGTGAGTGTTCGTTCTTATTTGGAAATATGTTAACATGCCCTTTAAAAAGCTGTAAGAAATGAAGATTAAGTATTAGATATATTCACCTGTACCGATTATACTTTATATTTATGTTGTTAACGCTTCTTTTGTAGTAGGCCTAAATCAGCCGTAAATACCATATTTTTAGGAGCCCTTGTATGTGAATTGGTGATAATAACCGAAGGATCTTATGATCCTCAGGGTAAAAAGGCTCTATATAATCAGGAGCTTCGGTTGCGGTTTTAGGCGGAGTACAGGGAGGCTATGGCCCCAGGCTCCATGTTCGTGGTTGCCTAAAGGGCCTAAGGAAAAGAAATAAATTGTAAAAGACAAGAGTCTCACATATAATTTTGGCTTTGAGCCCGGTTTCTCTAAAACCGCTTCTGAGGGGCCTGATTTACGATAGAGAGCCTGAAGACTCTTCAACTCTGTCTACACTTTTGTGGAGATTCGCTTACAGGTAGATAACAACAATGAAAAGATTCTGCTACTCTTCCTGAGCTTTGGGAATTAAGATACTCACTTGGTCCGGCTCGGATCTCTAAAACGATGCTGGAGTTAAATACAGTGCAGTCTTTTAATCGTAGATAACAACAATGAAAAGATTCTGCTACTCTTCCTGAGCTTTGGGAATTAAGATACTCACTTGGTCCGGCTCGGATCTCTAAAACGATGCTGGAGTTAAATACAGTGCAGTCTTTTAATCCTTTCATCGTCGATATTCCATCGATTTTATATTCGCCATTATTTCTACAAACTAGGAATGAATATTAAGCACATGAGAGTATTTCAAAAGATGAAAAGCAATTCTTCCTACAAACTTAAAATAAAAAGTCTGGAAAATGAGAGCCGCATCGACAGATGAGATGCCAGTTAAATAGTAGCAAATGCAAGTCAATAAAGGGAAAATCATCTTTTTCTCTAGTGGGTGATATCATCTTGATTCTTCACATCAAGTAGATGAACCATTAGAATAAATATTCAATCTAGGCCTTCATCTTAAATTTTTGGCTTCTTCTTCACTTTGATCGATTCCTTAGGTCCCGTCTTAACCTACCTTTCCTGTACCTTTTCCTCTTATAACTCTTCCCTTTTCGCCTACTTTGAAATTGTCACTTCTTTCAGTGTCCCTTGCATTTTTTCAGTATACAAAGTAATTAAAAGGCTGGGAAATATCAAATTATTTACACCATCTGTAAATCTCTATCGTTTTAGAACGCTGGTTTTTGTCGATTTCTCAAAAAAGCTTTACAAGGCAAGCTTTCTACTTATGACAATAGTACCTTTAGCAGTAAGTAATTATCTATCATTTTATTAATATCAGTAGCAGATACCTACAATGCCCCCCCCCCCTAAAGTATTGGAATACCCTTGCCATCTTTCCTACTATATATCCCCTAAAAGTTTGTATTTTAACCACAAGATATTGAAAAATGAAGGTGGGAACGGAATTTTTAGCGAAATGCTCGTCTCCCTTTAAAAACATCGCTTAAGAGTGGAAGAAGAATGGTTCAATTACAACAGAAAAATGGAGGGAAAAAACATTGCATTGCAATCTCAGAGCTCAAACTACTTTATCCGGCAATCGTAGCGTTAAAACATAGTCAAGCTATATACCTTTTGGACAAAGGCTTGTTTTGCACTTGTCACAAAGTTTGGTTGCAACGTTTTTCGTGTAGCCGGAAGGACATTGCTTAACGCATTTGCCATCAAACGCATAGTATCGCTTTTCTTCAGGAATAAAAGGCCAAAATCGGCCCCAACTTGGGCATCCTTTCTGACACTCAAAATCATTAACCTGAGGAACAAATTTTTCAAAAATCAAAACGGAATCTTTCCTTTAATTTTGGCTTCAAGTTATTTCAATGGTCATGAAAAATTAAAGGTAAGAGGTATTACTAAATGAAAAATAGAAAAATGACGATAAAGTTTCCAATAGAAAAATTTGAGAAGTAATGCAATTTCCTAATTTCCAAATTGGCTTTACTTCAGTTAAAAATAGAGTATTAACAAATTCAGACTGCCAAAAATTCGTGAAGCGCATGATCAGATTAGTCCTACTTGTCTTTGCTGCCTCAAACCATAGTCATTTCTCTCTAGATTGCATTATGATTGTTAGTAAATGTGTAACATAAGTAACATGGGTTACTACACCTTACCACGTAGTTTCCTTCAGGACATTTTGAGACACAGGTTCCATTCATTCCCCCGGCTCTGTAATTCATGCATGCATGACAATGTCGATTTGAAGCTTTGACGGTGCAGCCCCCGAGACAATCTTTGTGACAACACTGGTTAGTTGTGCCATCAACACAGCCTTGTGGTCCACACGATGCCTGACACACTAAAAATGGCAAAGAAATCAACACAGAGAATAAGGGTGTAAGGGGACTTTGAAGGTTGTTACAATTGAAGGGGCTGGGGTGGGGTTGTTAAAGGTCTCTGAAAATCTCAAAATTTCGAGTATATCTACGTCAATTATTCCTCTTAAATTTATTTACAAATTTTAATCCACTAGATGGGGGAGGGGGCAACGTAAACTAGGGTAAGTCGTTTCAATGCAACGACTCCGCTTACCTATGTCCATGCTATACAAACAAGCGCAGAAAAGCTAAATACAGGCAGCGCAAATTATAACCAAGGCAATGTTTACATGTTCCACAACAACAGCCAGCATTTCAGTAAAGTATTAACGAAAAACTAGAACAGAGAAGTTGTTATGAATTCCGTTGGTAATTTTCAAAAAATGAAGCAAAAAAATGCCCATTGAAACTACCCCTGGGTATTTGCTCTCGAAGTTTTTTCCATTAAATGGCGTTTTGCTGATTAAGAGCTTTTAAGGAAAGCAACAGAGGGAGTATGTTTTCCTTATTTCCTCCCTCCCCTTTCGATAACTGTAAACTAGCTATGAGGTCTTTTTCTTTAGCTTCAAATCTCAGCAAGAGTAAATCTGGGTGTCGATGATATATGATATATGATTGGGCTTAAAAGACTTTTGTTTAGTACAGTGGCGTACCCAGGGCCGGAGTAGTGGGGGGGGGTCTGGGGCGCAGTCCCCAAATTTTTTTTGGACCACGCCCTTCAAACACTCGCAAATGCAGGGAAACGCCCTTTGTGCAAAATTTTTCCCCATTATTTGATTTATGTTAACTATAGTAAATAGCAAAGTATTTTACAATTGTTATTGACACAACCATACAGTATACTACACCCCGTATACCCCCCTATCCCCCCCCCTTGGGTACGCCACTGGTTTAGTATCTCTTCTGTCTAGCCTCTCTTCCCACCAAAATTCAATTCAACTGAAGCTTGGAACTCAAACTTACATTTCTGGCATTGGGCATTCGTTTTATTTCCGGGGCCAAAACAATATTGCTGCCTCGTACTGTCATGACCAGAAGGAGCAATGCAATGATTTTCTAAGCATTGATCATAGCAATTTTCATTGTTTCGGTAGAATGATATCCCAAAGTTCTCTTCTGTGTAAGCTTTGTCAAGGACGATCGATCTCCACTTAACTGTCTGGATGTAGCACATTTGTTTGTTGTGGTCCAATCTCACACCGCCAGATTTGATAACAGTAAGCGACGGTAGACCAACATTTTCAAAAAATGTCCCATAAATAACAAGCGAGTAATGGACAATCTGGTACGTTCCCCTAATAACAGCTAGGTTCGGAAAGAGATTTTCAAGTGATCCGAGATCGGTTTTCACATGAAAGATGACCAGATAACCGGTGATTTCCCGAAGAGCCGGAAAGGATGCCGGTATTGTTGTATTTGCCTTCGGATTGAAAGATTCCCGGACAATAACGTTGCCTTCAAATGTCGTGCAACCTACTAATGCTTCACAATTACGACGCTGCGTACATTTTCCATTTTTAACGTATATGTCTATTTTTGGGATTGTTCTTGGCCAGCTGGTGTCTTGGCATTCTACAAGACAGGAACAAAATTGAGCAATGTTTTACTAATAGGCTTTTGTTCCGCATCAGATCAATACATGTTTCTATATTTGCTTTGATGTCAATGATACGATATTCAGAATCCGGTATGGAAGAATGAAACGGAGCATTTAGGGACAAGATATGCATTGGCTAATAACGAGTTTAAATGTAAGCTATATGAGGCTGTGGGTACTCTCCTCCGCAGAGGCTATTGGGGAGGGAGATTGAGAGGGAAAAAGGATAGGATAAAAGGAACTGCGGATAAAGGGAAAAAGTGGAGGAGCTGCGAGGGAGAAGGAGGAAGAAAATAGCAGCTTCACCACTTCTCCATCCTGCGGCTTCACCATTTCTCCCTCCCCAACAGCCTCTGTGGAGGAGAGTGGGCTGTGGGGGTGTTAGTGGAGGGTATTGTCAAAATTGCTGTATCAAGGCCCGCACCTCCGAGGTTGGGAGCAGCAAAGTAAATAAATTGTCTTGTTACCCTCCTAAACCCCGCTGTGGCACGATTTTTGCAAACGTTCTATGTAGTCTGGGCTCTTGGAACTTCATGTTGGGAACTAAATTAAAACTTTTATAAATATTATTTTTAATGGTATCTAGAGGCATATATTAATCATAAAGCAATATGGTATGCTAAAATGGTAAATATAAGAGCCTTTGGTAGAATAATTAACAAAACATGTGAAGAAGACTCACTTTTATATGGATAAATGACACAAAGGCTAAACTCAATACAAATCACTGTCGCTGCAAAGATGTGCCAAATCTTCATTAATCTGCTCATTTTGTATAGCGATTTTCAGTTGCCTGATAGAAAGCACAAGACTCTCAGACTACCTCTCTTTTACGTCACTGCAATTTCCTTCTTGTCTTAGCTGAATCAGCGACAGTACAACCTTAGTGTCTGGAAAGATAGCAAAATGAATATTACTCACCTTTTTAAGAAATGGAGTTTGTATCAATTAACCGTGTTGTGAGCTGTTATAAGCATATGAAATTAGAGTTTTATTCCTTAAGTTTCTCCAACAAGAACATTGCAGTAAACAAATTAATATTAGTTTCACTTGCCTGCAAATGATCAAAAATAGCTTTCCCTAAAGCCAGGGATGGCGCCACCGGGGGTGCTTGGGGGGCAGGAGCTCCCCCAAAAATTCATTGAGCCCCCCCGTCGGCACTTCAATTTTTTAAAATTTTTAAGTAATGTCGGCACTTTCATAACTTCCACACTTCGTGATTTTTTTTATTATCGTGATATAGTTTTATTTTTTTCTCAATTTTTTTTCATTTTTTGAACTAGAATTACCACAGTGGAAATGGTGTTATATCACATCTTTGTGGGTGATACACTCACTGTCGGCACTCTGACATTACAGCCCCCCAGCTTTTTTTTTCTGGCGCCATCCCTGCCTAAAGCTGCCTAAATTCAAAAGCACACAAGCATCAGCTTCAAAGTGACCACATTACCTGAAGGAGCTTCACGAAATACTTCTAAACATGCAAAATCAGTTGAAAATGTTTAGAACTGGCTGAGATATTCCCACATTAGCACGCACACTTTCCATATAAAATCACAGTAATTTGGTCTTAGGTCAGTGATCTTCCAGCAAAACTCATTTCTTTATAGCATAGCTTTACTTCAGTCAATCTCCGAAACACTTGAGTGATTTGGCACGTTTAGCGGTATTTGATAATGCTTTTTCAAGCTGAATGGTCAAAAGTACAAAATTATAACAATTCTTTGAGTTGTCCGCTTGCCTGTCTATATGTAATCCTTTTTCTTTGTTTCAAAGTAACACCAATCAAAATCTGCATCTTTTCTAGTTAGGGTGAAAATTGGAATTTGTGCAGATTAAAGCAGAGGAAAGATGGAAGGTTACTATATAACATAAGTTTATGATTTAAATTAAATGCTGATTGATAAACGTAATGATATACTCACAAAGACACTTGGAAATAAAACATTAAGTAAAAATGAATCCGGAAGTTGACGCTAAACATATCAAGAAAATGAATATTTGACGCCTCGCAGGCCTAGAGCCCACGCCACTTTGTTAACATCAGCCAATTCAATGATACGGAAAGACCTAGAAAGCACAAAACCAGTGATACTTTTCAAATCCGCAACATCCAATTGCTTGACTGTTGTCTCGAAGCACTTCGACAATCAAGGAAAGAAACGCTGAATCCGTGACAGAGGCTGGCGCTGGAAATCTGCTAAAAACATGAATGACTGCCTAGTGACGATAATGGAATATAAATAAAATGTGACAGTATAAACGTGGAATTCGATATCAATTGTATTTCTGTCGACTAATATTGGCTCTTCAAAATATTCTCCATTTTCCCAGGCATCAACAAACGTGTGAAAATGTGGGGAAAATGCGAATATCGTTAAAGCCTTTGCTTGGCTTAAAACTAAAACCGATCATAATATGAGACAAAGTAATCTCCTGTGCACAAACAACCCCAATTTCTATACGTTTTCCCCGCTTTCGCACCCCCCTCTGTACAGAAATCAATGTCTGAAGAATCAAAGATATGCTATCAAAGATATACCAGGGGATATAATGGCTAAACCTAAATGTTTTATAGCAAAGTCACTTTGTTAACGAACTTAATTTTCATATAAGCAATTATTTCTCGTTGTATCATGTTGTTCTTCATTGGTTTGTATTGTTTTTACTCTCTGATTCCTCACTTAAGCGGTTTTTTATTTATAAACATAAATGGGCGACCCTACAAGGCGGTGACAGATCCTGGTCAATTTGAGGAGATATAAATCGATTTTTAAGCTTGCGTAGATTGTCCATAGCTGTCCACATCTACCAGGTAGTACAAACTGGTTTTTCGGTCTTCTCATTTCAAGGTCTGATCAACGATACTTTGTGTGGCCTTGCACAAGATGTCGTTACTATGTTCTTTGCACCGCAGTTGCATTCAAGGTGAATTAGAAATATAAAGTTAACTACAAAAGGGCGTACACTCTTTTTTTAAAAAAAAAAATTTATAAGAACATGAGCCTCAAAACTGGTCAAAAGATAAGAACAAATTAAGAACAAGCTGAGGCTGAGCTTCTGCAAAATGCAATTTTGAACAACGCTTTTTCTCAAAATCGAGGATTTTTAGCAATGTGTGGGTGCTTTTTCGGTGAATATTCAAATTTGTCAGCAAATTAAGACTGTCTCTCTTCTTTTTTTGGCAAATGAGGCCTGAACACCTCCTTAAAGCGAAAAAGCTAGCAATAGCACTGCGTACACCCTCTAAATTTAAGAACAAATTAGGAACAATCCAGCCTCAGATTTTCCAAAAAATTAAGAACAGTCAGCCTAAACTTTAATTTACTGGTTCTTATAAAAAAAGAGTGTAGATGGGGACAGATTTCACTTGTTTAACAGACGTTCGACAAAAATTCGCATCACAGGACCTGCTTAGTAAGTTTCGTCAACGTAACATGAAGAAAAACATGGCAACAAAAAAAACTACTATGGCAAATCTCGATTGAGAAGTCCCCACCACCTGACTATGAGTAAAGTTTCAAATCTGAGCATAAATTGGTTAGTTTAAACAAACTTTTCTTTGTTGAGCTCTAGTCATTTCAATTTGATTTTTTATATCTGCACATTCTGCTCAAAACAGGTCTACTTTTGCCTAAGCCTAAAAAGAATGGAAAAAATGCCGAGTACCATTAAACCCATGCAAGGTTTAATGTATAGGAAGGAAAATTTTGTGAGTAATCTAGAAAACTGGGTAACGGGGATTTTTTCTTTCAATATGTGATCCTGGTGGGTCTTCGACTCAAAATCCGTCAGAGGCCCTAAAATTAGGAGGCCGGTGGTCACGTGATCATTCATTTCATTATCCCCAGTCATCGAGTTTTTTATCGACGATGATGTCCAAGTGATATTGTCACAAAAATTTATTTTCAGAATTTTCCAGAATTGTTCACATAATCTGAAAGGGCAACACAGAATACATCTAACTGTGCAAAATCAGTTAAATGTGTTACAAACTGGCCGATAAATAGCCACATGGGCACAGTTTCTTGGTTCTAGATTCCAACCCAAAGTAACCAAGCCAAAATAACAGGCATTAGCTAGCAAACCCGAAATCCTTCAATGACGATATTTCTACAGCTTTAGCGTCCCTAAATGACTTTGCAAATAAACACATTCTTATTAAAATAGATTTTTGATAACGTCACGCTTTTTTACTCTATCTAGAAATCTGAACGTTGGCGATTTCAAGACATTAATCTGCCGGAGATATGATGTCATAATACCATCATTCGTTAGAATGGGTTGAGGTCAAGAAAGTCAGTGACACTGAGGACAAAAACTGGAAATTTATTATTTATTGCATCAAACTGCGTTTTAAACATAGTGAGTTTAATACCACCAAATAGAGCTGTACCGCTCAAAAACATGAGAAAAAACGTCTCGAGAGCATCTTTGAGCTTAGGATCAGAAGACATGCCTATTGGAAACCGAAGTTTCGTTTTGGCTTCTCAGAAAATTGTTTGCAAAAATGTTACTTCTTAGCAGATTTGGCTGCCTCTTTCTCCTTCTGTTCTTCTTCATAGACCTTGATGAGTTTCTCTACTTCCGCTTGCGTAAGGATGTGAAATATAGTATTCCCGTTCTCTCTAGTTAGGGTCGCGATTTCGACTGAAATGCAAGAGTAATTCAGTAAAGATTTTCTGGCTAGCTGGCTGGATTTAACAAAAAGGCTTCAGAAGTAAAAACAGAAATTAAAGAACAAATTGGGGAATAAAGCATCTCTGAACATACGGTATCCGAGCGTAAAGGAGAATGGGAGAGATCCTTTTAACAGATGATCCACAAAGAAAAATATATGCGATCTTGAAAATATACTGCTTGCGACATTACTGAAAAATGCAGTTTAACTTAAAGATTTCCCTTGACTTAACTTTCAATTTCAAATTTACATCAGCAAGAAGGCAAACTGCCAATAATTTCAATCGAGAGACCCAGCCTTGAAAATTTACACAATTGGAATCCGCAAAATAAAACAATCCGTTAGCTTAAGTTTAAAATATGATCGAAGCTGAGCAATCAGTGTAGGCTATGCTTGAACATTTAAACTATGGTAAACACAATTCAGTAATATCTAGTCAGGCCCATCCTTCTTAATGCAAAAGATGACAGTGAAACTGGCTACAATAGATTAGCCAATCAATACCAAACAACGAATTCGAATACGAAAATAGACGAATGAGATAACGAGCAACGAACCCTTTTCAGTAGACAGCTTCTGAACATCTAATGTTTTGCTTAGGACATTGATTCCTAAGTTCAGTGCTTCTTTGAGAGATATACCTTCCTCCTTATATTCTTGTTTCAGCATCGAAATCGCTGCCTAAAAAGGAAAGCAATATTTAAATGACCAAGGGAAAGCCAAATTGAGACAACAGAAATGTCTTGCTTTGCCTTCAGCTGGCCATTTCGTAAAATATTTTATGGGACGCTCAATCGTGCGGTTCTGATTTTTGAGATTTGATTAAGAGATGGCTTCAAGGTGTTTTTTTGCAATAATACTCTATCATTCTAATATATGCTTTGTCATGATTATCTTTAAAATGCTTTGATCTTAAGAGCACTTTGTGTAACTATGGATTAGCGTGTTGCCACCCATTAGAGCGAATGCCACTTTTGCAAAAAGGAGTCAACATCCTTTTAAGAAGTCCTAGTTATGGGCCCCATCAGCTAAACATCTACAATCCCCAGTAGATGATGATGATATTTTGCACCCCTCTCCAACTCTCCTGGTTCAAATTTGATATCTCTTTCCTTCAAGTATGCAGGCACCGACTTTAGGTAGAGGGAAGGGGTAGGGGATGGAGGGATTAAACATACATGGTAGCAAACATGACAGCATCATGAAATATATCTAAATGTGCCAAATCAGTTAAAGGAGTTATAAATTGGCTGAGATAAGGCCACATAAGCACAAGCTCTTTCCCAATAAAACCTCTGTAATTTTTTCTCTGTTCACAACTTCATGAACCAAGGCAAATAAAAGTTTACAGCTATCAAACTTCCAATCTTTCAGTTTCTATATCACACCAAATTATCAACATCTCAAACTGTTTTTTCCAAAAGGAATTTCATGGCAATCTTTTAGGTTCAAACGTTTTCAAAAGAAAACGATTCTAAGAATACATTTTTGATGGCACTACACTATAAAACATAACTGTGTTGTCCAACATAATAGGCTGAAATTATTTAAAATGAACTTACTACACTGTTGTTCCCAATGCAAGTTGCTTTCCAACCTGAGTAGTTGCCACTAGGATCACTCTGGTATAACTGAAAGCCAAGTCGCCTGTCCCAGCCCATGTAAAGTAGGGAAACTCCAAAAGGTCTGTAGCCTATAGTCGGAAGGTAAATCTAGTCAATAGAAACATTCTAATGCTGCCTTCATGAGACAATGGACTGTCTCTGTTTATATACTGTAAAGAAACTGTAAATTTACAAATGGGACAAATTTACTTTAAATCATTAATAATAACTAATACCAGTTATGTTTAGATATTGCTTTACTTCTTATGACAAGGTTCAAAGTTTGTGTTATGTTAATCCAAATATAAAGATTTCCTTTATCCTCTTTAGTGTTTTTGATGGTAATTACAAAGAAAGTAGAAATCTGGAATTAGGGATATTTCCAAATATCAATTTGGTAGGTACAGTAGATTTACAGGTTGGGAAAAAATTACTCAAGTAAATTTTGAACTTTCATCCTTTCACAACCTCCCAAAATTAGCCACTTGTTTTCATCCCTGTGCCCTGGTAAACCATAATCAAATAAGACAGGCATATATTCATACTTTTCATATCAGCAAAATACCAATGATATAATATGATTTAGGTTGATTCCTAACTATCAAATTCACTGCACCTCCTGTTTGTGTATACTGCTGCTTCAGATCACAAAGCTTTGTCACTAATTGCTCACATGGAATGGGTTCTTGGTAGGTCAAGAGATACCTGAAAAAAATGTCATTGGATCAAAGCTATTTATATGTAAATGTAGTGACATTTGATAAAGCTATTTAAATGTAATGACATTTGATCAAAGCTATTTATATGGAAATGTAGTGACATTCGATAAAGCTATTTCTATGTAAATGGTTAAAGCTATTTGTATAGGAAAATTTAGGGGATATGTCTGTACAGGTTCTTCAAGGAACAAACTTTCAGACTTATAAGAATTTGAAAACAGCATGAAAAAGAAGACACATGTCATACTAAAGTACTTTTGGTCTGACACCCATCAGAGTTTGTCAAAAGGTTAGCGACACCCATTTCAGTATAAAGAACACAAAGAACAACATAATGAGCTTCACTTCAAACAAAATAAATCTGTAAATTTCAATTCAATGAAACAATATGTCATATCACTATTCATTGACTGAGTCACATTTGTGACAGAATTTTATTAGTTCATGCTATTTTTAATCAAATTGTGTTTCAATATGAGCTTGTTGTATCCTCAGCCAAAAACAGCATGCACCCCATTGACCTTGAATAGTGCAGATATTATTTGAATTATTTGAGATGCATAATCAAAGAGCAATGAAAAGATTTCTCAATAAGGAAAGTCCATTGAAATTACACTAATTTTACAAAAATATCCAATGACAATAAGCATTAGCAAATTTTGAGAAAACAAATTTGTAATAAAGCTGCACTTTCCAAAAAACCAATCTTTTATGGTTGAGTATTGTTGGCCAAATTTGGTGTCGCAGTCACTGTTTCCACAAACATTAACAGAAGAAAAATAACCCGAATACCTTTGGGCAATGAGTCTAAGTTGTCGAGTAAGAACATTGGCATCTGATGTTATACCGGCAACACTGCAGGCCATATCACTAAAAAGACATTTCAAATTAATGTCAATTCACATGACATAAAAAATCTTTCTCTTTTGCAAAAACAGATATATATTGACAAAACAATTAACATAACTTTCTATGTGAGGACTTAATTCTAAGAAATCTTATAATCTTACTTACTCGTGAAGTTTATAAATTTTCTCAGAAAAAATCTCATCCAGCAGTTTATTCGTATTTCTCTTTTCAGCTGCTAGCAAAACCCCATCATTTGCTAAAATTCCAAGGCATGTGCCTGCATGGCCAATTGCTTCCATTGCATATTCAACTTGAAAAAGCCTCCCTGGAAAAAGAATTAATTTGTGCCTTCCATAAATAAGCTTGGTCTAATAGCTGTTTCCAGTTCTGCCTTTATCAGGCCTTGTTCTAAGCAAAATGAAGGTGCTCTACAAAAAGCCCCTTAGAAACTCTAGGTACTCTATAATGCAACTCTAAATAAAATATCCTTGAAAGCATCCTTCGAGAGCTTTGGAAGGTCAAGAACTTCACACCGAAAGCTTTGGAAGAGTGTTAAATAAGAAACTCAACGTGATACCAAAAAGCACCATAATATGAAATAACAAAACATGCAACAAACACATCTCAAAATTGTGCAGATTTTTCTAATTATGTAAGTTGCCTTCACTTGATATGTAAGATGAGCTTTTATCACTGTCAGTATCACTAAATGTTATGTTCAGCTTCACATCTTGCTTCATCAAAACACACGGCTTTAAATTGAACATTTAACTTTGTTTTCTTTTTTTTGTTATCCTTTCTATAAGACATGCTAGAACATCTACTACTCGTGAAAGCAAATGAAAACTGAAAAGCAATGCAACAATTTGGGTGGAAATCTGATAGCTGATTTGCACAGGTGATTTTAAGCTATTAAGAAAAAACAGAAAGTAATACTTCAACAGGAGAATATCAATGCTTGCTCAAATATCAAATAAATCTGCCAGAGAATACGCTTGATGGCCTGTGTCCTTGGTTGGTACCAAAAACCCAATGTTAAATTTGTTGAATTTTTCTCAAGGGGTAATCTTATGCAAATCATAATATTGCGGTCTGTTGGGAAGATTGTTTATGCTTGATCAAGTTTATTCAACAAATTTCAAAAAAATTTAGTTTGCTCAGTGGTAATATTGTTTTAACGTTTCGAGGGGCTCTATAAATCGCTCTCTGAGCCTTTTTTTGGTGTGCTCTAGGTGTTTGTGCTCTATCTAGTGCCTTTCTGGGCGAGGCCTGCTTTGTAAAAATACTACCTGAAAAGAAAAGCTAATTTAATCACTATGCATCTAGCTTCTAAGTTGCATCTGGACCTGGGGTGTCAAACATTTTACGAAACTAGTTTTATTTAATCAATGCTATCTCATTATGTTCTTCATTGAAAAAATTACAGTAGCAGTGGCGGACACCTGGGGGATAAGGAGTGTTGTGGTTGTCCCCAATACTTTGGAAATCAATGTTCTTTTGTTCTAAAGCAATGGGAAAATGTGATGTCATCTTATCAAAACAATAGGCTTGCCCCCAATATCTGACCAAGTGAATCCAAACCATTCTGTTTGGCATGTGACTGGCACCACTTTTATCTTTTGATGACCTTTTCTAGAACTGAGGTTGACACTCCTGACCTGGGAAATGTCTTTCAAACATCCTGCATTATATTTTTCACTTTCCCCCCCCCTTAATTTTGCTTTCAATCTAGCCCAAGGTTCATGATCCATAGAACTTTGAAATATAAAATTGCTATATTTCATTAATATTTTATCAAAATCAGTGCATGCAGGCTTAAGTATAAATGACAAAAATTAAGAACAAAAGACAAAATAAATATAAAAAAAATTGAAAATACCTTCAGGGGAGAAAATGGTTGTCCTTGAATCATATCTTCTTGACTAGATAGAAATCAAACTTGGTGGTAATTTATTTGCAAAATATGATTGCAAATTGAAACAAAAGTACATTGGATAAAAGAGATACTGCATTAACTTCTATCTTCTAGCTTTAATGCAATTAATTGACAAAGCAAAAAATCATTTCAAATATGTTCCTTTGACTGACTGACTGACCCTATTCAAAAAAAAGGAAACTGTGCTGAACATGTTTTAACTACCCTTTTTGTCAGCCCTATAATCTGTGTTACAATGAGACTGTGTAAAACAATAATTAAAATTATAACACAGTTTACTGTTGAATTTCAAAAGGCTTTTAGCCTCAATAGAATCTATTATATTATATATTTGTTATATTTTCCTATGACTATTTTTGTAACAATTTTGAATCAAGTAGATAAAAAGGCCATAAATGAACATTTTTAATGGTTTTGAAAAGTACAAGCACAGCAGTATGGTCTTCTTCATTTGATGCCCAAACAATTTCTTATGCTTGCTCTCTCATCAGAGGCTTTTAGGCCGTATCTTCTGGCAATTACATAGTTAGACAGAGTTCAGCTGACAAAGAATAGCGAATGTTATGATGGGGATATGTTCAAATATTGTAAAATTATCTCACCATCTTGTCCCTTTATGTGTATTTATCAAAGGTTTTTGGTCTTTATTTCAACTCCTTTACTTTCAGCAGCAACCATGAGATAGCATTTATACAACCTCGGTATAGTGTTGTCCACTGGCGAACGAGGCACGTTGCACCATCGTGGAGCAAGGAAAATAATATCAAGTAGGGCATAAAACTAAATTATATGACATTTTCGATATAAAAACAAAGTATGAGGCAGACAGCGCTAAATGACATCTCTTCGTTACAGAAGAATACAAAGAATATCAGAAATATATGCATTCTGGCACACGTTGATCATGGTAAGAGTATGAAGACCACCATCGTTCGTTGTTAAGAATTCTTAACAAGCACAATTTATGTTTCAAACTTTGCGTCTCAGTGATAGATGATATCTCAAAATTCTCACTGCGTCTTACCCTAACATTCTCTAGAAAAGTCAAATACTTTTGATATTATAATATTTGGAAAGAACCTAGGCCTAAAGTATAGCTTTATAAAGTTGATAAACATGTTATGTTGGCGAGGCCCTAAAACCGTTAACAGAAATTAATGTTATGAAATACGCAATATGAGATATTTTTCAAATAAGTTTCGATCACTGACAAAATAGGCCATCTTAACTCTATCAATGGAAACATAACGGAAGAAGCAGCCCAAACCAGTCTGCATTCGAGCCCCTTTTTGTAAAAGACCTTTGGCAAGCATCAAACCTTTATAAAAAACTCGCCAGTTTTATTTTGGCAAGTTTTATCTGTAGTTATACCAAGTTGGTGGTTTGATAAATGTGAAAATTTGTCCACCAGTTCTACTGTGTAGCCATCTTTCCCTGTATTAACTTTTGCAAGAATCTATGGCAAGCAAAATCACAGAATGCATACTGGAGTCCAAGTGCACAGTTATTTTCTGTGTAAAGTGTTTGAAAACATCATGTGCAGCCAAATCTGTTTAACAGTCTTAGGTGCAGTGTATTTTGAAAACTAGGCTGATGCTCTTGTTTGCCTCATATGGAAGAGCAGCTTCTGCAGTTCTCTTTGCTTGCCATCTGTATGCCTAAGCAAATGTGCATGGTCTGCATGGGTGGTGAGCATGGTCGCTTGTAAGCAATGGATCTCAAGATCTGGCTGACCAAAGGGACATAATTGAACTATTCTTGTGAAATTCCTAGTATTTGTCTATCCACTGCTCATTCCCCAAGTATCAACACCTGCCAACTTATTTGGCCAGTTCATTTTGTCTTTGAATATCCATGTTATTTGTAAATTTGCAGTTTTCTTCAGCTACTAACATACTAACAAACATTAAACATAATACTGACAAATTAACTCTATACATTACATTGACAGATTGATAAAAATGTTCAATGCTAGATTGCCATCCACATATATTGGAATAATTATGTTTTTATGGGATTTTCCTAGTTACCTATACTCCAGCTACAGAACTTTGTTATACATTAGAAATTTTATTGCAACTAACAATTTTTCTAGGAAAAACAACATTGGCAGATTGTTTAATTGCAAGTAATGGAATAATATCCCCAAGGTTAGCAGGGAAGGTTAGTTTTGTCTTTTTTCTTGTTCTTTTCTACATTTAAGTCATTTCTTAGGGCTAGGATTATGTCAATTGACATACCTTTTGGCATTCCTTTTTAGACTTTGGTTTCAACTGTTAAGAAATGAGCCAGCCTTCACTTGTAGTTTTGTCATGAGATACTGATGATAGATGAGAGTCAAGACTTTTTGATAATAAGGCAATCTGTAATTTATAACTACAGCATTAGAACTCTGCTTGCCCCATTTTACCATTGGGAAATGAATACAAGGCATGGCAAACATATATTGAAAGCAATAGAAAATATATACAGTATCACAAGGATCACAAATGTGTTCTAGAAAGATTATAACATTCACATCATGAATGTTTATGTCCTATTCTGTAATTGATGACTTATTTATTTAATTATGAAATTAAATTCATATATTGAAAAATTGACATTATTGTTCTCCCTCCATATCATTGCAGTTACGTTACATGGATGACAGGCCAGATGAACAACAAAGAGGGATAACAATGAAATCTAGTGCCATCTCCCTGCTTTACTCAAAAGGTCATTTTTGTGCAACTTTTGGAAACCTTTTTCTTTTGGAAACCAACTTTTGGAAACCTTTTTCTTTTGGAAACCTTTTTCTTTTGGAAACCAGATTGGAAACCAACTTTTGGAAACCAGATTGTGCAAAAAACTATAATGGCAACATGTTTTGGATTATTGGTAAAACCCGATCGTCGTTCCACCTAGCAGTTTTGGAATCTATCTACATAAGCATGAAAAAACCGCTACTGTGTAGACAAAGGGAGTTCGTTTTCACCTTAGGACTCCATTGGTAATATTCTAAATAGGCAAGCAGCACTGATTATGTAGATAGGCCGTGTTTCTGATTGGCCTAAATATTTTGATCCACAACTGGGTATATATATTTCCTAGCGTAGAGTTTTCGATCTATGTTCTGACTTTTTAAACTTTGAAGAGTGTCAGACGAAAAGCTTTAGTTTACTAAATGTTTGCTTTTTTCAAAGCCATTAAACCTTTTTCTAATAAACCTAATGAAGGGAGACATTTGAATTACCCCTGCTCCCCCAGTAGATACTCAGGGACCTTACATACCGAGGGGTCTGTCTGATAGTTTTCAGTACATCATTTGTTTCTTTTTTAGAATTAAATCTTCATCATTTATGTGAAATTGTTCTTCTCTTGCAGATGGTGATAATTTCTTGATAAATTTGATTGACTCTCCTGGTCACATCGACTTTTCCAGTGAGGTAACTTTTCTTTAGTTAATCATTTTAACAATGTGTGTAATCATGGAACTAAAAGCTGGGCCATTTTTTCTGATGAATAATGATTAAAGATGAGACTAGTTTTCTGCATTTTGAAATCAGATTACTAGCAGGCAATGATTTTCATTGGGTGTTGATGTTCTTACATCTTTAGCACAGCCCTTCAAATGAGCATCCTTTAAAACGTTCAAAATTTAGTGGGCACACCCCTCTCCAACAAGTTTCCTATTCTTCTACTGGGAATTTGTTCATTTTTAAAGAGAGAACGGTGATGGATTGTTATGATGCTGATAATGAAATTGGCATTTATATTTACCTTGAGTGGAAAACTGATTCTTTACTCTGTTGTAAGCTGATTTTCTAACAATTTTATTTCCTTTTTGTTGCACACCATGTAGAAAAATAGTTATAAACTAGTCTGTACCTCCTTCGAAAGGCCACTCTCTTAAACCTCTTGGCACTCATTACATGATTTACGGTAATATCTTAACTATAAAGTAATATTTTCAAATACTTAGGTATAAAAATGCTTACTCGTCCTATCCAGGTGTCAACTGCTGTGCGCCTGTGTGATGGAGCACTTGTTCTTGTTGATGCAGTCGAGGGTGTCTGCCCACAGGTAACCATGTTCACATTGTAAATTTCGACTGCTTCTTTCTAGAAAGCTTCCAAAGCTCAGGATTATTCAAAGGCAGTCATACGTTTTGTGATATTATTTTGTATGACATCTGTTATAGATTTGTTTATGTAAGGACTGAGGAAATGATTTAATAAGTGTGAATGTGAAGGAGGGGGCACAGCAACAGGTTGGCTATGACATCACTTGTTAGAGGCGCTGACAACTGACCCAAGGGTCTGTGGTTCTGGTCCCTGGCTTGACCAAACTCTCCCTCAGAGCGAGAAGACAAGTCATTGCTTTTACTGTTTCTTCAAAAATATAAAGTAAATTGCATTCTCCGTGAGCAAGTGATTGCTTGGGGGTAAATGCAATACTTAGCAAATTTTCTTTGTATCAAGATATTTGATCTCAACTTGCGTAACGGATGATGTTTTGGGTCTTTTTTAGACTCACGCCGTCTTGCGTCAGGCCTGGCTGGAGAACATTCGACCCTGCTTAGTATTAAACAAAATGGATAGATTGATCACCGAATTGAAGCTTAGCCCTTTAGAGGCCTATCTTCATTTGCAGCAAATTCTAGAACAGGTGAGTGCCAAGCTACGTGCCATCGATACATTTTACTCTTGATCAAACTATCCTGTACCATTTTGAATGCTGCAGTGTCCGTCCTGTTATTCTGTAAACATTCGTCCCTATTAATCTGTATCGACTCAGTAGGTCCATTGTAAACTACCTCCAAGTTTAGTTTACTAATGCGCAAAAATAAGAAAAGGGATGGCTGGGGGTAAAAATATTGGTATTAAAAAGTGGGTTAGGGTTAGGGTTAGGGTTAGGGTTAGGGTTAGGGTTAGGGTTAGGGTTAGGGTTGGGGTTAGGGTTAGGGTTAGGGTTAGGGTTAGGGTTAGGGTTAGGGTTAGGGTTAGAAACGAGATAAATCCTCCACTCATTATGTAACTCAAGGTTGAAAATCTATTTAACAGGGGTCTAGCATGAGAATTCTTGATAGGGAAAAATGACCTTTTTGAATGTAGAATATCCATTATTTTTTGGATTAAGCAACACCGTATCTTACGAAATTATTTGAAAGCACTGGCCCTGACATACCTCCATACACTGATGTTATCTTTGAAAATAATATTCTCAGTGTTGAAATTTTGTCATTGGCGTCACGAGTGATGGCTGCTATTTGAAAAGTAAAACAACGAAAGTTATTTTTTCAAACCAATAAACATTGTCATTACTGTGATCTTATTTCTTTTTTATCAGGTTAATGCAGTCACCGCTTCCTTGTTTGCCTCTCAAGTCATGGAGAAGAATATTGATGATGTAAAAGGCAGCACTAAAAAACATGAAATGACTGATACAGCCGAAGATAACCAGGTGAGGCGAATTCGTGATATTGTGGAAGGTTTCTCTACAGCTAATGTATTTCAGTAGCTTGTTGATGATACTAGCAGCTGAATTTTCAGAAATAGTCCGGTTTATATATTGCTCGAGGAGCCGGATTATCTGGTATTAGGTACAGTAATGAGTTTAGTTTAGTAGGGTGCCTTTTTTATCAAAGTTTAATTATCCCACTTGCAGTAGACTACTCTGTCCAGCGGGACTTTATGTCTATACAGCGGGAGTCTATTTCATAGATAAGGAATATTTAGATATAGTTTGTGATGTTTAGAAACTCAAATTTGTGCCATTGGAAACAATTTTTCTTGTATATAGGCTACAGTTTGGCCAAAATTGTCCAAGGAAATTTTTAGTGCTGGCGCAAAATCAGTGATTTTTCAGAAATTCTTTTTCAAGTGACCTTTTCTCTTCTCTTAGTTTTTTTTCCATTGTTTCCTTTACTTATACAAAGAAACCATTTTCCTATTCTGAATTTCTAAATTAATCTGTTGCAGCATTCAAAATATAAAAAATGTACAGAACGTTATACCAATAACTGGCATCAATAAAACATATGATATTATTCCATTATAATATTTTCTCTATATTCTCAGGCTTTCCATCGAATAATCATGTCAAAGCATATGTCATCATTTCTAGGTTTACGATTGGGACTCTGGGCTCGTTGAAGCTGACGATTCAAACTTATATTTCTCGCCAGAGCAAGGAAATGTCGTCTTTTCAAGTGCTGTCGATGGCTGGGCATTCAGGTGTGTATTTTCTTAATAAACAAAATTGGTGCCCCGGATAATTCGGACTGATCTCAATTTCCGATTTTTCGTTCCTTATTCGAGTCCAAAGTCGTAACTCGAATTTAACGAGCATTCAGTCAGACTGACCATTTCCTTACACCCCTGGACGTTTTTATTTCGATGAGTGACGAACGGAAATGACATTTCACTTCGTCCCCTAAAATATTTCCTGTTTCTATGCTTCCTTGAAGGCTGAAAATTTGTATTTCATAAACTGTCTATTTATTAGAGTGAAGAGTCCATATAGCGACCTTTTTATAAATAGAAACCCATAAAAGTCCTTGAAAGGTCAATGCTATTTTCTGTTGTATGGAGGTGTTTGATACTGGGAAATGCCCGTTGATTTAGACTTTACTTTATTCTGACCATTCTCAAAATGAATTATCTATTTAAGTAAAGCTCTATAGATTTTTTCCTAATGCCTAGATTTGTTTTCATTTCAGATGAAGAATCTTTGAGTTTTTCACAAAATTTTTTCATTTTTCTATTCATTTTCTTGTTTACTTATTTAATCATTTATTTCGCTTCAGCATTAATGACTTTGCTCAGATGTTTTCAAAGAAACTTGGCGTGAAATCTGAGATATTATCAAAAACGTTGTGGGGAGATTTTTATCTAAATACAAAAACAAAACGAATTATGAAAGGTGCTCAAAGCAAGGGGAAAAAGCCCCTGTTTGTACAGTTTGTGTTGGAGAATCTTTGGACAGTGTACGAAGCACTATTAGAAAAAAGGTGAGTTATTGAAGGTACATCAAAGTATAGAGTTGGTATTACTATACTGATATTTGTATAGGGAAAAGCGAGTGGAAATTATTAAAGAGTTAATTGAGATGTTATGATGAACAGTTGTTGCCTTTAAAGAGCCAAAGACGGATTGCTTTGAATTCAAATCCTTGACACACTAATGGGCCTAAAATTAGCCACTGCGAAAGCAATTACTGTGAATCCACTGCGAACGTTTTAGATTATGGTCCAGAAAAACTTCATTGTTGGGAGCACCAAAAGTTCGAGTAAAGGCAATGCAAACAACGAAAACATTCAGGAATCTAGCAGATGATTTCATTAATCTATCGTTTTTTAGGCCTTTAATGGTTGAATATTTCTTTAAGCTTGTTATTGTATTTCATGAGGACTCAGTGTTCGTTAATTTGTTGGAGGATCTGAGCATTTAGCATGAGCATTTGCCTGTCATCTTTTTTCACCTTTTTTGCATGAAATGAAACTTTTATTGGAGATATTGATTCAATCTTGGTTCCAAACACATGCCTAACAAATTTCATCTACTTCCAGGGATAAAGATAAAATCGAGAGAATAGTTTCTAGCCTAGAATTAAAGTTGTCTGCTCGGGATACGAGAAGTACGGATCCAAGGACAAACCTCCAAGCAATATTACGTCAGTGGCTGCCTCTTTCTAATGCTATCCTCGGTATGGTGTCAACCAAACTTCCTAGTCCACTTGATGTTCCTGAGGAAAGAATAGAAAAATTGATGTGCGGAGGATTACGAAAGTTTGATTCGTTGCCAATGGAGACACAGCAGCTAAAGCCAGGTATGATTTATTCATTTATTTTTGTATTTTAGCTTTTCTAGTGTCCTTTAAAACACCTTCAAACACCCAGGGTTTGTCGAAATGCTTTGCTCGACCAGTCACTTTATCATGACAAATCACTCTTGTTGATCATGTGAGACGAGATGTAACATAGTGTTTCTTTTTATAGATACATCTTCTCGCAATGGCCTCTTTTGACGTAAATCTATATAAGCCAGGACCTCTTCTCCCTTGCCTAAAACGACTTTCCCTGATCATTTAGAACATATCTTGATGAATTTTGGTTGAAAGTAGCTCTAAATATACACAACAGACTTCTTCAACATTCTGTCCGTTCCTAGCTTTTAGGGAATGCAGCTCCTGTGCCGGCAAGCCAGTAATTGCATTTGTTTCAAAGATGTTTTCAGTCTCCCAAGAGGCACTTCCCAAACACCGTAAAAGGTAGGTTCAATTTAGAAACTCGCAAGACATGTTGCTCAGAATTCGTAGAGCGTTGTTCAATGGAATTACGAAGGAAAATTATGGTAAGAAAAGTGCTTAGGGTTCAGCAGCGCTTTCAACATCGTAGAAACCACTTTGCTTTTTTGCTGACTGTGTTGCTTCTTAGCCCGCTTCTAAGATAGCAGTAATGGATGTTGCTCTACTACCATTCTCTCGTGAAGAGATCTTTGATGTAATCTTTTTATCCAAACATTTGCTCCCTCCCTTGATTGAGCAGCCTTTCCCTGCTTTGTTTCTCCTTTAAAAAAATGTACTAAAAACAATTTATTTTTTGCCAGGCCGCTGACGCAAGAAGAAATAGAGAAACGACGTGAAATTGTAAGGCAAAAACAGTTGGAGCGTCAGCAATTGATCAGCGAAAAGGAATCGAAATTAATTGAACCAACTGAAGAACTGGGAAAAGAAGAAACAGAAACTGCCGAACCTAAGATGTCACAAACTGAATCTGTTGAAGTAGAAGAGAGCAAGGAGGATGATGAGATTTTCATAGCCTTTGCCCGAATATTTAGTGGCTCGTTGAAGAGAGGACAAAAACTGTATGTTCTCGGTCCTAAGTACGACCCTGCTAAGGGACTGAATTTCGATAAGGGAACCGATGAGGAGGAGCAGTTTGATATTGATTCCTTCACGAGGTAGGTATCATAGTGTAAACACGCTGTTCATTGAGAGAATTGGTTGAGGTATGATATTTTGAAAAGGTATGATAATTTAATGTGAATCTATGCGCTCATTCCAGAATTAAGCAGGGCAGGTCTGATGAGATTTTGGTTCAAAAAAGTGATGTTGGTTTAACAGTTTGTATGAAATCCTCTGCAATAAATTAATGTATTGATAAACGGTACAAGCTATGTCAATAAGCGAAGGTCCAGAATTGCAATGAGTATCGTCTCCATGAGTGATTTGATTCCAGCCTGCCATTTTAATTCTTTTCCATGAACAGGATGCCCACATTACAGTACAGCAACATCTTTCCGAAACTCAGTTTTAGGCTCAGAGTGACCTTTGAAACTTCAAAAGAAATGGAGCCATGGTTTTGTTTTTGAAATACATCGAAATTCTTGACCTTCGTTTGCTGGAAAAAAAGTTTATCTATGGGATATAGCAAGCTGATTCGTAAAATTTTGCATTCTACTTTTTAAGTTTCTGGAGCAGATAAATATAATTGCCCAGTTTGATTGGTTTGAATGTAACCTATTCGAACTTGAGACGTGATCATAAAACCAACATTATGTAATGCTCGGATTTCTTTTGGTATTGGATAAAGCTGGGAATTACGGCTGGTATAATCATATATTAAGATCACCTAGTGCAGAGAATCCTCAATGGCCTAATTACTGGAACTGTCGGCTATGTTTTGAAGCATGCCCACTTGCAGGGTTTCAAAACCCACGACACAACACTATTGCAGTACAGAAATTCAGCAATGTCATAATATTTGCAAAAATAATAGGTTAATTTTTGAAAACAGTTTTTTTTAAGAACAGATCAAATGAGATCTGATGATTTTTCACGGTACACCTGACAATCTCTCACGACACACAATGGTGCGTGGCATAGTGGTTGAAAATCACCTGCCCTAATGTTTAAAGATTTCAAAATTGGCGCAGACCGAGGTGCAATTTTGCGAATATGTAGATTAAAACAGCCCAGTGGGCAGAAAGAGATAATAACATAATATTGAATAGAATTTATTTTTTGCTTTTTAATCATGGAAGATTGCATATTTTCCTTTTTTTGCAGCGAAAATAATGATTCAGGATTTGAAAATTTCGAAGATATTAATGTGAGGAAGCATATGGCGTCTTTCGAAGTTGGTGATCTTTACTTAATGATGGGAAGAGAATTTGAGAATCTTGATGAAGTACCAGCTGGAAATATCGTTGGTATGAGAACTTGATCTTGTACTTTCCATTTTTCTTGTCTAAAGCAGCTGCTGAATGCTTCAAAGTATAATTTGAATTAATTTGTTTCTTAAACGAGTGGCAAAAAATGTCGAACTCTCGGAGGAAGAACTTAATTGATTTTAGTTTAAGCTCTCACACTCTCTCTGTATTCTGAGCCTCAACTTTAAGGTAATATTTAAAGCAAATTGCAGAGTCAAGAACATTTCAACATCTTCAGTTTTGTAAACCTTTCTTGTTAGAAGTAAACATTTTCTTTCAAGTTTAGTGCAAATTTTTCTATTTTTAATAACACTTTCCATTGATTAAGCCCAACGTTCACGTGGCTTGTGAAATTATTCTGTTAAATGATTATGTATTATATCGTGCATCGAGAATGCAAACTAATCCATGAAGTGACAATTTTTTAAAGTTCAGTCGCAAATCTTTCTCAGTTTGATTTCTTCTACACTATTTTTTCTTTCCATAAAAATAATATCATTTGTATTCCTTTTTTCCTGTGATGATACAAATCTTTGCCTTTTATAATTGTTTAGAATATTTAGCAGAAAAAGATCCTTTTCTGCAATTTCTCACTCGTATCTCGTCAATTGTCTTTTTCAATGGTCCTTCAAAGCATTTAATTAAACTTACAACCAGTGAAACGTTACGTCAAAACATTTTTCCAATCCGTAAATTCTAGTTTTCTTTTAAGGATTCGAATCATATGATAAAGTGTTAATTAGAACTTGACATCATTTATTTACAGCAATAAACGGCCTCAAGAAGCTGGTTCTCAAATCTGCAACATTATCAACTAGCCTCGCTTGCCCCGCTTTTACACCTATGCCGTTCGAGGCACGACCTATCGTTAGAGTAGCTGTCGAACCAGAACAGCCAAGTGAGCTGCCGTTTCTCGTCAAAGGCTTGAAACTCCTAAACCAGGCAGACTCCTGTGTTCGGGTTCTTGTCCAGGAGACTGGTAAGAAATTTCTGCCATTGCGTTTATTTCCCCTGTTCTTTGTAAATCAAATCATGTTTACTGTTGCCTGTTCTCGATTGATTTTACCTAATGTTGTTGCTGTTGTTACTGTACTGTGTACCATGCTAAGTACGTTGCTGAGTAATTTTGCCTTTCACTGTTCTGTTGAAGGTCATTAAGTTGTGCAAGCAGCTACTTGTTAGAAGTTTACCCCTTAAAAGTCTACAATAGTTGGAAGAGATGTTTTAGATACTTTAATGTTGCGATGTTTATTCCTAATGTTTTTTACTCAAATTTAAATGCACAGTTGCCTTACAAGAGCATAATTCGGGGGGCGTGGCTTGCTCTAAACCAATCAACGTACAAGTAGCTTTGTCTAAACCAATCAAATCACATAACAGCAGAATTCGCCTCAGCATTCCAGCAGCTGTTTTAAATACCTTGCTTCCAACTGTTTTCTTACTTTTTGCAGTGGTCGCCAAAGGCTTTAGTAGCAGTAATGATTTTGTTGCGATCTCCTTTTGCAAGGATTGATTCATTCCATGCTGGCATCTTATTCAGTACATACATCATTCCTTGTTAGACAGTTCATTCAGCTATGGTATTAAAAAGTAACATGAATTCATAAGGTCTTAAATTTGGATAGCCTATCTTTGCAACATCAATTGAATGAATATCTCAACGATTAGATTGGTCCGTGGTTATATTTCTCCTCATTCTTAATCCCAGGTGAATACGTAATAGTAACCGCTGGGGAGGTGCATCTTCAGAGATGCCTCGACGACCTTCGGACCAAATATGCATGTATCAAGATTGCAGTGTCTCCACCTATTACGCCGTTTAGAGAAACAGTAGTAGAGCGGCCTAAAGTTGACATGGTGAACGAAGAGATCGTGAACCAAAATTCTTCTGAACATATACAAAGGCTTCCAACCTTCATGCTACGAGAAATACAAACATGGAACGAGACCATTAAGAAAGCGGACAGGATGGTAGATGATAACTTATCAGAAATGAGTAAAGATGAAATAAAGTGGATCAAACAAGCGGATCTAAAGAAATCTAACAATATTGTGGATGTCGGGTTAATCGAGGCAAGAACTGCGAACAAGCAGTTATGCGTTTCCATTAGGGCCTCACCCCTTCCAAAAACAGTCACTAAACTTTTAGAGTCAAATGGGGACTTGATTAAAACCATTTCGCAAGTATCTGCTGGTGTTACGTTAAGAGAAAGAAAAGAGCTTAGATCGATGTTAGCAAAGAAGACACAAGATGCTATTCAGAACTTTTTCACTGAACTGAAGGACGCTTTTGAGCAAGCTGGAGAACAGTGGGATGACGCTATTAATTTCATATGGGCATTTGGGCCTCGTGGAATGGGTCCTAACATATTGCTGAACCGGATACAGAGATATAGAAGGTCTTCTATTTGGAGTGGAATAATAGATGGTGTTGATGGTGAGGGGATTTCAAGATTCGTTGATGTTTTTTTAAAAGGCATTTTACATAATAACGTCAGATTCATGTGGTCTGTTTTGGAGAGTTGAGAATTCCCCCTTCATATGTTCCTCTTTTCTACATAGAATACTCCTTACGGTGCAGCTATATATCCGTTTTAAAATGCATTTATTTTGGCAAGGCTAGCCTTGTTCCAGAATAAAAGCTGATTTTCAAGCCAGCCATTCAAGGAACATCTCTGTTCACTCTAAACATGCTAAATAATTGCAGTTGCTCTTTGTTTTGTTTACAAAAAGGTAGAGAGGGATTTGTTTTGGCGTCTGAGAAAGCTTGTCATCATTTCAACGTCCCTATATGCTAACACCTTTTGCCCTCTTTCTAAAGAGGACTGCAGAAGCTATCCCAAGATGTTAGACGTTACGGGCAGTTTTTTGTAGCTTTATCTTTGGCAGGACAAAAACCTTCTTGCTCGCACTGTTTATTGCTAAGCTATCATGGCACTATTCAGCATAAGTAAGAATATTTTAAGTGCATAAAGCATTAATTGCATAACATGAAAAGGAACTTTACGGATTTCAATGCAAAGGACTTTGATATAAACCTAGTTTTTTATTTTATTTAGGCCCTTTGGGTGCATTATAGGTGTCTGTTATATTACCCATGTGTTCTTTTATAGATACAGAATCAGCTATGGGCGATCGATGGGAAAACGACAACAGTATTGTTAGTGGCTTTCAATTAGCAGCGCTGTCTGGGCCTATGTGTGAAGAGCCATTGATGGGCGTTTGTTTTGTGATCGAGAACTGGCGAAGAGAAGACGAGAAGATTACAGATAATTCATGTTTGCCAACAGATGAAAATGCGAAACATAACAGCGAAGAGTTTAGTCATGCCAGTGTTTCTAAGAAAAGTGAGACTTGTACGAAAAGCGAAGAAGGGCAAAAAGAAATGGACCTGGTCGATAGCAAGGAGGACCAGTCGAATAAAAAAATAAACGATGATCAAAATAGCAGTTCTTACGTTGAAAAGTCGTTAGATGAGGATATCAAAGACTCTAATAGCAGTGCGATGAGAAAACCGGTAGCCGATTCATACGGACCGTTATCCGGACAACTTATTTCTGTTGTGAAGGAGGGTTGTCGCCGTGCATTCATGTCACAGCCCATGAGGCTAATGGCGGCTATGTATTCATGTGAGATACAGGCCACTGCAGATGTCCTTGGCAAAGTGTATGCCGTGCTTGGCAAGCGAGAAGGCAGAGTCCTAAGCGAAGATATGAAGGAGGGTACTGAGATATTCAATATTGCATCCACGTTGCCAGTGGCGGAGAGTTTCGGCTTCTGTGAAGAGATTCGCAAAAAAACCAGTGGCCTTGCCAGTCCACAGTTGGTTTTCAGTCACTGGGAGGTAATAAAACCTTTTTAATTTCACAATCTTATTTTCACACAGGAAGGTGTTAAAACCTTTTTATTTTCATAATTTTTCCTTTGAAGCAATTCATCTTTTCTATTCTTTACCGTAAGGTTATGGACTAATTTTTTTTTATCATATTAAAATTCAAGATGCTCTTTTAGCTGTTTTTGTTGACAAAAATTTCTGTAATGGAATGGAATATTGATAGAGATTTTCTACATCTCGTGTTTTAACAAAGAATTGCTAATGTCATCCTATCCTGGTGAAACACTTGTGATAAACATCTTTCTACATAATGCAAACAGGAACAATGCAAATGGATGCGGAACGACGCCTTATAGAATTAATAAGTTATGATACGATACGAAAAATATTTTTAAATATCGGATATAAACCAATATGTTGCCTTGGCACACAGGGCTTCATCAGAGTAGATATGACTTGTTTGCCCATTGTTGTAATAAAGCGGACAAAAATGTATGTATTCTAGTTGTTAAATCTGTCTCCAATTGAATGTAGTTGTAGTATTTTTATGATACTCTGAGTTCGAGAATAAACGGGGGGGGGTTGATTAACGGGGGGGGTGTACTTTTTCGAAGCCAAAGTATTGTTGGAAGTGATTGCAAGTAAATTTTGGTTGGCCGATGGAACAGGGGGGGGGGGGTAAAGCGTAGGGGTCTTAAAAAATTTGATAAAATAAACGGAAGCAGACCACAGAGTCTCAAATAAGTATTTTTATACTTATTTTTTAATATTGTTGAGATATCGAGTTAAGAGAGCTGAGTTTGAAAATATTGCTTTCTATAAAAATAGCTACCCGGTTGTTTATAGATTTATAATAAAATCATGACCTTTTGATGAATGAATATGAATATTCTTTCTTCAAGGCAATTGATGTAGATCCATTTTGGATCCCAACAACTGAAGAGGAATATGAACGCTATGGAAGTAAAGCAGATTCTGAAAATCAGGCCTTGAAATACGTTATGAGTGTGAGGCGACGAAAAGGTCTTTACGTCGAAGAAAAAAACGTAGAGTTTGCCGAGAAACAGAGGACTTTGAAGAAGAACAAATAGATATTGTATCATAATTTTGTTAAAAGCAGTAAAGTCATAATTACAACCATAAATTTGTTTTAGTTGCCTCGGATCTAAGATCATTCTACGGAGCAATTAGAAAGCTACCTAGATGATAGGTGATGCCTGTGTAAAATGTAAAAAAAATTATCTAAAATTGGATCATACCATCTGAAAGAACGCTATGCAATATCTGTGCTATAAGCTTCTCCAAAAAATAGATGCGGCTTTGTGATGACGTTCTTGAGAGGAGTGGCACTTGCAGCAGACATGTAGTGGGGCATTATTCTGGGGGGGGGGGGCTACTGTGATCAAGGTCATTTTTTAGCAATTTTCACGTGTTAAGTAGCCCCATCTTGATAGTATTTTGCTAAAGTTATCAGCAAATAATTTGACACAGGGAATCTAAAGTATTTATTTTTTGTGAACCCAGACCCTGCAGAAACCTGTGTGCTTTAGACCCCCCTCCTACCTTTTTCTCTCTCTTATTTTCAGAACAAACAAAAGTTGCCGTTCATGATAAATAGAGATACCGCAATTACCCCATTTTCTGCCAATTTTTTATGGCACTAATGTAACAAAGGCAAACCATAATCTACCGTTATATTTGATGTCATTTTTATTAGGTTTTACCGTGTATAGAATTTCTGTCCAAAGTTGCGGAATCTATCGCAAAAAATCAGTTTCTCATTTATTATTAAAGATTATATATTTGAGAAAAAATGTAGAATATTGTCGTAATCGAAGAGAATTTTTTAATAAAAGAGGAATTTTTCGTTAATGATAAAATGGCCACGAGAGCAAGTTATGGGAAAGTCCAAAAGTTTATTTTAAAACCCAGCAAAGGTAGAAGTAGAAGCCGATTAAGATGGTAAAGATGTGTATCACATCAATGGGAGTGATTTTTTAGAAAAGAGAAAGTAAATGGAGAGATATCGAGGATTTTCAAGTACATTTTGATGCTGATAGAGATGTAACTCTGTTGGAGACATACGCAAGGAACTGGACACTACGCGTGATGTCAACGTGATCATTGTGTGGGGAAATTACTTGATATTTTGTGACCTTTTCGTTATAGTCTTATTTGGTAATATGTTTACGTGAACAGTTTTATGGCGGTACATAACTTGAAAATGGCTTTGAAAAAAGCAAACATTTCACAACATATTAACTAAAAGCTTTTTTCGTCTGACACTCCTCAGAGCATGCGGGCAAGTTCACGCGTCTAACTGCACGACTGCGCGCCTGAAATCAAGCACTTTTAAGAAATTTGTATTGTTAGTAATGTGAAATGTATTCGAACAGGGACTTTGCGCGGCCAAAATGCAAAAGTGCGTGGATGGAAAATTTTAGTGCGCAGGCAATATATCGCGGGCGCGCGACAAAGTTTCCAGTCTGGATCAGTCCCTATCATTTCGATGAATGCAATTTCCTACCAAGAATTGTATTGTTAATGCTGTTGTTGTTGTTGTTGGCTCCTCCCAATGAGGCTCCTCCGATGTTTTTCTGGCCTTGATACATGGCAATGGACTCTCCATGAACGTGTTTTGTGCGATTAAACCTTCTTTAAACCTTTCGTTTCTCATCTTGACATCAGTTATGTCAAATAGGGTAGGTTAGTTTTATTTTCTTTCATTGCATTGTCTTTTAGCAACGGATTATACGTCATTCTTTGACAATTAGAATCGAGGTCTCGTTTAGTTTTTGTCGCGGGAAACTAAATAAACAGTCAGTTCAGTCTCTTAAAAAGTATTGTGGGCATAATGGCGAGTGGAGGGGTGGCTGAGGCAATAAAATCCTTGCCAAGTACAAAGTTCGCATCCAGGCAGCATTAGAGCGCCAAATTTTTTAATTTAAAAAAAAATAATAGATAATTGTATGTATATAGATTATAAACATGTGTGAAATCCCCCTCATGCAATTTTTGGTACTTTTATGTAGCAATTGTGAATAGAAAAACCCAAATTTCACAATAATTGTAAACTCATTTTCACAAATGATTCAAATGTTTACTGAAGATAGAACAGACCACCATACAATTCTAAAAATTCCACTCTATATTCAAAACTTAAGTTTGGAATAAAACAAATTTACAAAAATTAAAGCAAAAGATCTGCCAAAAATTTGAATAATCATTTTTTCATCTGTACAAATTATGTGAAAAGCCTTGCATTAAGTGTTACAACCATTGATTGTTTATGGTCTTGGAGATCAAAGCTTTCAGCCCCTTTTAAATCAAATATAATGTTTTGCATACAGAATTCTCAACTCAACATTTATTACCTTGGTCTAGAGGCTCTGGAGTTGATTCCTTGCTCTCCTTTGCAATTAATTGGTCTATCCACACTGGGGACATGAAATTATTGACTTTTTAATCTTTATGACCAGAAATTGATGAAAGAAATTTTATTTAGCCTCGTGGTGCTGCAAAAAGAGACAAATCAAGAAAAGAGTTCCCAACTACCCTTCAAGGATTTGGCTACTTTTTTAATGAAAGTAAGCTTTTTTAATTATTTTTCAGGTGTCTTTGAAATCTTATTTCATATGTTAGCTAATATTGATAAGCAGTTGTGTGTACTCTGCCAAGAAAGTGTCAATATGAGTCTTTTAAATGTGTATTTTGTTTCAATTTGCCATATTTCATTTGCAAAACTCTGGTCTTTCAATGGCATTATCTCAGTCAACTTGCAATATATAAACAGATTTTGCACATCTAAGATTTTTCATGACAATTATAGCTTTGCCACTCAATAGAGTTGTTGTATATCCAAAATATGAATTGTTTTGAAATCCTTTCATCTCATGACCATCCTTCTCATACACCCTGACCCAAGAATATGATAATGAAATAAAAAGAGTTTTGAATCAATTGACACATGGCTTCTAAAAATGACAAAGATATCATGCTTATACCCCTTGTATACATTCCCAGCAATACTGCATCTGGCCTTTCCAATTTATGGCAAGATAACTTGTGGGACGTAAGTTATGAAGCATAAAGGGTGGCACATATGATAGAGCCCAATAGGGTTTACAGACAACAGTTTTCAAATGAAAAGCATACAATGAAGTTTCGCAATGCCATTTGCAACAACTACAATTTGTGATACCATGATGGAATTCGATTGATCTATAGCTAGTTTAATCACTTAGGTTGGGCAAACCATGGTTGATAGAGCCTTTTCTTTCATTATTTTTGTTGTGAACATTTTTTAAGAACAGGGAAAATTATTTTTAGAATGAAAATCTGAATTGTGTTTATTCAGGCCTGGCTGTTTGAGGAGAGCCATAGCTCTTGCTCCCCTTCAGGCTCTACTCATTGCTAGAGGGGAGCTACAGATTGCTCTCCTAAATTGCTCTAAAAAGCAAATTGATCGCCTTGAAACCATTTTTTTCTTTGTTTCTTTTCATTTTTATGCCCAAGCCTGTTGACAAATGAAGAACCTTGTTTGAGCTACAGAAGAATTTAAAATTCTATTTGATATTGGCTGCCATTGTATTTATTGCCTCTTTTGCCCAACTTGAGTCACAGTGTTGTGGACTCAAAGATGGTTTGTTTTGTTTATTATAAGACTTCATTGAATTTTTATGTGAAATTTCAGATGGTCAACTGAGGAGCATAAAAGGAAATATACCATTCAGGTTTGATGTCAAAGAAGGTGATCAAAATTATAATCAAGCTCATTATGAGGCCTTGGGAAAGGTTTGTATCCACATTTGTTTTTGCAAAAGGAAATCCTCACTTTTCCATAAATTAAAGAGCAGCTTTATGTGGCACATAAAGTTATCCAAAACCGGCAGTTTTGGTTGCTTTTGCCTCTTTGGATGACATAATGAAGGAATATAGCTAGCATTTCTACATGGGAGCTGTCTAGTCTGAAAAAGGGCACTGCTTCTCATGGGTGGTACTATATGTATTTGGTACTAGAAACCAAAGAAGGTTTGTTTTCCTCATCACTGAAACATGGACAAGATTGGGAAAAATTTTAGTGCCATTAGACTGTTGAATCAAAGGCAGCCAGTCCCATCAAAGTCTAATTTCATGCAGCCTTTTAGGACAGTCCCATTAATGTCTAACGAAAGATCTGGAAGTTTTAATCAAATTTTATATGCATTGGTATGGATTACTATTTGGGAAAAAACAAATTGCAGTTCTATTTAATTTTTGCCAAAAGTAGTTTTTGTAACAAACCATAATGTAGAAATGGTGTCATTCATGAACAATTCAATTGGTTTCAACAACCCAACTCTTAAATGAGATGAACACCTGTTGAATGGTACCAGTAACCATCTCTTTCATTCATATTTCAAAGAAAACCCTTTGTAAAGAACCAACAATTTTTTTTCCTTTTTTCTTCCTGAAATTTACTTATCATATAGTAGTGCAAATGCAAAGCAGAATTTTGAAGTAACTACCGAGATTTATTTTTGAAATAATAATAAATAATAACATATTTATTCAAAATCTTACCTTCATCAGAGCATGCAAACAGACCCAATAGTTTACTTCTAGTTATCTCCAACAAAAGATTCTGTTTTCCACTAACTAGGTTATTGAACAGCACATATACCATCTCCTTTCACATCAAGAAGACCTTGAAAGAGTAGTTATTCCGGTAAGATAAATGGAAATAATTATTTTTATTTTATTGGCATTTAAGGTTTGATCTTTTTCAATGGTAATTGATAGTTTTATCTTGTGAGTGCAAGTTATGAAGTTCCTTGCCCTTTCCTTACCCTTTTTGACCAAAGTGAATAAATTGCCAAGGGTCAAAACTTCAGAGACAGCTGTCAGAGATAAGGCAGCTTTGGTTAAAAGTTTTAAGTTGTGTAAGAAAAAGTGGGTCATTTTTCTATCATAGACACAACGAGGATCATGTTTGGAGTTTAATGCACCCATCAGACAGTTTAGACAAATTTTGAGCTGTACTCCATAGCCCTAGTTAAAATAATGGTCAGAACTTGATTGCAGTAGAAACATTTACCTTTAGTTGTGCAATATAATCACATATTATGTGTATTACTCCTGGTGAAGTTACCTTTTACTGGTTTTACTGGTTTTAGTTATTGTGCTATCCATATATTTGTAGGTCTTTGAATACCACAGTAAGCCTTTTTATCTAGCTTACAGCTAAGCTGAACGAACGTGTTGTGAAGAACAAAGTTAATATCTTATTATCACTTTTAATTAGAATATCTCTTCAGAATGGCTTTTGGATAGATGCTTTTAAAAGAGTATAATAGATGCTTTCCAAATTCCACTGTAGACTTGTTTTTTCACTTTCCAGCTTTCTGTGTTTAGGCTTAAGAATAAGATGCTCAATGGCCGAGATAGGTTTCAAAATTTTTTTTTGGGGGGGGGGGCTTTTATTTCTGTCATTATATAAAACATAGAGGTTCTCACGTCTACCTTTTGAAAATAGATGTGTCTGTAAAAAATTGCAAGTGGGCTCAAGACCCTTAGCCCCTGATCTCGGACCTTGATGCTGCTGCCACCCAACCAGAAGCTGTTTTGCAGTTTTCATTTCTCTCTATTCATTTTAATATTAATTTTCAGATTTGCCTATACATATTTAATCAACGAAATAATTGTTTAAACATGCTTTATCTTTTCTTTTAGTTAGATGCAATAGAGGGTGAACCAACAAGTTGTATTTTCAGATCTAGAAATATTGACCAATATGAGAAGTTGCTGATCCTTGTTCATGGATCCGGAGTTGTTCGCGCAGGACAATGGACCAGAAAGTTTGTGTTGCTTTACTTTTTCTTTATTTATGTAAAGCTGGTAAAATGCCTAGCTACACTATCATAATATCAGTCATACATAATCAATTTTACCTTTGTATCTCTTGCAAAGGTCACAAGTATAACTGAACCATAAAAATTTGGAGATTGAACATTTGTAATCATATTCTAATCTATATGACAAGTTATTGAATTCAAATATCTTAAAATGTGGCTCCGTTATTCTTAAATCAGGATTTAAAGTTATATCCGCACCCATTTATGGAAAAAATTTCGTCCATGAATAGATTTAAACTGTTAAACGTTTTCTATTCGCAAGATTTAGTGAATTTTTTATTGGAGTTGATTGTTTTATTCTTTATTACAAGTTGGTTAAAATTTCATTGATAACCGTCATAGCATTTTCTAATCATTTTTTGATTTATAATGAAGTTCATTTGCTATTATGGGTGTGGTTTACTGGTTTAGAAAATTCAGTCTTGTAGTGTTCTCAGAGTTGTGATCCAGTCTATTTTAGTAAAAAGCTTTGGTAAAGGAGATTTATATACTTATTATCAAATTGTGATCATGTGATCTTGGACAGCGGACAACTTGGTTAGTGCAGAGTATGGGCATGTCAAGTTGAGCTGATTGAATTCAATCTTTCAGACTAATAATAAACCATTCTTTGGAAAGTGGTTCACAGATCCCGTACATCAGAAAAGCTCAGTTGGTAACGTATTTTTTCAAGCTTACAAATATTAGAAAATGATGCTAACTTTCTAAGAGAACTTTGCCCTGAATTGGAATCGAAACTGGCCTCCAAACAACTTCACTTTATATAACCAACATTTGTTTTTCTTCTGTGATATATATTTAATTTGTTAGTTCCCGAAAGAAGTTTCGTCTGCAACAGTTTAGGTTTTTTTACTGTCCTGAATGTTTATGTTTATATTCATATTTTTACTGTCCTAAATGTTTTTGCATTGCAATTCAAATAAGATGTGCTATACAAGAACTCAAGTGGTCTGCATTTTAGAAAAGATCGTTTGGTGTCTTGAAAGTTAGGTATTTATTTCGAGGCAGCTTGCAGTATAAATCTATAGTCTAACTTACATCTGGTGATTCGCTGTGTGCATTCTAGTTAAGTGGTTTTCAGATTCCGTAAATCCTTAAGTTGCCCCATCTCTCGTATAAGCCCTCTTCGAGTAGCCTTTGTTCCAGACCCTATGCAGCACAGGCTATCTTCGAGTTGGTCCCCTTCCTTGAAGTGAAAATTGTTTATCAGCTTTCAACAATCGAATAAGCTCTTTCTCTGACAGGCCAGTTTTACAATACATGGTTTTAGTCCATGATGAATAACATGGACTAAAATCAACTTGAAATGAACAACTAAGCGAAGGCTTCTCTGAAATTCTTTAAAAGATGTGGAACACTTTTGAATAGAGTTTACTATGTATTGATAACATATATTGAATTTCCAAACCTCGTTTAAGCAGTTGCTAAGTATGTTAGCATCTTGGTCTTATTCGCGTACTGTCGTTACTCTTTTCGCCATTCATATCATAAATAGCGCCTTTAATTTACTATAAGTTTCTAACCACTAAATTTTTTGTTCTCTTTTATTAGCTGGCTACAATATTGGCTACATATTGAACTTTTATCTAATCCAATTGTTTTTCTTTTTTACTTGTTCTTCTTCCAATATTCATTTTGAAACGAAAACCTGTGTTGCTGCTAGCGTTTTATTCCTAAAGGGATTTTTGTAATTTTTCAAATCTAATGAATCTAATTTTGTATGAATCTAATTTTCAGGAAAACTATGGTGTTGTAGTTCTGAACACAAACCAAAATGAGGATATTGAAACAGGAGAAGGGATTGTGCGGGTATACTTGTTTAATCGTTTTACAACTTGGAAACACTGTTTCCGATTAGGAAACACTGCTTGAAAGTAATCGTGTGAAATGTTCACCAAACACAAACCTTACACTTGAGGTTGTTGTTGTCTGGTAATCTCTGATCGTTATTCCAATTTTTCCCCTTAGTTTCTCTTAATTCATTGTGTCACCCTTGCAAAGCTATTTATTTTTTTAGCTTTGTTTTCGAATTACTTGTAAAAATTTTGATATCTTCCATAGTTACAAAGAGCTTTCATGATTTGAAATAATTGTTTATTTAAGGGCAATGGAACACCAGAGAACCATTTCTTATACGTTTGGGACAAAATCATTGAGCCATCTGGTGTCCGACATATAGCCATAATGGCCCACAGTTATGGTGGTTTGGTTGTTCTAGAGGCAGTAAGTGTCAAATTTTTTTTCTTCTTGAAATTTTATTTTCTCATCTATATAATACCCACCTATGTAATGCATATATGGATTCATAGTCTCTAGTTATTGACATTGTATGTCGATAATGATAAAATTCCTTGGGCCTCCAAGGAGCTAATAGAAGGGAAAGGCTGTTCCGCAGGGAATTTCAAGATTTATCGTTACTTTTTGTGTGGACCTACCGGTTGATATTCCTAATGTTCTGGACAGCTTTCCTGTTTCCTAATGTTCCTTTCAAACTTTGCAGGTAAACAAGCGACCTGGCGAGTTTAAAGAAAGAGTATTCGCAATAGCTATGTCTGATTCAATTCATGGGGTAGGGCGTCTTGGAAACACAAGCAAAGATCATTTAGTGAAAGAATTTTTTAAAGAGGTGTGTTTTACCTCGTTTTCAACAAGTTTTAACTCTAGCAACAGTGGAAAAGCCCTTAGTTCAAGTTCAAGAAAAAGGGCATACTTTCCCAACAAATTTAGCCAATGAAAATTTTTGATATGGCAGCCCTTCTGCTTTCAAATAATAAAGTATTAATGATGTTTAGTATAATTTGTCTACCTTATTCGTGATGTTTTGTGGCTTCAACAAGAGTTATATCTATCTGTTGCAAGAAAAGGATATATATGATGCAAGAAAAGGATAACTGAAGTGTGAGTGGGAATCATTGCTTTTTCATGGAAAAGCCCTTGAGCACAGTAAGCAAGATTTGTAAGACTTAGGAATGCGTACAATGCCTGCCAAAAGTCTTGGAGCACTGACGTCAGTTTGCAAAGTCAAAAGCAACCATCCCCCCTTCCCCAAGGAACAATGTTGGTTTACTATGAAACGGGCTAGAATTTTAGGAAGCACTTTCTTTTGCGTTTCTTTTATGGTATTTCTCTTAGTTATCAACATTGTCGGAAGTAGTAATTTTTTCCGGAAAAGGAATGAAAGTATTAAATGCAACACAATTTGCTGGGTGTACTTTTGGCAGGCATTATTGGTGCAGGGAGGTCATCCTCCATGTAGCAGTTAACCTGCGCAATATCATATTGTTACTTGTTGTCGATTTCATTTTGTAGTCTGCAAGAAACTGGGTATCTAGTAAGTTGCCGCTGGACAGTCATGTTGAATCTAATAACCCCATTGATAGTAACAGAGTCTCTGCAGGTGATTTACTTTGTGAATTTCTTGTCTTTTTCTATTTTTTGCTGCTTTGATGATTAATTCCACAATATATGAATGTTATTGTTCCGTATCTATGTCTGCCTGTTCGTATGTAAGCCAGATTGTTTTTAAAAATATCATTAGGCCAAGCCCCCTCATAGCTCATTACACCATGTACCCTGCAGAGATTTACAACACCTCTAGTTACATTGGAGGAGCTGAATTTGACTCAAACAGGACTCTCTGAATGATCAGGCCCATTTTTGAATTCCACATTTTACCATTTTACCTTAATTTTTTCCTTATAATATCAGTATATTTATGTCTCACAGTACCACGTAACACCAAACATTATGTAAATGCCTATGTCATTATGTAAACGACGAAAGCTTCGAACGTGTGTATATCGACAAATGCTAAGGCTTGGTTCCCACTAGACGACTAGGGGCGTTCAAGTGCGTTTATCTCTGAGCGTTCAATTCCGTTCATTCAAGTTAAACGCCAAGTGGAAATGATCCGTGCGTTTAACTTGGAGAAGATGAACGCACCTAAACGCTCAAAAAAGTTAAACGCCCAGATCAAACATTTTTTCATCAAAATTTTACAGCTCATTTTAGCATGTCTTCCTACAACTAGTGAAAGCGTTTAAGTTTTTCGAGTAGGAATGCTTCAGTAGTTTATTCGTTATCTTTAATTCAATTGAAGGATTAGAGATGAACGCAATTAAACGCACTTAGTCGTCTAGTGGGACCAAGCTTAAGTATTATACTTGGCTTTGACTTGAAGCATATTTTTCTTAGAAACACAGTGTTACAAAATTTTTGAATTTTATACTTCATACTTGGGCGAAACTCGTGAATTCGCCAGGTATTGACACCAAAGCGCCCAATCCCCGATTCTAAATGGATATTGAAATAAAAACACCCCATACTTTACATATTCTGAGTTGCTTATGGTGTTACAGTTGTGATGATGTCACATCACGATGAGGAATCGCGGTCACCCTCAATCACCCTATTTCTAGAATTTTTAATTTTGCATCATATAACCTGAAATAGCATTGTGATATCTCGAAATGTGCAATACCAGTGAAATGTGTCACAAATTTTGTGAGATATGGTCACATTAGTACAGGCACTTTCCAAATTAAACCAAGTAATTAGATCGCAGTTCATGAAACTAACCAAATAACTGCAATCCTATAGCAAATTTTAAATTATTCATTGGCCATATTTCACCAGATGCTCAACAAAGTTAATTGATTTTACGTATTTGGAGGTATTTCAAGGTATTTTTTAGGATATTTGGTCAAAAGAAGAAATTCTTTTGATAGACTTTTATGATGACACACTGATAACTCTATTAAAAATTCACTTGCAATTACAGTAACGCGTATTTGTGACAAGTCCCAGTAATAAATTTAAAACAATTGCAGGTACGCTGAAGCATATCAAGACATCTTGGTACGCATTCGCTTCGGTATTCGATTTCTTTCAGCGTAATTTTGACCACAAGATATCCCAGTTGTCGCGACGCGGTATCAGATCAACGCCTTCTAGCCCGATAGCAGCCGAAAACGAAACACCAGTGACGGATGTACCACGCAAAGACTCCAAAGAACGTCGAAAATTATCTGAAGAAGTCAGCTCAGGCCCTGAAGCCAATGAGCCGGAGACCACTGAGGCTGTATCACTATCAACTGAAGTCATAACAGATGAAGGCAAAGATATACTAACCACAGTGACAGGACGTCGGTTAAGTAACAAACAGCCAGTGGAACATGAGCTATTGGATGATGAGACAGAAGAGGGGAGAAAGAAAACAGACAAAGATGAATTTTGATATTGATGTACATGGACAAAGTAAGGGCCTGGAATAAGATATAGTCTGCGCCTCAGAGTTTTGGAGAATTTTTGGGACAAAATCATTGAGCCATCTGTTGTCCGGCATATAGCCATTGTGTCCCTCAGCTGTGGTGGTTTTTGAAAATATGACTTTGTGGAGCATTTATTATCGAATCACTTGAAAATCACGAGTTCCTTTTCAACGTAACTTATTCTGTTTCATATTTACAGACCTTTTGTTTACAAACTCAAAACGTGTGTCAGGTCCACACTCTTATTCTAGGCCTTTGCTGAAGATTGCCTTCCATCAACACTAGCCTATTGTTCTTTTGAGAAATCAGATAAATGCTTGAGATAATCGAAGACTGCTAAAGCACCCCTTGAGTTGACACAAGCTTCGAAGCGAGGCTTCAAACTGAAGCATGATGATAAGCTACCTTATCCTGATTTAGACAGTTACTGGCAAAGTTGAATATTATTATTTACTGTAGTATATTTAGCTTGTTTTAAATAACCTAGTACCTGTGTAGTGAATGCTTTTAGAATCTTTGAAGTTTCAGAAATTTCGTACTACTGCCAATAGGAATGATATTATGAGAAAACTGCGTCCGGTTGATCCCAATTTTAAGTTCAGAGTGTTTGAAATTCAATGAAATATGGTTTCTAACACGAACATCATCATTATCGTCGTGATAATAATAATAATCATAATCATGATCAAGCTGTTCAAGCGCCATTAATCGCACGCTTGTCTTGTGTCAGTTGCTTGGAATTTATTCTGCAAATGAAATTGTCTTGACCATTTTCTGGAGGAGTCCCTTTATTCCATGCCTTTTTTAATAATGCCTCCATATAACTTCCTTGGTCTTTCTCCTAGTCTTTTCTTACGCCTTTTTGTTCCATTTCTTCTTTTATTGCACTTTTTGACTTTGCTTCTCATCACAGTCCACACCATTTCACCTTTATTTCTAAAATCTTTACAACCCCTAGCGTTTCTCCTGATGTCATAGCGTTTGGCTTTGTCCGAAAAAATTTTCCCTGAGAGCATCGTTTTCTTTTTGTTTTTTTTAAATGCATTTATAAAATAGGTAAATAATGGTGATATTTTTCCAATCGCACGGAGAAACGGGATAAAACGGATGTAGAATATTACTGCCTATTTCATCATAACTAAAGTACTTTTTGCGACTTTATGCAATTATCATTTCTCGTTTTACGTGATAATTCTGAACTCAGAAATGACCTGAGAAACAGCCTCTTTAGGGATTTAGGGATATTAACGTGATTATTTAGAATAAGATAATATTAGATAATATTACTGTGATTATTTAGAATAAAAATGAGATAATATTACTGTGATTATTTAGAATGTGATTATTAAGAATAAGAATGAGATAATATTACTGTGATTATTTAGAATGTGATTATTAAGAATAAGAATGAGATAATATTACTGTGATTATTTAGAATGTGATTATTAAGAATAAGAATGAGATAATATTACTGTGATTATTTAGAATGTGATTATTAAGAATAAGAATGAGATAATATTACTGTGATTATTTAGAATGTGATTATTAAGAATAAGAATGAGATAATATTACTGTGATTATTTAGAATGTGATTATTAAGAATAAGAATGAGATAATATTACTGTGATTATTTAGAATGTGATTATTAAGAATAAGAATGAGATAATATTACTGTGATTATTTAGAATGTGATTATTAAGAATAAGAATGAGATAATATTACTGTGATTATTTAGAATGTGATTATTAAGAATAAGAATGAGATAATATTACTGTGATTATTTAGAATGTGATTATTAAGAATAAGAATGAGATAATATTACTGTGATTATTTAGAATAAGAATGAGATAGTATTACTGTGATTATTTAGGATAAGAATGAGATAATATTACTGTGATTATTTAGAATAAGAATGAGATAATATTACTGCGATTATTTAGAATGTGATTATTAAGAATAAGAATGAGATAATATTACTGTGATTATTTAGGATAAGAATGAGATAATATTACTGTGATTATTTAGAATAAGAATGAGATAATATTACGGTAATTATTTAGGATAAGAATGAGATAATATTACTGTGATTATTTAGGATAAGAATGAGATAATATTACTGTGATTATTTAGAATGTGATTATTTAGGATAAGAATGAGATAATATTACTGTGATTATTTAGAATAAGAATGATGAAGAAGACTGAAGCTGAGAATTAAATATTTCAAAGATCGAAAAATATAAACCTCCGACAAGCCGAGAAGGTATCATAAAATGGAGAAAAATTAAACAACAGCAAAAATTCAGAAGTAGAGATACTAAATGTATTAGGAAAAAATTAACCTTGTGCACTTCAAGAAGAAAGAAATTGAAGTCATAAATGTCGGGAAAACCAAATTAGACAACCAAATTATAAAACCAGCCTAAAACGAGAGCATAGAGAAACTCACCAACAGCTCGCTAAAATTCCCTTGTAAAGCAACTCATGTGTCATCAAAGCATTAAAATATCAATCAGAAAAACTTATGCGGCACAGAATGGTAAGAATTGTAGTCGAAAAAAGTAGTTGGAATGATAACTAAAAGAAGCAATGGAAGAACTTTTAATAAAATAAGATTGAGTAATATTTCTGAAACCATACAGACTTTTTATCAGAATATAGTCTATAAGAGTATTGAGGCTCAAAATCGCTGACATTTATAAATAATTCAAGAAATATACAAGGCTCAAGCTTCATCAAGAATTGAAATTTTTGTTTAGTTGCAAAAACAAATGCGTGGAAATAGACGTAACTGGCCTTGGGTCTGATACCGAGAACATCATAGGAACTGATGAAATAGACGGAGTTGAGAATGTGCTGTTAGATTAAGTTCTATATCTTTATTCTATATTCATTGTTATGCTCTGTTCTTGTTTTATTTTTTTGTGATGACGTAACACATCAACAAAGATTTGGAATTTTCTCTGATATTCAGGCGAATATACATACACCTTGTGTCGCCTAAGAATATTTCGAGAATAATCTTAAGGCCGAATCAAACAAATTTAGGAATATAGGGGCTCGGGAAAAATTAGGTATTCTTATAGAATAAATTTTATAATGGAAACCATTAGATAAACTCTTGAAAAAAGAAGACTAGCCCCCTTCAAATAATCCCTTAATGCATATAAGATAGAGAAAGCAGGAGAGGCAAACAGATGTGTGCCACTGCTAGGAAAATTAGCTTGAAGGGATGATCCAGAAAAATTCTTGCCCTGCCTCGAAAAAGTCGAGACTAGTCTACCCATAGAGATACCAGACTTGGTTTGTTGACATTTGAGACTCGTTTGAAAAGCATGTTGCGACCGAGGCTGTTGGATTCAATTCAAATTATTATGATAATGGCGTCCGCAGCACGAAAACAGTCTACTAAAGGTGAGAGGAAATATTTGGCCAGTAATCGATAAATACTGGAAATTATTTTACATATGAAGTGAAAGTCATACTTGAGAAACACAAGACATACTAAACTACAAAAACACGCCTAATATGACAGAAATTTGAGTTACAAAATGGCGCCATTTCTAGCTGATGGGCGTTACTACATAACCATTAAATTTGTTGCTATAAGCCTTTTAATGAGTACTTGTTGTAATAGTTCGAAAATACTTGTTTATCCCGACGATACATTCAACAGTAAACAATTCCAATATGTCGCGGGACTTTCTGAGATTCTAGTAGAAAACGGTCATGAGGTGACGCTTTTGAAAAACAGTAAATTGACCCCTAACAGTAAAAGATCTGATACGCTGCTGGTCAAAACGTATGGTGCCCCACAGTCAATTTCTTTTCAAGATACTGACGATTATCTTTCATATTCTGGATTAATGTATCAGTCAAGTGCAATGCCAAGTGGATACCTAGAGAGGCGTGTCAGTCTTTGTGATGCTCTTTTAAGAAGACAATATCTTCTGATTCAGTTACAAATGGAAGAATTTGATGTTCTACTTCTCGACAATTCTAATGTCTGTGGTAGAGCACTCAGTGATTATCTTAAAATACCAGTTATAGTTTGGACTGGTTACAATTTTGATTTTGACTGTGATTTTTCGTATGATTGTGTGTCATCAAATGTATGGGCTGAACATGAGGAAATCTGGGACAGACTTAAAGCAGCTTTAAGACAAGCAGTTCACATAAACTTTTACAAACCATATTTCATTTTTAATCCAATTGACGACATAAACAATAAGCTTCATATAAATCAAGGCATGTTGGTTTCTGAAACATTTTTGAGACAGAAACCTTTGTTTATTGTAAATATGGAATCCAGTGTTGACATGCCAAAGCCAGCCTTGCCATTTGCAATCCAAATTGCAGGAATTTGGAAAAAAGAAGAAATTGACTTACCAATTGAAATTAAAGAGTATTTTGAAAATGCAGGCCAAAATGGAGTTGTATATATTGATGTTGATTTTGGTAGTAGATGGCTTCTTACAAAGCAAATTCTAATGCTCCTGAAGGTCCTGAACAACCTCGGCCAAAATGTTATCATTCAACACCAACAAAAATTAGCATTCAATTTATCATCTGGGTTGAAGTTCATACCAAAAAGTTTACATAAAATCATACTTGGTCAAAAGCAAACAAAACTATTTATCACTACTTGTGAATTTGACACAATGCATGAAGTTGCCCATTACGGAGTCCCTGTTATCATTTTATCATTGTTTGGAAATGATGCAGCATACTGTCAAAATATCATCACAAAACACAAAATTGGAAAATTGATCAATATCCTACAACTTGGCTACATGGATATCAAACATGAGGCGAAAGTCATAATTGATAATGACATTTATTTGCAAAATTCTAAGAGATTGGCAAAGACGTTTAACAAACAAATAAATGGATCAAGAGAAAGATTTCTTCATTGGGTTGATTATGTCATTGATAACAAAGGTGCTGAAAATTTGTACAGTAGCTCTACTATGCAGATGAGATGGTACCAATATTTCATGGTGGATTTAGTTGTTTTATCACTTGTATTTATCCTGGTAATATGTCCAATTTTGCTGTATATCTTTTTAAGATTACTAGTAATGGTTTGGTCCAGAAGGAAAAAGCAAAAGCAGTTGTGATTGATTGCAGAGCTGTTTGATCCCGTTATAATAATAGTGGTTCCTTTCACATACAGCATATCAAATCATTTTTCCATTGGAGCCAAGAATATAAACCTTGTTTTATCCAGCAATGACACAAAACCTGAACAACAGAAGACATATGAATTTACAATTTCCTCTTTTTTGCATTTCTTGTACAATATAAATTAGTGTCATGTTTATTTAGTTTGGTATAACATTTTCTCTTCTATTGGTTTTCAACTCAATCGTGTCAGATAAGAAATTTGTTGCAATTTTATTCTTTGAAATAGAAAAGTATCAAGGTTCCAAAGATGAATAAGACTGTGGAAACATGATGTTTCCAGTTGTACTTGCTGTCAAGTATTGTCTTGTTCACTGTTGGTACTTAAATTATTTACTTATTATTTTGTTTTTTGGATAACCACAGACAATTGAAATTCTTTATTCTATAGATTTTATAAATAGATTTTACTATCTTATTAAGGCAATGGATAGAGCATCCTAGGTCGTAAGGGGCAGGAGTGGGTGGCAAGCTCTTTTCAAAACTGACAAAAAATTTAGATGTAAAAAATTAAAAACATTGCAATGCACCAAGAACCAACAACATTAAACACAAGCTAATTACTAATTGGTTGTAGCTATGTAGTATTTTGCCCTGGCATATGAGGTTTTGTCAGAGCAAAAGTAAAAGCTAGATTCAAACTCAAATAACCCAAGATGCAAAAACCCTATGAAACCCTTTTGTAAGAGTAGGCTTCCCGAAAAGAAATTCATGTAGCCTTCACTACCTGGAGATACTCAAATTAGATTTCAAATAATTGCAGAAATGACTACAGTGAAGCCTTGATTTTATCTATCAAATTGAGTTTTGGTGCTATATTGCAAAGAACAAAACAGTTGAGAAACATGCTTGCAGTTGCTCGTTAATTTTCTTGTCTCCTCATTACTAAATTATTTGGGAAAAACTTTGAGAAATGGATGATCTTGAGTATAAAGAGGCATAATTTGACTGATTTTGCGTATTTAGATTTATTTCACTATTTCCTTTCTGCTTCTGTGATAAAAGTTGAAAAGTTCTAGAAACAATTTCGGTGATAATTAGCTGGTTTTAAACATTGAAGTTGACTGCACAATAGTTTTGAATATGACCATTGCTTACTTTGTGACTCATTGTTTTGAATAAAACTATTGTTTTCGTGGAACTGATAACTTTTACATTCATGTAACACAAACAAAAGAATCCTCTCAATCATGTAGGTAAGCCTACACCAATGATTTGCCTATCTCTATGGCCTATACCAGGTGGGATTGGATTTGAATGCCACCCTACGTTGTCCGAGAATAGCGCTAAGACAAAAGGCTCTTATGATAAATCGTTTACAAAAGGTCTTTATTTGCCAGACCGAAGATGCTAAAATTGGCATTCCAAGTATCTCTTATCTGGCACAGGTCATTCCCCTGCAACGTGATTAGTCAAAAAGATGCGTCTATTTTCAAATGCGATGCAATCAATTCTTTGTTTTTTGCCTCCCACCCTTGCGACACAATAAATCTAAGACTGAAAACAAAGAAATTTGAAAATCCCTCCTACTGTGGAATCTTTTCGAAACGCAATGATTTGAAAACACATCGTTTCTGAACCGAGTAGTAAAGGAAAAACTTTTGATTCGTTCTCATTTGAATCACAACACATCTATTTCAAAACTTGCTACTTGACAACTTGCACATATACGTGGACTGACAGAACTTGCATCCAACCTTTTTATGGATACAAAACAGCGAATATGTTTAAAATGAGTTCACGGTATATCTAAAAGCTTCTAACTAATACTAATGTGCGACTATGCAAATTTTCTCTAATCTCCTCAAACAAAAGCCCCACACAATGCACGAGCGGATCCCTCCATCAAAACCACCGAGCGCTTCAAAAGGTTACGAGCCAAAACCGCTTTGCCCATTTTCAAAATTCTTTTTTCCACTTCGTCCTGGATCCTCAAACTACTGCGTAGGGGGTTTCTTTTTTTCGTTTTTCCTCCCTTTTTTATAGATACCTTTTCTCCCGGGTTCGTTCCAAAATCGCTCCGATCCTCTCCATCACGATTAGTGCTCTCCGAGCTCTTTGTCCCATTGTCCCGTTTCTAAAGGTTCTTTCTCTCTCTTTTCTCTTGGTCTCTACAAAAGATTTCAAAACTTCTTCCTCCAGCAATCGTTCGATTTCAACGGAGGCTTTTCAAATGTGCTCATAGTTTTTTGATGATTTGGAATTGGATGATAATAAATCTACGTGCACTGCTGGTTGGCATTCCTTTTCGAACTGGAAGCGGTTGTCGACGGTCGTGTTCTACAGTGCTACAGCTGCAGGTGAGTCTCGCTAGCTTTTTATTATAAACTTTCTCGCTAGCTATTTTCCTTTCCTTTTTATCGATCGATAGATTGAAACCCCGTTTGTTATTATTTCGTTTGCAAGAGCCATGTAATTCGTGCTTCTGACGATCTTCCTTTTCTTCGTTTTAGTAGCTACGTTCACCCGCTGCTGCCCGTTTTTCGGTTCTGCGATGGCTGCTGGCTGTTCCCCTTCTTCACTGGTATCAGAATCGATGGCATGTGAATACAGGTAAGCGCTGTTGTTCTTAGGTGTTTTCGAAATTTATCATTTGACATGATTTTCTGCTCATTTGGATAAAATTGCACTAAAAACCGGCTGCTAGACCCCCGCCGCGAACGAAAAATTTTTACCTCTTCTCGTGGTTTTGTGCTAAAAGGAAACTGAATTTGCTTTATTGCAATCAAAGTATGAAGAATTGTGGTAGATTTTGCCTGCTGTTTATTCTTGATGCAAGAAAATTTGATTTTCATAGGAAAACCCGTTGTAATGCGAATTATGTAATCCCGCCAGCCCCTACCTTTTTATGCCTATCGAGAATCCTTTGCAGCAACTTTTCCTAACCGCCTTCCTTTTTTGTAGATAAACGATCGGATTCGCTGACTTTTTGGTACAACAAGTGAGTATTTTTCGATTAAAATTTCACTTTTTCTACGATTTCCCGCTGTGACAAATGGGATTTGCCTGCCCCTTGAGTGAAAATTATTTCTAGCTTTTTGAGAGCATTTTGGGAATTGTAAATAAATCATTCTAGAAACCATTTCAAATGATTTTATGCTTAATTTGATGAAATAAATCATTCTAGAAACCATTTCAAATGACTTTATGCTTATTTGGTTGAAATTACACTAAAAACCGGTTGCTAAATAGAGTCGCTAGACCCGCCACGAACGTTTTTCGCTTAATGTTTTACCTCTTCGCAGTTTTGTAATTCAAGGAAAATGGATTTGCTGTATTGCTCGCTTAACGAGAACATTTTCAAATGATTTTATGCTTAATTTGATGAAATTACACTAAAAACCCGTCGCTTACTGCTAGACCCCCGCCGCGAACGACGAATTCCCACCTCTTTTCTTGGTTTTGTACTGAAAGGAAGCTGGATTGTTACGGTAGATTGTGCCTGCATCATTTTCGGAATTGTAAATTTATCATTCTAGAAACCATTTCAAATGACTTTATGCTTATTTGGGTGAAATTACACTAAAAACCGGTTGCTAAATAGAGTCACTAGACCCGCCACGAACGTGTTTCTCTTAATGTTTTACCTCTTCGCAGTTTTGTAATTCAAGGAAAATGGATTTGCTGTATTGCTTGCTTAACAAGAACAATTTCAAATGATTTTATGCTTAATTTGATGAAATTACACTAAAAACCGGTCGCTGAAAGGAGTCGCTAGACCCGCCACGAACGTGTTTCTCTGAATTTTTTACCTCTTGCGTAGTTTTGTGCTTAAAAGAATATGGATTGGCTGTATATCGATTTCTTTGAAACGTGCTTTCATTAACGATGGAATAACATCTTCATTAATCTTTTTGTTCTTCATCTAGATCAAAGATCGTTTCAAGCAATAATTATGACGCAGACGTGATTCTCGGACCTTCGAAACGAAATTGATGGCATTTATGCTGGCGTTAAATCAAATGATGAAACAAGAAAAAACTTGACTGTGGAGAAAAGGACTAAAGTTATATAATATAGATTAGCTGTTGTCCGTAAATTGTATTTTGTTAATTTGTTGTAAGAGTAAGATTCCTTTCTGATGCACGAAACTTTGGCTGTTTTTTATCTTTCTATTTTTTAACTGCTTTGTTCCTGCAGTGTTTCAAAAGCTAATTGTGACGAAGATATGATATGTGGACCTCAAATGTATAGAACTGCATAATAACTCTATAACTCTTTGGAGTTTAGAAGAGAAGTCATTAATTCTTTTATGAATCAACATAATTATTTAGGAATTTTGATTCTTAAGAAATTTTTAGATGGTATATATCTAAACGAGCACCATGGACAAATAACGGCTAACAGGAATTTATTGTTGGAAAACTTTAATGTTTGATTCAAAATAAACAGAGGAAGTTTGAAGGTGGCCCAAAATTATATCTTAAAACAGCATCACAAGTGAACAAGAATTGAACGAAATAATGCTATGATAAAAATATTCATGTTGGATTCAAAATGAACATTACAGCTTTAAGAATGACCTTAGAAAATATTTATAAGTCGACGAGGGCTAAGAGTTTATGATTGGAAAACTTAAAAATTTGATTCTGACTAAATAGGAGAGATTATAGGATTAACCCATGAAAATTTTATCCTTCAAGGAAAATTTATTTGTTGTAATTCGTCGCTTAACAAGACGATATTCAAATGATTTTATGCTTAATTTGATGAAATTACACTAAAAACCGGTCGCTTACTGCTAAACCCCCGCCGCGAACGGCGAATTTCTACCTCTTTTCATTGTTTTGTGCTGAAAGGAAGCTGGATTGCTACTTTAGATTGTGCCTGCATCATTTTCGGAATTGTAAATGAATCATTCTAGAAACCATTTTAAATGATTTTCTGCTTATTTGGGTGAAATTACACTAAAAACCGGTTGCTAAAAGGAGTCGTTAGACCCGCCGCGAACGTGTCTATATTGCTAATTGATAATCTTAATAATCGAGGAACTACGCATTGGGTTGATTCTATTAGGAATTTCGCAAGTATCGGTATCTGGAGCCAGCAAGTAATTAAGTTTGGGTTTATATTTCTAAAAGGATTTACTGAATTACAATCAAGGTAATAAAGCATTATCTTCCTACACGAAAAAAGCTCTTATCTCAATAGGGTTGTTGCTGCAAGTAAATAATACTTTGTCCTCGAGCAATTATTTCCTGCTCTTGCCAATAGTATATGCTAATCACAGTAGGCGTGACTATCAATTGGATTAATTATGTTTGGCTTTTTTCACCTTTTAAATGTGCTTGCCTGCTTGCTGTATGATATTACATTTTTTGCTTGCATTCTTTATAAAATTGAAAGAATGTAGGAGAACATTGTTTTTTGTTCTGATTTTAAGAATAGATTCAACTTTAATTTGATTTGTCAGAGGAGTAAACAGATAAGTAAGGTTGGGAAGTCTTAAGATGAGATTTTATCGAAAATTAAAACAAGAGACTTAGGGGGTAACCCATTAAAATATTTAAACGAGGAACACGAATAGACCTGGGCTTGCAAATGTTTTGAAGCAACTTTCAATTAACGGAAGACTAGCTCCCCTACGAAGCCCGCTACGCGGGCTTGCCAGTGACCCTACGGTAGAGTACATAGATTAGCCTCGGAAAAGACAAGAATTTTCTTAAAACCCCCTGTGAATGATAGTAAAATTAGCCTCGGTAAAGACAAGAATTCTTTCGAAGCCCCCAATGAGTATGCAGATTAGCCTCGGAAAAGACAAGAGGTGTATCAAACTCGATTTGAAAAAAATTGGCTCCGCACAGGTCACGTGATAAAAAAATTACTCGCACTCCTGTGACTATCGCTAGGAAGGGGGGAGCCTCTACCCCTTCTCTATTTCAGGCGACCCCCTGACTAGCGATAGTCACAGGAGTGCGAGTAATTTTTTTATCACGTGACCTGTGCGGAGCCAATTTTTTTCAAATCGAGTTTGATACACCTCTTGTCTTTTCCGAGGCTAATCTGCATACTCATTGGGGGCTTCGAAAGAATTCTTGTCTTTACCGAGGCTAATTTTACTATCATTCACAGGGGGTTTTAAGAAAATTCTTGTCTTTTCCGAGGCTAATCTATGTACTCGACCGTAGGGTCACTGGCAAGCCCGCGTAGCGGGCTTCGTAGTCTCTACAATAATACTAATGTGCGGATATGCAAATGAGCTCGCTCCGTTGATATCGGTCCGATTACATCTGATATCGGTCCGTTCCCATCGAAAGTTCTTGCACGAACTCCGCAAAAACTGCTACACCCCTTGAACTGAGCTTCGGTAGTTCGGTTCCTATGGGGTTGCGATTGTGTGGAAAGGTCTCGAATCTTCGTTTGCTCGCTTCCCTCGCTCCGAATTTGCGAGTGTCTTCTCTCAATGGGCCTTGCTCAACGAGGCCATTTTCTTTGCTAACGCTTCGCTCTCTTTGTTTGTCTTTTCAAAGACTTTTTCTAGCGCTTTCCTGGATGTTTTGAAAACGTCGATTGTCATCCAGTCAGTAGTTGTTGATTGAAAACCTTGACCTTTGATTCTAAAGCGAATATCCCTTTTCATCCCCAACTTTTTTGAGAGAGATCGAGTACCTTTTCAAAGGATTTTTCAAAACATTTCCTCCCTCTCTTTGATGGGTAAAATACTGGCTTTCGCGTTCGCGTTTCTAAAGGTTCTTTCTCTCTCTTTTCTCTTGCTCTCTACAAAAGGTTTCAAAACTTCTTCCTCCAGCAACCCTTCAATTTGAACGGAGGCTTTTCAAATTCGTTTCGCTTTCCACAAAGAATCTACTGTGTGCCGATAATTTCGGTGATTTGGAATTGGATGATAAACCTACGTGCACTGCAGCTTGGCATTCCTTTTCGAACTCGAAGCGGTTGTCGACGGTGTGTTCTGTGCTACAGTGCTACAGCTACAGCTACAGGTGAGTCTCGCTAGCTTTTTAAAAATTTTTCGTCGTCATTTTCCTTTCCTTTTTATCGATCGATCGATTGAAACCCCGTTTGTTATTATTTCGTTTGCAAGAGCCATTAAATTCGTGCTTTTGACGATCTTCCTTTTCTTCGTTTTAGTAGCTACGTTCACCCGCTGCTGCCCGTTTTTTTTTGTTCTGCGATGGCTGCTGGCTGTTCCCCTTCTTCACTGGCATCAGAATCGATGGCATGTGAATACAGGTAAGCGCTGTTGTTCTTACGTGTTTTCGAAATTTATTATTTGACATGATTTTCTGCTCATTTGGATAAAATTGCACTAAAAACCGGCCGCTAGACCCCCGCCGCGAACGAAAAATTTTTACCTCTTCTCGTGGTTTTGTGCTAAAAGGAAACTGGATTGGCTTTATTGCAATCAAAGTATGAAGAATCGTGGTAGATTATTCCTGCTGTTTATTCTTGATGCAAGAAAATTTGATTTTCTAGGAAACCCGTTGTAATGCGAATTTTGTAATCCCACCAGCCCCCAACTTTTTATGCCTAACGAGAATCCTTTGCAGCAACTTTTCCTAACCGCCTTCTTTTTTTGTAGATGAACGATCGGATTCGCTGTCTTTTTGGTACAACAAGTGAGTATTTTTCGATTAAAATTTCATTTTTTGTGCGATTTTCCCGCTGAAACAAATGGGATTTGCCTGCCTCTTGAGTGAAAATTATTCTAGAAACCATTTTAAATGACTTTATGCTTATTTGGGTGAAATTACACTAAAAACCGGTTGCTGAAAGGAGTCGCTAGACCCGCCACGAACGTTTTTCTCTTAATGTTTTACCTCTTCGCAGTTTTGTAATTCAAGGAAAATGGATTTGCTGTATTGCTCGCTTAACGAGAACAAATTCAAATGATTTTATGCTTAATTTGATGAAATTACACTAAAAACCGGTCGCTTACTGCTAGACCCCCGCCGCAGGCGGCGAATTCCTACCTCTTTTCTTGGTTTTGTACTGAAAGGAAGCTGGATTGTTACGGTAGATTGTGCCTGCATCATTTTCGGAATTGTAAATGAATCATTCTAGAAACCATTTTAAATGACTTTATGCTTATTTGGGTGAAATTACACTAAAAACCGGTCGCTTACTGCTAGACCCCCGCCACGAACGGCGAATTCCTACCTCTTTTCTTGGTTTTGTACTGAAAGGAAGCTGGATTGTTACGGTAGATTGTGCCTGCATCATTTTCGGAATTGTAAATTAATCATTCTAGAAACCATTTTAAATGACTTTATGCTTATTTGGGTGAAATTACACTAAAAACCGGTTGCTGAAAGGAGTCGCTAGACCCGCCACGAACGTTTTTCTCTTAATGTTTTACCTCTTCGCAGTTTTGTAATTCAAGGAAAATGGATTTGCTGTATTGCTCGCTTAACGAGAACAATTTCTAATGATTTTATGCTTAATTTGATGAAATTACACTAAAAACCCGTCGCTTACTGCTAGACCCCCGCCGCGAACGGCGAATTCCTACCTCTTTTCGTGGTTTTGTACTGAAAGGAAGCTGGATTGTTACGGTAGATTGTGCCTGCATCATTTTCGGAATTGTAAATGAATCATTCTAGAAACCATTTCAAATGACTTTATGCTTATTTGGGTGAAATTACACTAAAAACTGGTTGCTGAAAGGAGTCGCTAGACCCGCTACGAGCGTGTTTCTTTTAATTTTTTACCTCTTGCGTAGTTTTGTGCTTAAAAGAATATGGATTGGCTGTATATCGATTTCTTTGAAACGTGCTTTCATTAACCATGGAATAACATCTTCATTAATCTTTTTGTTCTTCATCTAGATCAAAGAGCGTTTCAAGCAATAATTACGACGCAGACGTGATTCTCGAACCTTCGAAACGAAATTTATGGCATTTATGCTGGCGTTAAATCAAACGATGAAACAAGAAAAAACTTGACTGTGGAGAAAAGGACTAAAGTTATATAATATAGATTAGCTGTTGTCCGTAAATTGTATTTTGTTTATTTGTTGTTAGAGTAAGATTCCTTTCTGATGCACGAAACTTGGCTGTTTTTTATCTTTCTATCTCTTAACTGCTTTGTTCCTGCAGTGTTTCAAAAGCTAATTGTGACGAAGATGTGATATGTGGACCTCAAATGTACAGAACTGCGTAATAACTCTATAACTCTTTGGAGTTCAGAAGAGGAGTCATTAATTCTTAAGAAATTTTTAGATGATATATATCTAAACGAGCACCATGGACCAATA